TGTAAATTGTGTGTATTAGACTATACATGTATTGTTTATTTTATATGTTCTATTTGAAGGGTAAACTGTTTTTTAGTCCCGTAACTAGATCCTTTATCATTTTAGTCCTGTAAGTGGAGCCTGTCGCAAACTAGTCCCATAAGTGAAAAATTTTCGTTGTTTTAGTCCTCCGGCGCCAGAGATGCCCGCGTGGCTCGCCGGAGGTGACGTGTCCGCCAGGTGTCGCTGACCCGGCGGACACGTGGATTTTTTTTATTTATTTTTTCATTTTTAAAATTGTTTTTAAAACTTTTTTTAATTTATTTTTAATTTTATTTGTATTTTTTTATTTTTTTTATTTGATTCAATTTTTAAAAAATTAAAAAAATAAAAAATAAATAAATAAATTCACGTGCTCGCCAGGTGTCGCTGACCTGGCAGGACACCTGACGGACACGTCATCTCCGGCGAGCCACGCGGGCGTCTCCGGCCGGAGGACTAAAACAACGAAAATTTTTCACTTATGGGACTAGTTTGCGACAATCTCTACTTACCGGACTAAAATGATAAAAGGGTCCAGTTACGGACTAAAAAAACAGTTTACCCTTATTTTTATTATATTAAGATAATTATATGTCTATATGTGATGCTAGTCTCTATATTATGTATTTTTTATTCTTATGTCATGTATATTATATTTGTATTATATTAATATAATTGATGTATTTTCTCTTTACGTGTCATACCATGTTTATTTTTACATTATACATGTCAGCATTATGTTGATTTTTTTTATTTTTATATTTAACATAATAACAACTGTTTTTTAAATACATGCTTTTAGATATAATTTCTTTAAATTTTGAAAAAAAATAAAATAAAATAATACTCAATATTTTGAAAAACTAGTGTTAATTAATATTATCATTTTTTTTAAAATAATAATATTGTATTTAAACATATCTTTAAGTTTTACTAAGTTGCTTGTTTCTATAATTGTGATTGTAGTAAACTTTTGAGTATGTTGATCATATTGTTGTAGAATAATTTGTATAATACTAATAATTTATTTCTAAAAATTATTATTTTCTTATGTGGATTAAATATTAAACAATATTCATTTGTGTTAGCAAAATCCCAGACCAAATTTCCTATTAGTGTACAATTTAATGAAGCATGTGTCCCAAGTGCTTGTATTGTAATTGTGGTTACATATTTGATTAGATAGAAACATTCATATTAGACATATTACCCACTAACTTTTAATTAAAAAAATATATGTATTTATTATAAACACTTGAATTAAATAATACTTCCTCCTTATCAGTATTATTTTTATTATTTTTATATATTTCATTCAAAAATATCTATTTTTTATTATAATAAAAGAAATCACACACTAAAACTAAAATATTCATAATTTTTATATATATTACAAATATATCATTGCACATATAATTATACATAAAGTACAAATGATAAAAATATTAATAACATTTCACACGCTTCAACTAATTAATAAAATATTATTATTTTTTAATATACTGCAAAAAAAAAAAAAACACACACACACACAAATAAAGACTTTGGCTAATTTGAGGCCAAAACCAAACATACATGGTGTGTTATTTTTGTGAAATTTTTTCATATGTTTTTCAAAAAAAATAATATATTATATATATTTATTATTTTTATATTATTTACATAATTTTTTCTATAATTTATATATATATATATATATAATCTCATACAAACACATCCTCAATTTCTTACCATTTCAAAAACTTGAAATTTTTGCTCACTTTAGCTTCTATATATATATATATATATTTATATGATCCAATCTTATCGTTGGCTATAAATAACTTAATTATATTACAAGAAATGCAATAAAGAGAGGAACAAAATCCAAAAACAATTGATGTCACAGTAGGGAATTAAATAGTTTTGAAATCAAATCAACACCTAATAATAATAATAATAAATAAATAAATATATAGACAAGTGATGGTGTCCCACGGCAAATTTTTGTGGTTGGATTTAAAAGATTGATTGGCTGTGGATCATGCAAAAAAGAAGTTTCTTATTTTTAATTATTTTTATAATTAAATATAGTATAATTTATTTTTATTTTTTTTCCAATAATTGTTCGTGTCATATCATAATATTTTTACACACCAACAAAGGGGTTTTTGTGTCACATCATGTGTACGTATATGTGTATCTATAGTTTCAATTGTCCCATGGATTTATTTTCTTGTAATGAAAAAACGAAACATATCAGGTGGTTTTCACATTCTCCATTTTTGCACACTTAAATTTCTATTTCTATTATTATTATTATTATTATTATTATTGAATTGTAAATAAATAATCATAAGTTAAATTTACTTCCTTTATAATATTTTTTTTCAATTATTTTCGTTTATCTCATTCAAATGTATATATTTTTTACTATAGTAAAAATAATTATACATTAATATTGAAATATTTTTACATAATTTATAAATATACAATTACACATATACATAAAGTACAAAATAAAAAATAAAAACCATCTTACACACTTGCATTAACCAATAAAATACTATTATTTCGCATAGGATGAAGATAATAGTATTTTATTAATTAGTAAAAGTGTGTAAGATAATTTTGATATTTTTGTCATTTATATATTATGTATAAATTATTATAAGTATGTGTTATTATATATTTGTAATTTATGTAAAAGTCACAAATATTTTTATATTAATGTGTGATTATTTTTTAGTAGAATAGAAGAAATGATAAAAAAAAAAAAATACTTTCAGTTTGGATGAAAAAATTATTATGAATTATGTGTTGAATATACCAAAGATAAAATGAGCCACAAGTTTTACAAATATTTATGTTCATGATTGAACTTTTCGATAATTAATCCATTTATAATCTATCTTTAAATATTGAAATTTGGCTAGATTATAATTAATCTAGTTTTTATTGTGTAAAGAAGAAAGTGAGAATGTGTGTTTGTTCGAGGTTTGGATTTTGAGTTGGGATTTGAATAGTAAAAATTTTGAATTTGAATAATTGTATGATGTGATATAAACATGTGCTGATAGAAAAAATGAGATAAATAGTTAATGCATTATTATTGAAAATTGTACTAAATAAATAATATTTAATGGTTTATTTATTCAAATCTATATATCTTCTATTACAATAAAATATCTTGAAATAAATACAAAAATATTCTTACCATAAATTAATATTAATTGAGGTCTTTATACTTGAAAGTGCAAAATTAATTATCAAATTTTTCTTACTCATCTCTATTTACTAATAAAATTATAATCTTTCCATCATCCAATTCTGTATTTAGTTTCTTTGTAATTTATGCTTAATTAATTATGATAAATATTTATTATTATATAAATCTTTAAAAAATAAATGATAAAAGGATAAACAAATCTTTGAATCATTATATATAAGGAAATTTTGTTATTTACAATTAAATATTTCCAATTGTGAGTGGTGTTATATAATAATGTTATACTATTGTATGTTACTCTACTTTAGGCATAAATTTAGGGTTTGTTTGGTTAGTATTTGAGTGTTCTTTTTTTAATTATTATTTTAAAAGTTTGATTTAAATAATAATATTTGATACTTTTCATCCCAAATTAAAGTACATTGGTTTTGTAATAAATTTCAAAACAATACTAATATTTTTTTAGCTAATGGAAATGTTTAAGATAATTTAGATATTTTTAATTTTTATTTTATATGTATATGTAATAATATATTTATAATTTATGTAAATGTTCATAAATATTTATGAGTCTGGAAAACCAAAATAAAAAATAATAGTTTGAGCCGGAACGAATGAAGCAATATATATATATTTTTAATAAAATATTATATTAAACATATTTATTTAAATAAAAAGCTCAAATTCAAAGACAAATTAAAATGTATTTTGTTGTTTTTTAGATTTCATAGTGTTATTACACATGGATGTGTTAAGTTTGGTTTTGCAAATAATATTTTAGATATAATATATATTTTGCGAGATTTTGATTTTGTTTAGTCTAGATTCCAAAGCAATTTTTTTTCAAAAGTTTTTCAATATTAACATTTTTTAATTTAAAATAGTAATATATTTTTTTTAATAAAACATTATTTGTTTGTTTGTTTTGTAAAAAACAAAAAACACATTTCTCGATACACTTTCATTATTTTTTATATTACATGCACAATTTTTTATATTTTACATAAAAAAAAAAATCTCTTTAAACCATTTCACAAAACAAACAAACCTTATGCTTTTATTGAAAATTTATTAAATAATACTTCTTCCGTCAAAACACTCTGCAACATATTTTTGGTATATTTCAAACATTCTACAATATTTATAAAATAATAAATAATTAAATATATTTAATTCTTACATCATACTTTTATCTTATCATATCACTCAAATAAATAAATAAATAATTATATTTATGTATTATCACATTATTCTATTTTATATATTTATCACTTATCACATTACTTAATTCTGACATTATTTTACTTAATAATAATAATAATAATAATTGGTGTCGATACTTAACTGATTTTCGATCATTCCATAATGATTATGATACGACCAATCTCTAATCTTAGGTAATCATTGCGATGTCATAATCTTATAAACAGCGATTAGCAAAGCATCATTAATAAACCACGTGCCACCCAATATTAATTAAATTTAATTAATTATTCGGCACATAATTACGTCCCCCACACACACACTTACTTTAATTAACATCTCACCCATAATTTTAGACGGTAAATCAGAACCGCGATTTTGTTTCAAAATAAGAGTCCCTTAAAATCGGAATCAAAATCGTGTTTCTAATCTCGACCACGCTTTTAATACAAATAGACATATATATATATATATATATAGTGCTAACTAACTTGGTTTCGTATATTTTTATCTGAAGAAATGATTCTTCCTTATTCTTCCCTCAAACAAGAGATAGAAACTGAGGACAGTGAAAATTGTGTGCATATACAAATGTGTAATTGCAGAGAAGTACTGTTAAGTACACATACACACATCCATGGAGGTCGAAATGGAAATCTCTTTTCCTCGGGCCACCCATTCACGAATATCAAGGAATTTCTATATTCATTGTAATATTTGCTTTCCAAATTCCATATGTAGCGTTTTTGGGAACCCTTAAATTGCTCACTTCTCTTCCTTTCCTTGCTTCCTCTCTGGAGAGCTAAACCCCTCGGCCTCTGTTTCTCTCTCTTCCTAGTCTCTCTCTGTCTATGCTTCAATCCGATCTCATTAAACCGAGCAAAATCCACGTGAGAACGCCCTCCCCATTTTACTAGAATTTTATTATCGATTTTGCTTGATAGATTCGTATATTGTGAATTGAGAAATGGTAATGAGAATGAGGAGTTTTTGGACTTAATTCCTTTCGGTAGTGTAGAATTCACATCTTGATTAATTTCTTCAGGTCTGTGGGTGGAATCCCTAATCTCGGCGGGGAATGCGGCGGTTCTAAAGCCGTCGGAGCTTTCGCCGGCGGTTCTAGTGAGTTTGATTCCTTCTTACTTGGATTCCACGGCCGTCAGACTCGTCGAAGAGGTGCTCCGTTGGCGAGATTCTCATTCTCTTGCAGCAGCAATGGGATTAGATATTAATTCTTCACAGGTTAGCATCTTCCTAGATTAATGGATATTAATTTCGATAGTGTAGTTTATGCAACTGGTTTTAATGGCTGTAAAAAAGGTAGCCCGAGCGTGATGACGGCGGCAGCCAAGAATCTGACCCCCGTTGGATTTGTTTATCCTTTTATCATTTGATATTTGAAGATTTAATATATAATAAATACTGAAAACGAGGTTCAATGGCTGTGGATTGGGATTGGGATTGGGATCGATGTTTTTAGATCTATTGTATATTAGTAGAGTAGGTTTGAACTGTAGCGGTATTTGTTTAATGTTCTTGCTGGACTGATGAGATTATTTCATATTTGTTTATTTGTAGCTTTGGATTTGCTGCTGCTGTTGTGTTTTTTTGTTGCTCGGTTAAATTATTGTTAATTGAGCTTTGCTTTCTGTTCTAAAGGGTTTATGTTGGAAGGGGCTAAGCACAATGTGAAGAACAGTTTGTGTTTTTACATGGATTGAAAGCTGAGTTAATTATGGATAGTTTTGGTGAAGATGATGAAGATATTCAGTTTTTTGATGCCCGGGACGAGATTGATCTAGAATCCGACGACGAATTAGATTGTGGTTTGAAGGGGTGGGAGTATGATGTGTGGATTAGGACACCTATGAGTGTCGGGGAGCGCCGCAGGGAGTTCATCGGGATGATGGGATTGAGCACACCGGAGTTAGGTGCTAAATTTGTCGAAAAAGTTGTGGGAAATGGGAATAATGAGGCTGTTTTGAGAGAGTCAAGTGATGGCGTCGAATTCGATTCCTTGTTGAGTTGTGATGTCGATGATCGAATTAATTCGTGCGAATTCAATTTGAGTGAATGTAGAAAGGATCAGGGGATTGGAGATATCGGATCGATGAAGCTGGGGCATATTCTGTTCGCTGAGAAATTCGAAAGCCGTTCGAAGAAAATCGAAGAAAGAGCGGCTGTTCTTGATTCTTCTTCGCCATTGAAGTTGGGAAAATCGAAGCAGAGGTGGTTGAGTAAACTGAACTCGTTCACCTGCATCACTTGTAGCAACACGACCGGTGATGACATGGTGATGAACAGTTTGGGGAAATCCCGACCCCGGCGAGTCAAGGTTAGGCATTCCCGGAAAAAGCTGAAGGAGCTTTCGGCATTATTCATTGTTCAAGACATTCAAAGCCATGAAGGTTCGATTTTGACGATGAAATTCAGTCCCGACGGACAGTACCTAGCGAGCGGAGGCGAGGACACGATTGTGCGAGTGTGGCAGGTCGTCGAAGACGTGAGATCATCACGTACCGTCGAAATTCCCGACGCAGACCCTTCGTGCGTGTACTTTTCCGCGAATCATCTCTCCGAATTGGAGCCTCTTATGGTCGAGAAAGACAAGGTCGATTACACTAAGAGTTTACAAAAAACGCTCGACTCGGCTTGCGTCGTATTCCCGCCGAAAGTGTTTCATATTTTTGAAACGCCTTTGCACGTCTTCAAGGGTCACACGGGAGACGTCTTGGATCTTTCATGGTCGAAAGATAATGTACGAACTCGACCAGATTTAGCTATGTCGAATTTGTTGTGTTTATTTTGAAGCTGATTTTGGTTTGTTTCTTTGCAGCGTTTGCTTTCGGCATCGATCGATAAAACCGTTCGACTGTGGAGAGTTGGTGTCGATCGATGCCTTAAGGTCTTCAAGCATAGCGATTACGGTATGTTAGGCGAACTCGAAACTATAGTTAAGCTGTGAGTGGAATGGCCATAACTTTGTTTGGCTAAGAAAACACATCTAATTCTTTGCAGTGACATGTCTTCAGTTTAATCCGATCGACGGCGATTGCTTCGTCAGCGGTTCAATCGACGGAAAGGTCCGAATTTGGACAATTGGTTGCGGCCAAGTTGTCCGATGGGCGGAGATGAGGGACATAATCACGGCTGTTTCGTATCGACCTGATGGACAGGTTAGCAACACTTATCTTTTCAGACATTACGCATCTTTATACGACGCACCGCGCTAATCGTCATTGTCCCGATTTCGTTGTTGTACAGAGTGGGATTGTCGGAACTATTACAGGCGCCTGCCGATGTTTTAACATATCAGGTACCTCGAGTGTTCTTCGCTATTCGATTCTAATCGTTATTGTTCGATTTGTTTGAAGTTCTTATGATTCAAAAGTTTCGTTTTAGATGATAACTTGGAGTTGGAGACAGAGATGTGCTGGAGTAATAAGAAGAAGTCGTCGTGCAAACGGATAACCGGCTTTCAGGTAGGTTCTTACACATTCGAATCCCTTTCGAGTTCGTTGCGACATTTGTTTCATTGAATGTTCGGATATAATCTATGTTCATGTCCGAATGCAGTTCTTCCCGCAAGACCCGAGCAAAGTGTTGGTCACTTCCGCCGATTCTCAGCTGAGGATATTACACGGGACGAACGTAATCTGGAAGTACAAAGGATTGCGAAAAGTCGGGAATTCTATATCCGCAACGCCGACCTCCGATGGGAAGCATATCGTCTCAGCATGCGACGATTCAGCCGTTTACGTTTGGAACGTCAACGATCCGTTGTTCTCGCATGGGAAAGTAATCAAATCGTTCGAATATTTTGCGTCGGAGTCCTCCGTCGCAATACCATGGCCCGGGATGAAACCCGGTGGCATGCTCGATGTCGACGTGCGTATCGACGCGTTACGGTTCTGGTCATCCACCCGGTTCTCGTTAACGCACGAGTACCTCTTAGACTCGGGGTCAAAAGTATCCGCGACATGGCCGGAGGAAAAGCTCCCGGCGTCGTCGGGGACGTCCCCGATGTCGAAGGCGCAGTACAAGCTATTCAAGACGTCATACGATAGTTCGTCGAGGAGCCATGCATGGGGCCTAGTGATCGTCGCGGCCAGGTGGGATGGCCGGATCAGAGTATATCGGAACTACGGTTTGCCGGTGTCGGTTTGAGTCGACAACGACGGGTTGGCTGTATTGTATATTGTCGGGCAGGTGACATGGGCCCGGTCGGCGAAAAGCTTGTGCATTATTGGGGAAGGGCAGGTGGGAGGGTTGAGGGATTGGTGGCCCGGCCCGGCCCGGACTTGTTCGTCGGGTGATTGTTGTTTTTTGTTGTCGAATGGTGGCAGGATATGCCGATGCTGAGAACTGTGGGTATGCACGAGGGCTGCGGGGCCTTGACGAAGCTCGGCCTCGCGACCGGCTGGTGGTGGGTCTCTGTCGGATTTGATTTTCGGGGTTGGGGTAGGGGTAGGGGTGGGGTGGTGGATCCACCCTATGGTCTGAATGGTTGGGGTGCCTTGTTCTGCCGATCAACGAAGCGGATTCGGGACGGGACGGGATTGATGGATGAACTTAGTGAACGGAGAGAATTTTGTAAATAATGATGTGGAAGTATTAAGATTATCTTTCCGAGATTTTGCCAACACTTTTTGCAGGAATTAATATGTTTTTGTTTATTACAAGTGGTGGCACAGTTGATCCGTATAGCAAATAAATACAATTAAAAAAAAAAAAACAATAAAAATATTTATATAAGTTAGACATATGTTTTAATAAAAATAATACTATATTCGAGTGTGTTACCAAGGTGCAAAATTTTTTTTGATAGATCAAATGTGTAATGTTGGTGGCATATACATAATTATTTTATAGTAGTTTATTAAGATATTTTATTTAAATAAATTTGATTAATTTTAATAAAAATAAAATAAATTACTTTGTAAAATATATATAAAACATATATATATATTTATTTTCAAAGTAAACAAAGATGTGCTTGTTTTATGAGATTATAAAAAAAAATATTTTTATATAAAATATAAAAAATTGTGTAAAAAATATAAAAATATTAAGAAAGAAATAAAAGAACAAACTACAAATCCCCAACTTCAATTATTTTTAGAAGAAATATATATGCATATGTAATAACTGGACCAGCATATCTAAAAAATTAATATTGGGCTTTAAAATCGTGTAAATTATATATATATATTTCAGAATTGGGCTTTATAGCCAGTCCACTTAAAGTTCTCGCATTCACACTGTAGAGAACTGCAGGAAGAATAACCGGAGGCAAAAGCGCCGTCCTGTAAGTAAAGCATATAAATCGGTGGACAGAACATTGTCGGCTCGCATCCGCCGCCCGCCACCTGCATCGCCGCCGTCGACCCGATGCGTCACTTTCTTCCTGTTTTGTTTAACCATTAGTGCTTTCACGGTGAACTCGTATATGCCTAGAATCCAATTAGCGTAGCAATACTATTTCCACGGTTGCTTGAATACCTTTCGATTTGCAAAACCCCTTTTTGTTTTTCTAAAATTGATTTTCCTGAAACGATCAAGAATTTTGCTCAACTTGGTCAAGAATTCCCCATTTTTTTCCCAATTTTGTAGCTTAATCAGACCTGCTGTAATGGCGGATTGGCAAGACATGCTTCAATCCGTTTTTATTGGGATCGTTTTCTCGTTTCTGCTCGCCAAGCTTTTCGCCGTAATTTTTACCTTCCGCGAAGAGAATCTTCGAATCACTCGCGCTCATTCTCCCGAATCCGAAGGCGAACAGCGGACTGTAGATCCTTCGTTAGGGTTTCCGGAAGAAATCGACCCCTTGATTCCGGGAGATGCTAAATCAGGTGGAGGAAGTGCTGCTGCTAGTGAGGATAGCGATAGTGATAGCGATGACGATTGGGAGGGCGTGGAGAGCACTGAGTTGGATGAAACCTTCAGTGCTGCATCTGCGTTCGTCGCTGCCATGGCTGCTAGTCAGGGTGCTGTAAAGGTTTCGAACGATGTACAGCTGCAGCTGTACGGATTGTACAAAATAGCGACTGAGGGAAAGTGTTCTACGCCCCAACCTTCTGCGCTCAAAATGACTGCTCGTGCCAAATGGTAAACTTCTGAGGCTTTTTGGTTCGATTATTATCAGTGATAATCTATTGTGGTGTAAATTTTTAGTTTGTGATCATGGCAGTGGTTGCTTGTTTGATCTATTGCCTGAATCTTTACAACGTTTTTTGATGTGTAGTTTGTAGTTAGGTTTTGGTAGTGTTCTTGAATTTGGTGACACCATGTTCTCCTTACATTAGCTGATTGCCTATATACTGATATGAGATTGCTTTGCATTTCAATTGCGAATTATGAAAGGTTTTGAATGTGTTTAGATATGTTTTGTAAGTGTTTTTGTAGTTTCGGGTTGCTTCGGAATAGTAAAACGTTGAATAGAACCTAGGTGTTCGATGTGAAATAAATATATTTTGGGTGTGATTTATTGAACTGAAAATAGGTCTCTATTTACATAAATATGTTTGGGAGTTTTTTCTACTGTTCATCAGCCATAATTTTGTCAAAATACATATTTTCACAAAATGTCACATAATATACACAATTTTTTACTATTCCCAAAAATCTCCAAAACACTAACAAAATCTAGTAGGTTTTTGACCTAATATTTAAAAGGAAAATAGTTGTTGAATGTGATTTTTCGAAAGAGAATTGTACTATTGACTAATAGTGCGAAAGTAAAATTGAAAACATAATTAAACAGAGCCCTTATATCAATATCATATGAATTATAAGGTTAGCTATTTTCAGGTGTATGATTCCTGCTCGTATTATCAGCTTTAACTGAAGAGTTGTGTTTTGTACTACTAAATTTAGTGAGTCGGTGAACTTTCTCGGCAACCAATTGGTGTGTAATTGCTTGCATTGAAGTCGTTATCAGTTTAGCTCTATCACTTCATAGTTTATTTCACTTAGTCGGCCGTACTGAGCAATTCCTTGTGTAAGATTGTTGGTTGGTGAGAGGTTGTGGATGAAGCTAGTTATTGCCACTGGTATATTGGATTGTTGTTTACATTCTCGATGCATTATATGTTTGTCCATTAAAATTTAAAATATCTTCGGTCAAACTATGATGTGCTAGGCAAGCGTGGAATAAACTAGGGGCCATGCCAGCCGAAGAAGCAATGGAAAAGTACATTGATCTTGTTACCGAATTATATCCCTCATGGGCAGATGGCGCCACCACTGTACAATATGAATCATTTAGATCTTTCTACTTGTATGGATTTCACGTTCAATTTGCACCCTTCTTATTAATTTAAACCTTTGAATGTCGAATGGCAGAAGAGAAAAGGTGAAAGCAGTAGTGATGCTTCTGGTGCTGGCAACAAGGGGCCAATTGGACCCGTTTTTAGCACATTTGTTTACGAGGAAGAACCCGGAACTGAGCTGTAAGGATACCAATCTCCTACCTAAATTATGCGTTCTTCAAGCTAATGATCTTACTAGATCGAATAAGTTCTTCAGCTGTCACGTTTGTTCAAGAACAACAAGTGCATAAACAATTAATTTAAATTGTATCACAGTTTTCCGTAAATGTCTGCAGTAAAATGGATGCCATACATGCCTTTGCACGAGAAGGAGATGAAGGGAAGTTGCTGGAGTGTATCGAGAGCAATGTCCCCATAAATATGAAAGGTCGGTTCTAGTAGAATCTGCAAATTAAGAATTATAACTCAATTAATGTTATATTATTGTGGTTAGTGACGACAAAATAGTTCAATTTTGTGTGATGTTAAAATTCCCAACTTTCCAAACTGACCGATGAACCCTTTTCTAAAAAATTTAACAGCAATTTATATATTTTGATTTCGAGATAGTTTCTGTTCTTGATATTGTTTGGTCAAAATATGGCAGATAGCGAGGGCCGTACGCCTTTGCACTGGGCTGTGGATCGAGGCCATTTCAATATTACGGCTCTGCTTCTGGAGAAGAAGGCTGATGTCAATGCTCAGGTAGATAGAAATTGTTTCCTCGATCGTCTTGTAGCTATTATTAAATCACTGATTATGTCATACTGGCCTTTTACTATTAGAGTGTGTTCTTTTATCATACTTTACCAAATTTCTACTATTCATCTAATTTTTTTTCCTCGAAAACATCAAATCAAATATATATATATTTTATTTTTTATATTATACTAAAAAATTATTTTACATTTAAAATTTCACATAAAAAAGGACGACGAAGGGCAAACTGCGCTGCACTATGCTGCAGTTTGTGAGAGGACCAACATTGCTGAGCTACTTGTGAAGCACGGCGCTGATGTAGAAGCGAAAGACAAGGAAGGAGATGCTGCGAGGGATCTTTGCCAATCGAGTTGGCCGGGGTTGGAGTTCTTATCCAAGTAAAGAAAAAAAGGTATTTATTCGACTGGTAATTTATGGACTTGTACATGATGGTTGGCTGGCTTCTAACGTTGTTGTGGGTAGTGTTCAAATTTTGAATACCGGGAAGGGAAGAGGTTGTCATGGCTGATACGCTTTTGTTATGCTTGCTAATTAAAATGGATGGTTTCTATATTGTGTCTATATATATTTATTCGCCGGCTGTTCTTGATATAGTGCCTAATCTTTTAACATCTACTAGCATTTTGCTCATTACAACGATTTCCAGAAAGTAGTTAAATGTTGTTTTTATTGGATAAGAATTGTAAAAATATTATAAAAAAATACTAATATTTTACTATTGAAATATGTTACAAACACAAAAATTAGTAAATACACAGTGTAAATATGCGTAGTATTATATATATATATAATATTAATAGCAAAAATATAACAAAAATTAGATTTGTGTCTGTTTGAATACATTGAACGAGGTAAATCACTCAATCTTAGCCTGTTTCTTTATTGTTGTGTCGGTTTGAATACACTAAACGAGGTGAAAAAAAATATGTGTCTCGAGTCTAATTTACATGCTATTGAATTAAAAGGAAAAATAAAAAAATTATGTAACAAATATGTAGTGACATATTTTAAATGGTTTCATTTTAATAATTGAAGTAAACAATGCAGTATTAAAAGCACTCCCAAAATAACAAATCAATCAATTTTCACATGTTACTTATTACTTGGTGTAGAGAGTAGTATCACATGGAAGAACATAAAACCTCAAAACCCACCAACCATGGCAGCAGAGGCAGAGTAAGAGTAGGGAAGGATTCGTCAAAACCATCACTCACCAACTCTATTTCTCTCTCTTTCATCATCTCCTCAAAACTCTTCACGTCCCATGCTCTTCAACATCCGATCCATCAAACAACACCATCACTTCTACAGCTCATCATGGTCATTGTCGTCGTCATCGCCGCCGCCGCCGCTGCCGCCAGGGGCGCCACCGGAGCGCTGGTAGACGGCGGTGACAATAGGATTGCACACAGCCTCGACTTCCTTAAGCTTCTCCTCATAGTCCTCTTTCTCCGCACTCTGGTTGTCGTCCAGCCACTCGAGGGCCTCCTTCGTTGCCGTCTCGATCTTTTCCTTCTCGTCTGACTCCAGTTTGTCGGCCAGCTTGTCCTTGTCGCTGATCTGGTTCCGCATGTTGTATACGTACGTCTCCAGGCTGTTGCGCGCGTCGATCCTCTCTTTTACCTTCTTGTCCTCCTCGGCGAATTCCTCGGCTTCCTTCACCATTCGCTCGATCTCATCCTGACTTAGACGGCCCTTGTCGTTGGTGATCGTGATCTTTTCGGATTTTCCGGATGCCTTGTCTTCGGCCTTCACATTAAGAATTCCGTTGGCGTCGACTTCGAATGTAACTTCAATTTGAGGAGTGCCTCTGTTCAGGAGATTAAAAAACAGAATATTTGCAAATACATAAGTATTTGGTATTCGAAACAAACTGAACAAATATCCAAAATCTCAAACTGAAGAATAAATACCCAAAATCGCAAATCATATATGAATCGAAAATTTCGGTTAACTGAATTTTTAGTTAATCAAAAAATATTTTCAAATAATTCGAACTAAATTGAATTTAAGAAAAAATATATTAAAAATAATTGAAAGTTTAATTAAATAAAAATATTTGCAAATATTTTGAACCGCACCGTATCGAACTCGAAACTGAATATCAATATCAAATATACTTCGAAGGTTAACTAAAAATTTGATCCGGTTCAACCGTTCAGTTCAATTTTTTTGCCCACCCTAGTTGTTGGATTAAAAGACTTAAATCAGGTATATATATATATATTTAGTTAGAGCATTGGAGATGACCTTGGTGCTGGGGCGATTCCGGTGAGATCAAATTTTCCGAGCAGCCTACAATCCTTCGTAAGACTTCTTTCACCCTCGAAGACCTGTCGGCGACACCATGTTTCGAGTTTGGTGTTATCAACAGTTTGGGAACAATGTGTTTGTTTTGCAATTTAGACTAAATAGTAGTCTTTTTATGAGAAGAAAAAATGTATTTTTTTTTAGTCGAAAATAATAAAAAGACATACCTGAATGGTGACTGTAGTTTGTTGGTCCTGATAGGTGGTGAAAACTTGTGATTTTTTAGTAGGGATGACAGTGTTTCTTGGAATCAGTTTAGTCATCACTCCTCCGACAGTTTCGATGCCGAGTGTCAATGGAGCAACGTCCAAGAGAAGAATATCTGGTGATCGGGGATGGATAGCATTTTCAGTATACGCATGCATGTAACATGTAACTGAATTGATTGATGATCAGGAAGAAATGAAGAGTGTTTGTTGTGTGTGTACCTTTGGTTTCGTCGCCACCTTCGCCACTCAAGATTCCTCCTTGAACTGCAGCACCATAAGCAACAGCCTCGTCGGGGTTTACGCCTTTGTTGGGCTCCTTCCCGTTGAAGTAATCCTTGAGAAGCTGTTGAATCTTCGGGATTCTTGTGCTTCCACCTACAAGTACAATTTCATCGATTTGGTTCTTTTGTAAACCAGCATCTTCCATGGCTTTCTTGACAGGGCCCATTGTCTTTCTGAATAGGTCGTTGTTCAGTTCTTCGAATCGAGCTCGGGTAAGAGGCTCGGAGAAATCTGTGCCATCGAAGAGGGACTCGATCTCCACTCGAACTTGGTGTTGACTGCTCAAAGCTCTTTTAGCACGCTCGGCTTCTCGCCTTAATTTCCCAATGGCCCTGTTATCCTTGCTAATGTCCTTCCCGTGCTTCTTCTTGATCAGTTTGATGAAGTATTCCATGATTCTCTGGTCAAAATCTTCACCTGATTGTAATCATCATAAAACATTGTTAGCATAATAAAAACCATGTTGTGAATTATCCTAGAAAGATTAATCTATATAAGCAGTTCAATATATTTCAACATTGTCTAGATCAAGAATGCAATTACTCAAACTCAGATCCAAGAAAAAGGTTTCGATTATAGTAGGAAAATGATTGTACGGAAGCATAATGATCCTTACCTCCTAAGTGAGTGTCTCCATTTGTAGCAAGAACTTCAAAAACACCATTATCAATTGTCAAGATACTGACATCAAACGTCCCGCCGCCAAGGTCGAAGACAAGAATGTTCTTTTCCCCACCCTTCTTGTCCAAACCATATGCAATTGCTGCCGCAGTCGGCTCGTTAATAATTCTTACGACATTCAGTCCAGCAATTGTGCCCGCGTCTTTAGTAGCTTGCCTCTGAGCATCATTGAAGTATGCTGCAGAACAGAACAGGAACAACAACAACATCAACATTGATTCGATATTTGTGACTTTAAGGCATTCAAAGACTCCAACTTACCAGGAACTGTAACAACTGCATCCTTTATTGTCTTCCCAAGGTAAGCCTCAGCTGTCTCCTTCATCTTAGTCAAAATCATGGCGCTGATCTCCTCAGGACTGAACACCTTAGTTTCCCCATCTTTAACTTTCACCTCTATGTAAGGCTTACCATCTTTGTTGATAATTTTGTAAGGAACAAGCTTCATATCCTTCTGTACTTCTTTATCCTCAAACCTATGGAGTAAACAGAATTAGAAACAGCCATAATATACTGTCCCAGAGTCACGGCTATAATTTATAGAAATGAAACAGAACGTACTTTCTTCCAATAAGCCTCTTGACATCAAAGATAGTCCTTACTGGATTAACTGCTGCCTGATTCTTTGCAGCTTCACCAATCAACCTCTCGCCGTCAGTGAAAGCCACCCATGAAGGAGTGATACGGTTACCTTGATCATTCGCCACGATTTCAACGTGTCCATTTTTATAAACACCAACACACGAATAAGTTGTCCCGAGATCTATGCCAATAACTGTTCCAAGTTTTGCAGCTTCTTCTTTCGCTATGGAAATCGCAAACAAACTCCCTGTTCCGAAAAAATACTTCCTTGTCAACATATTTACTGCAGTAACTGTGAAAGGTCTTGCAATGTCCAACATTCACATACATTGAAAGTTTCTACTCACTCATATCATTATCTGAACTCAAGCAAACATCAGATTATTTATCAACTAGTCTTTTTACGAAGAATAATTGTATGAAAACACTGAGAATCATAAACGCGTAGATTTTGCAGAATTTTATATAATTTGTGTTTGTTTTATTCATCACTAGCAAACATGATTCGAACAAAAAATAAATAAATAATCAGTACTTCAATATCACTACAAACTTATCATGGCTGTCCACAAACGTAACAATTTGCTTCCATACACCGTTCGAAAAGAATTCAATAACAGCATCCAGAAATGATTTCTTAAATTCCAACTGATTTCATGAATTGATCTTGTTCGTTCCTAACCAAAAAAATAATAACACAGCACTCTTACCATAATGCAATCGAACACCTTATTAGAACGAACACGCCACGGAAATAATTCATTAACACATACTCGCCACAATTGATTTAAACCGACACTCACCTATGAGTACGGTCCAGAGAACGATCGAAGACGCTGATCTCTTCCACGAGCCAGCCATTCCTGCAAAGCTCGGCTACCGACAATATTACTGATCTCTTTTCCCCTCGAACTCTGTAGCTTCTCCTCCAACGTGCGAACAGCGAATCTCTTAATCTGCAGAGAAATGAAGAGTGGAAAGAGCCTTTATATAGTTTGCAGCATCTCACGATACACGTCATCCTTGATTACGTGGACCAATCATATTTAGAGTGTGACGTGTTACTCGCCTGCCGCTGTTTGCTTTGAAGATTCGAGGCGATGTAGGGCGTTGATGACGTGGACCAATCAGAATCGACCAAGCGACGTGTAGGCCAATGACGTGGTTTCGAGACTTGGGGACGATCTCAGCCGTTGGTTGGCGATCGAATGTTCATCCTTTTTCTAGAAACTTCGAGTTTAGTCCGTGCGAACAAGTTTTCACACGTTGATTTTACTTTTTACTTTAAAAACTATAAAAATAAAAGTAATATCGTAATTTAGGAGTAGATCATGGTTATAATTTAATGAATTTAATTTTACTATAACATGTTTTATTATCACGTGACTATAAAATGTGGGGATTTAATGTATTATATTTTGCATCAATTTTTTATAATTATATATTAATTCTTTGAATAATTTTTTTTTTTAAATTTATTAATTTTGTATTGTTTTTTATAATTATATAATTAAACTTCGACATCATCCTGACTGAAGAAATAATTCCCCCAGCGCAGTTCGACATTTCTTGCGTTGTTCTCTTATTTCTTTTAATTATATGTAATTAATGATCAAACATATGGGTTCACTGTTGAGATCAACTATTGAGTTAAGTAGTTTCATTGTTTAATTGATTCATTTGTCAAAATTAATTAATATTTATTTGACATAATTTTTAATAAAATATGACATTATAATATCACTTATTTAAATACAAATTCAAATCAAACACTTTATTTTAAATACATTTCAAACCAAAATCTAACAGCCTCATTATTTTGCATAATTCACATTTCTTTCAATTTTAATATAGGGTTAGGTTTAATATAATATTTAAATATTTTTATATTAAATTAAATAAATATTCAATTAAACAATATCATTAATACATGTATGAAATTAAAGTTAGAATTCAAAGAATCAGAAAAAATATTCTTTTTCGACTTAATTAATTTGATCGATACGTACATGAGTACATCTAAATAAAAAGAGGTCGAGGCTAACTTAAATGACGTGGACGTTATGCGACGTCGTATGATCTATAAACTACCTGGTCGGTACCGCACGCGATAACTGCCCGAGTATAAATACGGTCCGTGCAGCGAAGCTCCAGCGGGAGAGGGAGGAAGTAAAAGGCCCCGATAATTATTGTTATTATTGCTTTTCCAATTCGCATTATTCAACCTCAGCCTTTACATTTACATTTTTTTTCTCTTTCTCACTCTAAAAACTCTCTCTCTGTCTAGGGTTTCCTGAGGCGCCGCTTTTGAATTCAACCGATCCGAGAGAGTGAATTCTTCTGCCGCGCTCGCTTCACCTCGAAGATCCCTTAGCCTCGGGTAATTTCGTCTGGTCCATGGTATTTTGTTTTTTTTTTTTGTGCGCGTTTTAGTGATAAGCGACGTCATCTGTTTTCCCATGTGGTTGAGTTTGGATTTAGTAGTTGGTAATCGGAGGAGCGATGGATCTGTGCTTCGGATTGATCTGATTGTGCTTATTTTTCTTATCTAAGCAATCGGTTGCCTGTTATGTTGGTCTGCGAATTTGAACATCTGGAATTGTAACCATTTATTTATTTTTTCTGGGGCTATAACGATGGATCGGATTATTTTGTGAAGTTTGTGTTGCGTTCTTACTCGGTTCGGGTACTGGCTAACGCGATTATTGTGGATGCACCTTTTCTTTTTTTCCTTGTAGCTGAGTTTACGCGGTTCATTTATAAATTTGATTGATTGTTGTTACATGGATTGATGTTTGACTGTAATATGTTAATGGTTGCTCCTGTGCACATTGGAGTAGATAAATGCGAATTTTTTGGTGTATAACTTGCGTGGCGCACTTTGGAATTTCATTGACCTGATTTATGCATCCCAATTCATAGAGCGTCGTATTTCTGAATGATTGAGTTTCATTGTTTTATTATTTTATTTTGTTTAATTTTATTTTAAATTTTAGTAGTGTTTTTTATTTACTGCCCCTCTCTATCTCATCTGTCAAGATGAGGTCCCTTCTTTGCTATTGCTTATACTGTTTTATAATATTGGTTCAACCTTTCAATATATATATGTATATTTCCATTTACTTGAGTGTAGGGGTATTAAAATTATTATTTCAGGTTCCTAGCATGATAAAATATTGTTTCTGTATATTGGCAGGAAGCATGGCTATGGAAGTCACCCAGTTCCTTCTAAGTGCCCAATCTGTTGATTCAACAGTAAGGAAGCATGCTGAAGAAACGATAAAACAATTTCAGGAGCAAAATTTTCCTGCTTTTTTGTTATCTCTTTCTGCTGAGCTCTCCAGTGAGGAGAAGCCAATTGACAGCCGTAAGCTAGCTGGTTTGATTCTTAAAAATTCTTTGGATGCGAAGGAGCAGCACAGAAAGTATGAGCTTGTGCAAAGGTGGTTATCACTCGATGTGGCCGTAAAGAATCAAATTAAGGCATGCTTGTTGCAGACCCTCTCTTCAACTGCATCTGAGGCTAGGTCAACTGCAACTCAAGTGATTGCAAAGGTTGCTGGCATTGAACTTCCACAGAAGCAATGGCCTGAGCTTATAGTAACCCTCCTGTCAAACATTCACCAGGTCCCACCACATGTCAAGCAAGCTACACTTGAAACTCTTGGGTATATTTGTGAGGAGGTTGTTCCAGAGGTTGTTGAGCAAGATCATGTAAATAAAATACTTACGGCTGTTGTACAAGGCATGAATGCTAATGAAAGTAATATTGAGGTTCGACTTGCTGCCACCCGAGCTCTATATAATGCCCTTGGATTTGCTCAGGCCAACTTTTCGAATGATATGGAAAGGGATTACATAATGAGAGTTGTTTGTGAGGCCACACTCTCTCCAGAGGTTAAAATTAGACAGGCTGCCTTTGAGTGTTTGGTGTCTATTGGGTCAACATACTATGAAAAGTTGGCCGCATACATTCAAGATATATTCAGCATTACATCAAAAGCTGTCCGTGAAGATGAAGAGCCTGTTGCTCTACAGGCAATTGAATTTTGGAGTTCAATATGCGATGAGGAAATTGACATTCTCGAAGAGTATGGAGGTGATTTTACAGCAGATTCTGATATTCCGTGTTTTTATTTTATCAAGCAGGCTCTCCCTGCACTTGTACCCATGCTATTAGAAACACTTCTAAAGCAAGAAGAAGGTCAGGATCAGGATGAAGGGGCCTGGAATCTTGCAATGGCTGGTGGGACTTGTCTTGGTTTGGTAGCCCGGACAGTTGGGGATGACATTGTTCCACTTGCTCTGCCATTTATTGAGGAAAATATAACAAAAGCTGATTGGAGGCAACGAGAGGCAGCCACTTACGCATTTGGTTCTATATTGGAAGGTCCTTCGCCTGATAAATTAATCCCTATAGTCAACGTTGCTCTGAACTTTATGCTTGCTGCTTTGACTAAAGATCCAAGCAGCCATGTTAAGGACACAACTGCTTGGACCCTAGGGAGAATATTTGAATTCCTTCACGGTTCAACAGTGGAGACTCAGGTTGTTACTTCAGCAAACTGTCAGCAGATAATCACAGTTCTCCTTCAAAGTATGCAAGATGCTCCTAATGTTGCTGAGAAAGCTTGTGGTGCTCTCTATTTCCTTGCCCAAGGTTATGAGGACATAGGCTCGACATCACTTTTGGCACCATATTTTCAAGAAATTGTACAGTCCCTTCTTAATGTCACTCATAGGGAAGATGCTGGAGAGTCACGGCTTAGAACTGCAGCCTATGAGACACTTAATGAAGTAGTTAGGTGCTCAACAGAAGAGACTTCTCGCTTAGTGTTGGAACTTGTTCAAGTCATAATGACAGAGCTTCACAAGACACTTGAAGCTCAAAAACTTTCATCTGATGAGCGAGAGAAGCAAAATGAATTACAAGGTCTTCTTTGTGGCTGTTTACAAGTCATCATTCAGAAATTAAGTGCATCAGAACCCACGAAGCATGCCTTCATGCAGTATGCAGATCAAATTATGAATCTTTTCCTACAAGTTTTTGCTTGCAGAAGTGCCACTGTCCATGAGGAAGCCATGCTCGCTATTGGCGCCCTTGCTTATGCAACAGGGCCAAACTTTGCGAAGTACATGCCGGAGTTTTACAAGTATGTAGATATGGGTCTCCAGAATTTTGAGGAATACCAAGTTTGTGCAGTCACTGTTGGGGTTGTGGGTGATATTAGCAGGGCATTGGAGGATAAGATTCTGCCTTATTGTGATGGTATAATGACCCACCTCCTGAAAAATTTGTCGAGCAATCAGTTGCACAGATCTGTGAAACCTCCCATCTTTTCCTGCTTTGGAGACATAGCACTCGCAATTGGTGAGAACTTTGACAAATATTTAATGTATGCCATGCCTATGCTGCAGAGTGCTGCAGAGTTATCGGTCCACACATCAGGTGCTGACGATGAAATGATTGAATATACTAATCTTCTAAGGAATGGCATTCTAGAGGCATTTTCTGGGATCTTTCAGGGTTTCAAGAACTCTCCTAAAACACAACTGCTGATTCCATTTGCACCTCACATACTGCAATTTCTGGATAGCATTTACATGGAAAAGGATATGTGAGTATACTTCTTTTTGTTAGTAAATTATATAGTCTTAGTTTGCAGTTCATATTTATTTCAATTAATATGATTTTGCTATCAATCTGATCATATAGGGATGATGTTGTTATGAAAACTGCTATTGGTGTCCTTGGAGATTTGGCGGATACTCTGGGAAGTAACGCTGGCTCTTTGATCAAACAATCTCTTTCAAGTAAAGACTTTTTGAATGAATGTTTGTCTTCGGAGGACCACTTGATCAAGGAATCTGCTGAGTGGGCAAAATTGGCCATTAGCCGTGCTATATCTGTTTGAAGTGTTCACTTGAGTGCATATTTTCCTTATCTGCATGCATATGGTCGAGTCGAGTCTGGTCCCAGGTTGGACAGTAATAGTGTCAAAAGTGTCATGTCGGGTCACTGCCATTTTCTGACAGCAGAAGTATTTTTGCTTCTTGTTGTCACTAACTCATGCATCAGCATCATGGAGTCAGGGTTCCTTTCTTTTGCCATGGGGGTGGGTGGAAGTTGGGTAAGGATGGGGGTGGGGCGGGGTTGGATGTCTTTTTCGGGGTGGGGGGGTAGGAATGGGAGATAGTCGGTTGGCAATGGCAGCGTCCCAAGACCTTCTGGACGATGCAGATTTGGTGATTGACTACAGAGGGGCCATTAAAGTGCTGAGTGGACATTTTTTCATTCATGCTGCATGCTAACTTTTTGGTCTGGTTCAGGTGTCCATGTTCCCGGTGCTACGTGCTCGTCAAGTAATCTTATTTGGATCGTAACACTGCATCAAGTTTTCACTTTCCATGACACCTGGAGTCGCAGATTGTCACCTCCATATTTATAATTTCTTACATTTTAATTACGTGTCGACATTTTTGCATCCCGTATGTTGTATTGCTGTCACAAAGTCGGTTTTTGCATACTTTTAGCACATCATATTGCATAGAGTCATCGTGGTTTTGGTCTTGCTCTTAGTCCTTTGTCTTCATCATATTTAGCTTAGGTCATTCATTTTGCATTCTCTCATTCATCTAGTAGTCAGTGAGCAAGTCATTTAGGCATTTCACAGGTCGTACAGAGTCAAAATTACCGTCGATTTTCAAGAAACATGATGCATTTTTATTTTTATTTTTATTTTTTTTCCCCTTCTTGTTGTGCTCTGTATTTTGTTTGTGATATTTGGGATGTCATGTAATTTTTTGATGACATTGTTGAGTATATGATTGAAGAAGAATCAATTCCTGCCCAGAAGCAATGAATGTATTTGTCACCTGGTACACTATTCATCTCCCATACCTCTTTTGTATTTTTATTATGTTTGTGGTATTTTTATTTTTTTATTTTTCTATTTACCAATGTAAAGTTTGTTTGTATCAACTTGTTTGGTTTTTGTTTTTGTGAATTATGATAATGCCTCTCTTTTTATAGTATTATGTTTTTCATGTGCTATTAACAATCCCTGGTTTTCTTATATTTTGTAGATCAAAATATTTTGTGAAGAGGCTTATCTTCCAAATATTTGGTCCACAAAAAAAAGGGTAAGAAAGATATGTACAGGAACATCACATCAAGGCGCACAAATAGGCAGCCATTTTTTTGGGCTTGCATTATTCAGTAACATAATTTAAATCTTGTTTGTGACATGCTGAATCAGGTCTGCAATCATTAAATTTTATTTCTCTTATAGGAAAATTTATTTCTCTTTGGCTTCATTTCATGTGGTCATCTTCTTGGTTTATAATTTGGGGTTTGGTTTATGCTTTTGTTTTTTTTTTTTTTTTTTTTTTTTTTTTTTTTTTTTTGATAATTTGTGAGAGATAATAATATAATACTGTTAGTTTTAATAAAATTGGATAGTAATTGTTAAATTTTTTGCTTTTTATAGTAAATATATATATATAAATTAATGTATTTTTTTTCTTTTTTTTGGCTAAAAGAGAATTGAGTATTTTATTTATGACAATTCAAAAAGAAAAATTAACGTAGATTTGGATGCATAGAATTTAATTTTACAAGAATTCAGTAGTTAGTGTTACGTAGTAAGAATAAAATAAAATAGAAACAAATTCTAATTGAAGTGAGTAATTTTTATCATTGGGTTTATCTTGTAATTTGTTTGAAATGTTTCCTGAAGTTCTTTTTTATGCATGAATGTGGATGTCAATATAATCAAGTTGAATGATATGTATAGTACCTTGTTTTTAACTAGAAATTTGCATGTAATTTATTAAGTAAGGATTTTTTTATTCACATGAAATATGTTTTTGTGTTATTTTGTATAATACAAGATTAAATTAAACAATAAAATTTATATCATGTATCTTGCTCATTCAAAATAAACAATGCAGTATAATCTACTTTGTATTTAATGTGAAGACTTATTTTATTCTGACCAAGAATGAAGAGGTTGACATAATGTGTGTTTTGGTTGGTGTTGCAGTATACTTATTGTGTTAAATTAAATTAAAGGGCCTACAGAATGCAGACAGCTGCACCAAATTGAAAGTAGGATGACAATAGAAATTTGTTATTTTTTTTAAAGAAAAAAAAAATATAATATTAAATATTTAATTTTTTCTAGTATTTTAAAATTTCAAAATTTCAAAATTTGTTTATGAATGAAAGTGGCCATCCTCGTAAGTGTAATTATTGAAGGGACATTTATTTCAGTTTGGGCATAAATTTCAAACCCTCATTGTACGACCTAACGTGTTAAATTAATTAAGTAGAGCATTTGTTTCATGTTTAGTCCTACTTTTGTTGTGGGATTCAAACCCCTTCAAAAATAAGGTCCACTCATATTGCCTCGTAAGGGTGCTCTCTAATCGAGATATGATAATTGTTTACTCAAATATATATATATATATATATGTATATATATGTCACAATTGCTTTCAGTTAGAGCAGTTAAACGAACGAGTCATTCGTTAACTCGGCTCGATTAAGTTTGATTAAAGCTTGTTCGCGAATGTTAACAAATCGAACAACATAAACAGACTCGTTGCTCGAACTTTGTTTGCGAACGTTCGTTTAAATAATATATTTATTATAAATATTATATATACATATAAAATATTAATTTAAAATATATAAATAAAATATTAATTTAAAATATATAAATAAAATAATTTTAAATTTTCTTTATAATTTATATATAAATTTTTTTTAAAAATAAGACAAACGAGTTCGAACGAACTTCATCGAGCCTAAACGAGCCGAACATGAACACGAGCTCAAACAACAAAAATTTTTAACGAGCCGAGCTTGAACACTACGAACGAGCTCGAAAGCTTAACGAACGAATACGAGTCTTGTTTGCGAACGTTAACGAACACTTAAAATTTGACTCGGCTCGAATTATTAAAAGCTTTACTTTCAGTGTAAAATATTAACTCTATATAAATATATAAATACAAAGAAAAAATGAACATAAAATTTGATACCAGAGATAATACATATAATTTAAATACTTCTTCTTTCATTTTTTTTTATTTTAGTCGTTCTATAATAAAATAATCATTTTAGTTTTTTTTAGTAACGAAATCTACCTAACATTACAAATATCATTCCAATTTACAATATATTATAGATATGTCATTACTTTTATATCATATGATACTAATAAGGTTAATTTAGTATTTTTACATTTATTTCTATTGTATTCAAATATAATAATAATATTTTCAAAATTCTGTACAACAAACAAATTGATAGATAGATATGAGACGATGAAATATATAAATATGAAATGGATAGCACGTGTTAATAATATAACACATAGATATGTTAACAAAAATATAATACAGTATATGCTCATGTGTTGATTATCTTAATCAACATTCTAATTGCCTTACTCATATGTTTATAGTTATTCCGTTGAATTTTTAATTAAGTAAAATGTTGATAAGATATTAAATAATACTCTTTCCATCAGCTTATAATATATACAAAATTTTATTTTAAATTGTCCAATTATAAAATAATTATTTTATTAAATATCTTATTTACTCACAAATATTATAACTTTATTATCACATCGTTACTTTTATTAAAAAATATATATCATTATTTTTATATTATTTAGTTACTCGTACAATTAAAATACCAAATTATGCTCTTACATAGTATCATTAATTACAATATAAATACAGTAGACTGTAAATAGAATTGTTAGACTATCTTAAATTAATAAATTCTATTTATATAGTTTTAACTCTATATCTTATTCGAATCCGTCTTTTTTAATTCAATTTTAGGTTCCGGTTTCTGGAACCGGACGATGGGTTGTCGGTCCAATATTAGACCAAATTTCATTACTCGGGAAAAAAAAATACATGTCTTGTGGCGGCATGTTTTGGATGAAATGAATTAAAGGAGGACTTTTAAATTTATAGTATATGATATAAATATTTAATTATGTAATAGAATATATATATACTTTTATAATAAATAATAATATATAATATATAGTACTGGATCCGGGTCAGTTCTGCATCGGAACCATAAATACTAAATCTAGTACCTTAAGATGCGGATCAGGTTTTAAAATCGGATCCAAATTTTAATTGAGTTTCGCATCCGAATGCAAGAAATTTATACCGAGGTCAGATCGGATCCAATCCCAAACAGACCCAATTGACAACTCTAGTTGCAACACTAAAATTGACAACACAAAAAGTTAATGTGAGATTTAGGGTCAGGTGGAGTCAACCGACGCCAAATCAATCAACGTGACGCCATTAATGATATATATAATGTTTGTCTATTTATAATGCGTTGATGGAAAAAACATATATTCATTTCTCCTGATCAACTCCAATCGAAGCCAAATCAATCAACTCAATGCCATCAATGAAAAAAAAAATGTAATGTTTGTCTATTTACATTGCATTGATGGGAAAAAAATATATTGATTTATCCCGATCAACTCCCACTGAAGCCAAATCAACCAATCCAACGCCATTAATGAAAAAATATATATATAACGTTTGTCTATTTATAATGGGTCGATGGAAAAAATATATTGATTTGTCCCGATCAACTCCAACCGAAACCAAATTAATCAATACAACGCCATTAATGAAAAAAAATATATGTAATGCTTGTCTATTTATAATGCCTTGATGGGAAAAAAAAATATACTGATTTGTCCCGATCAACTCCTACCGAAACAAAATCAATCAACTCAACGCCATTAATGAAAAAAAAAAAAAACGTAATACTCGTCTATTTATAATGCCTTGATGGAAAAATATATATTGATGGAAAATAATATATTGATTTTTCCCAATCAAAACGACCTCTCCCCTCGTGTATTCACAAAATATTAATTTTTTCATCTAACATATTAAAAAAAATAATTTTTATTTTAAACTATTTTATCAAATACTTATTCATATCATTGATATTTGAAATATTATTTAAATTAATTATATTTATTATTATTTCCTATTTTCAAACCTCAAAATCCAATCCAAACACCAATATGATTTTAAAAACAACAAAATTATTCATTTTGTCAGCCAAATTTATTTTAATTTATTCAATTAAAAAATGTCAAAAAAATTTATATTTAATAATTAATTTTTTTCAATCAATATTTATTTACTATTACTAATTTTATTACATTCTTTTTAATTACTAATTAAATTTAAAAAAAAATAATCCAAACTATCTTTTTATTTTTTTCTAATTCCAAAAAATATATTATTAATAAATAACATTTAAAAAAAGAATCGAATTAGCAAAAACAACCATACCATTTATTTTTTTAGGGGTTGTAAGTTGTATCTGATATTGCACGACGTTGATTTATGGAAAAAGTGGATTAAAGTCTCGCACTACTAACTGCTCCAAAAGAATTATTGTAGAAACAAAAGGAAAAAAAAAAAAAACTGCGCGGATAAAAGGGCTGAGATTTAGGTCAGTAAATTCTCTCAATTTCTGCAGATCAAATGTGAAATCCGAATCGGTATGAACTTCGCTCTCTCCGCCGAGCTTCGAACTGACTGGAATCGAATTGTTGTTGCCCGGTGCTTGCGATCTATCACTTGTGTAGGGAGAGTTGAAAAAGATTTGATTTGAACCCTAATTTTCCCTCAGCTTGTGGTCGGAATTTGTGCATTGAATCGCCGCTGGATTTTGAACTTCTTGGTAGAGGAGATTCGCGAAATGGAGAGATCGAGATCTAAGAGGTACTATTATGACCAGGACTATGAATCCGAACCGCTACACCCTCGGAGCAAGATGCGCTACGGCGGCGGCAATTCGCACGGCGGCGGGGGTGTTGGCGGCGGCCACTATTATGGTTCTAATTACAACCGCCGCTCCTCGACTGGAGGCGGCGGCGGTGGTGGCGGCGGGGGCAGGAAAATGCCGGACCAGTCGCTGATGGTGACGACGAGTTACCGGATTCTATGCCACGACGCGAAGGCTGGCGGCGTCATCGGGAAGTCAGGGAGCATTATAAAGGCGATTAGGCAACACACAGGGGCGTGGATCAACGTGCACGAGCTGGTGCCTGGGGATGAGGAGAGAATAATCGAGATTTCCGATACGCGGCGGAGGGACCCGGAGGGGAGGATGCCGTCGTTCTCGCCGGCGCAGGAGGCGTTGTTTTTGATACACGAGAGAATATTGGAATCTGAAATGGGAGCCTATGGTGGATACGGGGAGGATGAGGCTGAGGAGTATGGGAACAGGGGAGGCGGCGGCGGAGGTGGCGGTAGGGTAGTGACGAGGCTGGTGGTGTCTCGAATGCACGTCGGCTGTTTGTTGGGGAAAGGAGGGAAGATAATTGAGCAGATGAGGATGGAAACCAAGACTCATATAAGGATTCTTCCCAGAGATCATACTCTGCCGCGGTGTGTTGCAATGTCGGAGGAGATTGTTCAGGTTTCGATTGAACTCTTCAGTATTTATTCACATGGCATCGAAAAATTTGTCTTTGATTCGACCTGGAGCTTACTGAAAAATGAAAATGGATGTGCCAGGCTTGAAAAAATAACAATTTTTGTTATGATTCTAGAACTGAAAAATGAAAATGGATGTGCCAGGCTTCAAAACATAACTATTTATGTTATGATTCTAGAACTGAAATGACTGTGAATTAAGGACATTGCCCGACTGCCTTCGGACTAGAAGCTCGTGATAATTGGATGTGGTTAATGTCTACACTGTTTTGGGACTTTCTATTTTATGATTTAGTGACGAAGAACAGACCACATTAATATGCTTTAATCCGACCACATGAATTGGGCTAGATTATATTGTGCAAAAATGGATTGTTCTAATAGCTTGCTTGAGTAAACTTACAGCTTTTGGTTGATTGAATTTTTTTTCTTGTCGAATAAATTTTATGGTTTTGGTGAGGGCTTTCTTGCTTTTGCAAACCTTATTGTTACTGCTAATAATCTCATATTTTTCCATTTTTTAGTTTCTTTTGTGGTAGTGTGCAAGGTCCGTGTGATTCTCGTCATTTAGACCCGTTACGCAAGCTTTGTCCAGATTTTTATTTTATCCCTACGCGTGAAAATGAACCGCCCAAGTAGACCCTTTAAGGAAAGTGTTGTATTATTATGAATGCTGTATGATATTGGATTCTAATCGTATCTTGTTTCAGGTGGTTGGTGATATGAATGCTGTAAAAAGTGCTATAACAAATATTTCTTCTCGCTTGAGAGAGAGTCAGCATCGTGATAGAAGCCATTTCCACAATCGAATACATTCTCCTGACAATTTCTTCCCTACTGATGATGATTTTCATATGAACAGCACACCAAGGCGATCTTCTGTTGAAGGGCCTAGCTTTGGATCTAGGTATTCTGCCAATCACAGGGGCAATAATTATTCTGCCCGATCATCTGGATTTGGTTTTGAATCCGGGCCTGCTTCAGAAGTCGACAATGCTCAATTATATTCGGGTGAGGATCTTGTGTTTCGCATGCTTTGCCCTGCTGAAAAGGTTGACAATGTGGTTGGGGAGTCGAGTGGAATCATTGATTTGCTTCAAAACGAAATTGGCGTCAATGTTGATATTTCTGATCCTGTTAATGGGTCAGACGAGCATATAATAATCGTATCATCTGAAGAGGTATTGGACAAAATTCTAAATTTTAATTGTTTTCCAAAAATGCATTTTCTAGGTCAAGTAAACTGATTCACTTGTTATGTCTTCAAGGGTCCTGATGACGAGTTATTTCCTGCTCAAGAAGCTTTGCTGCATATACAAAACCGAATTGTCGATCTTGTTCCAGAAAAAGAAAACATCATTACCACTCGGTTGCTTTTGCAAGCAGACGAAGTTGATTCTGTAGTGGAAATGGGGAAAATTGGCGGTGTGAAAGTAGAAATACTGTCGAGAGAAGAGATTCCTGCTGGTATATCCGGGACATATGAGATCGTACAGGTCTGTTAAACATATGTTCGCGAGTAATTACCATTTGTATAGTGATTATTGCAATGTCTGTAGAAATAATAGAGTTAATATTGTGTCGTATTTTGTTTTTCATGTAATATAGATAACCGGGGAGATCAAGGCTGCTCGAGAGGCTTTGGTGGAGGTGACATACAGAATTCGAAGTTACATTTATCGAGAATTTATTGAAAAGGAAACCTTTGTACGGCAAGGTTCTGCCCCCTCCCATGGTGATACACCTGTGGAACCCGAGTCAGTTTCTCGGAATAACACAGGTCCGACTGTGGAAACACATACTGGAAATGGTCCTGTAGTTTCGACTCCCCAAAGTTCAGCGTCCCCTGCAGCACTACAGAAAGTTAAGGTTTGAAGAAATGCCTAGTCCCATCTTCAAATTGTGATTGTTAGTTACTTATATTTTGTCACTGTAAAATGTAAATAATTGAATAATCTGCAGGACATGGAGCCACCAAATGTCGAGACACCTAAACAGCAGGAGAGCGAGCGGCGTGAAGATCAACCGAGCGGATTGAATAGGTCGGATCATCCTTCTTTACATCTTCTTGCAAGGACATCGATTTTAATTTACATTCATACTATTTACACACACTATTATGTTGCCAGAATTTCTGTACCTCTTGTTACCAAAAGTACGCTGGAAGTTGTTATCCCGTCTCATGCTGCAGCCGAACTTGCTAAGAAATCAAGAAAACTTGCGCTGATCAGTGAGGCGAGTGCTGTCGAGTTTTTTATATTTCGATGCTTAGATCTGATTGTGTACGGAACTGTTACTAATATCTATATGCTGACAGCTATCGGGAGCAGCTGTGAAATTGATCGACGACAGACCAGAAGTAACAGAAAAAATTATCCAAATATCGGGCACTCCTGAGCAAGCTGAGAGAGCGCAGAGTTTGCTTCAAGGGTTTATTTTAAGCAGTAATCTCTCTCTCTCTCTTTAAAAAATTATGATGCGATAAAAGCAAAATATCTTCGTATTTATGTGCATCTGCATTTATATAACGATTTTTTCAGCTGAAGAAGACGGGCCTTGAATGCGACGCAGAGCAGTTACTTATCATTGTCCTCGAAGCAACGGTTTTCTCAACAGTTGGAGTTTCGGTATTCTTACAAGCAGATGTTGCTGATTGTTGTCAATGTACAAATGAATCTAAGATCCTGACAATGCTTGGAATTTAGGTTAGATAGATATATATAGATATATGCATCATTGTGTGTTGGTTTTTGCATTAATTTGGGGGAAATGCATGTTTGGATTTTTGCAACTCTTACTGAGTCTGAATGGTATTCACAATCACAGCCACCCATTGTTTCATTTACTTATGGCTCTTGAAACACATGATGATAGAAATGTCTGTTTTTCAGTTGAAGTTTTATGTTTCTTTTTAAGTAGTTTGGAAAATTTTGACTTGAGTTCGGTATTAAAATGATGTACGATGGGATATTTTGTGAAAGAAAAAAAAATATTTTTTTCGAAAAATACAGAGTCCAAATAGTATAACTTGTGGTTTGAAGTTACAGAAATAAACCCGGATAAGAAAATGAAAATACCTGTCTGAAGGAAAATTGTTGTGTACTGTGTTTTCAAAAAACAAACTGTGTTTGTTTGATGGTTTGGATTTTTATTTGGGGTTTCAAACGTATATAAATTTTGAATTGGAATTGCAATATTGTATTGATTTTTAGTATAATATAGGAAATAAAAAAAAATATGAGTTTGATTTGATATTTTGTGGTGAATTTGTTTTTTTAATAGTAAAAATTGGATAAAATTTGATAAGAGAAAACACATAGTATTTTATTAAATAAAAAATCAAATTATAATTAGATTATTGTTCTTTCTAAAATAAATTCATAGTTTATTCAATTTAATTAAAATCATCACAAATTTTACTTTCATATCTAATTCAAGATATTATTCAGTTTGTATACAAAATTCTTTTTTTTTTTTTTTTAAAGGAAAAAAATAATTGGGGGAGTGCAAGAACGGGAAGATGAATCAAAGTATTTGAAATCCAAACATTGGATTCTAGCAAAATTGAAATTTAAAATTTTGTTCAAATTTTCAGATTGATTAAAAATAATTTTTTTATAAATTTTCAAATCAGTTCCTATTCCCCAAATTTTCACAATACAAAGACAAGGCTTGAGATCACATTTTAAAATTATTTTGACACCATAAAGTATTCGAAATCAAGGCTGGATGCATGACTTTATTGCGAATGAAGTAGAATTCAAAATTTTGAAATCTTAATACGTCCGTTATAAGAAATTCTAATAGATTTTTCAACCAAAATCAAACAAAATTCCACATGAACTTAAAACATCAATTTTTAAATTGAAAGTACACTACGGGGAAAAAAATGGATAATGTTTTAGAATGTGAAAGAGACATTGAGAGGAAAAAATTATAATGCTTTCGAATTTTTGATTGGTTTCGAATTACTCTTAACACCACGTGTAGCAAGTGATACCAAGGTCGATCCACAGGGACTGTGAAGTTCAATTTTTGTTTTGTCACAATTTTAAATATTGGGGGATGGATTAGCAATTCACTAAAATAATTAAAATAAACGATGGAAAATAAAATTTTGATTTCAAAGAGATTAACTTCTAGCCCAATGAGTGAATAAGAAACCGAATTAAAGATTCGATCATTGATTTTAAATAATCTTTATATTCAACTGATAAATTGGTTATAGGCATTAGATACAATCATAATACCCAATTTTTCTTTACTTTATTGACGGCAATTGTACGACCTATTAACCGCACCCCTAATCAAAGAAATAATCTAGGTACGAACATAAATTAATTTCTCCAATTGAAAATAGCATGAGAAAAACCCAATTCAAATATTTAATCAATACGAAAAGATTAAATTATTTGATCATGCGATTCCTAGGTTAAACTTGTTAACCTATTTACCACTTTATGAAACACATACACAATTACGGATGTAAATGTTCAATTGGCATACAATTGCTAAACCAATTTAAGATCCGGCCAAGATCAAATAAAACAATTGCAGACATGAATAACAGAAATCACACAAACATCAATTTAGTTAAACAAGATTCAAATTAACTCATAACACAATCTCACAAATCTCAATCCAAAATCTACATTCAACCTTGGACTAGACTAGGAATTTAACTACTCATATTTATAAATAAATAAATAAAACAATAAACTTGATATCATCCAAAAGTGCTTCCTCTCTAAACGGGCTTCTCAATCCTCCACTTAGACTATGAAAAGTGAGTATGAATTGTGATACCACATCCAATGTCTTGGCCCCCTTTTATAGATGACCGGGTCTCAATCACTCCGTAATCCAGATGCCAATAATCAAGCTTTAATTCCGTAATTCACCTCTTTCCTTACCATTGGAGCTTAATTCAAGTCTTTCCAAAATTCTTTGATCGAAAATATGGTATGGACGTGAATCGTTCAATTACCTCGCACAAATCAATACAGTGAGTATGAATCTATCCAAAACATTAATTAAATCTTATAATTTATTTCTAGAAAATATATAATAATATATTTTTATCAATAATGCAGATGTCTTAAATTCTGAAAAATTATATTCGAATTAATTTGTTAAAAAAAATCCAAATTTTTGAACAGGTTGGTATTGGACAAAATCTATTCAAAAAGCGAATGTTTATGTTTAGGTTATTCTCTATATCAGATAATCTGGAATAAGGCCCAATGCATAAGCTCAGATCCAGCCCCAAATTGAGCTATCATTAATCCTACTTTCTTCTCCAATGGCAGTGGACTGGACTCGAATCGAAGTGCTCCAGCCGTGACTCACCTCGACTCGACCATCGGGCGTTTCAATGGCTTCCGCGTTCCACTGCTCATTCTCGTTCACTCGAATCTGGTTAGCTCTCTTATTTATTTATGGACGATCGCTCGTATCTTCTAGGTTATGTTAGAAAAAAATAAAGAGGTTATGTTAGAATTTCTGTTAAGAGTTGTGACGGCGGATCGAGGTGCTCTGTATTTTCAACAATTGCTACTTATGGATTTGTATGTTATTTGAACAATTTGGAAACATGAAATAATTCTTCTGGTGCAATTGGTGGATTTCGAGTCGATACGTCAGTAAGGAAGCTAGATAGTATTAGGTATTATAAACACATTTCAATGTTAATATTCAAAAGTATGAAGTAGTAGTTAGTACTCTTCAGAAATGTTCTGTTAACTCATTAAGGAAGAGTGGAAATTGTTTCTTTGAAACAAGAGTTGGTGGTGCGCTTTGTTAATCATTATCTTGTTTGCCATGGAGTCAATGTTTTCTAAGCATAACGTAACTTTACTTCTATTTGCTGAAGCTCAAATATATTTTCTAATTTTCAGGATGAATCCAATGTCTGTATCAACTCAATCAAACTACTTACGATTGAAGAAACTTTTTATCTGCACATGTGCCCCTGTGGGCGTCCCATTTCCAAATAGTTCTAAGATATGTATGGTACCATTCAACCTATTTTCCAAAAGGCATTCTGTCAGAAGTTTTGCAGTGGATACACTGTTAGGGGATGGAGCTATACAGCTTGAAAGACATGGGACTCCCAGTTTTTTGAATCAAAACAATTCCCAATGGTAAGAGCGTAGTACGCAACTGTTGATCGATGGTTATAGGTACAATACTGTTCTGAGTGATTTTGTATGTGTGGTGTTTAATTGTAGGACTGCTGCCTATCTTATGAGAATACATATATGTATTGTTTCTAGAAGTGCCATAATGTTTCTGAAAGTTAAATGAGCCATTTAAACAGCTAATTAGGAACCAATTTTTAAATTAAGTGTTGGGCAAAACTTGTGCTTAAAGCATTTGTTTGCAAAGATTATTGATGCAAAACAGCTAGTAAGCAACCGATGTATATATATATATATATTTTCTTCTTGCTATAAAGATGTTTTACTTTTCCATTTGCATATGAATAGATCCCAAATTGTCGTTAATTAACTGTAGCATTAACTTATCCAGGAGCTCAAATGATCTTGAAGGACAGCTTCAGGAGTTATTTGATGAAATTATGAATATGATTAAATTGGGAAAGAAAGATGAAGCAATAGATTTGCTTCAAGCCAATCATGAAGCTGTTAAGGAGCAGGTGGATTCCGGAACTGGAAACATAGCAGAAGCTGCTGTTCTTGATGTCTTACTCTTGGGCTACATGGCCATCGGGGACTTACAGACTGCCCAGATCGTAATAGATGAGGTAATTTAAATTTTGTACTGCAGTTGGCCATTAACTTCTGTTTGAAGCTCTGGATCACACAAAGTGGTATCCGGTATAAACTTTCAAATGTGTCGCTTTCTGTTGGATGATGGTTTACAGAAACAATTTAATTTGAAAAGAGTTTAGCCTACTACCTTTATTAAGATTTTATTCCCATAGAGAATACTAATAATTCTCACAATAGTAACATGATAGATGGTTTTGGGAGGGAACATAAATAGTCTGCAAATTTTGTTTTATCAACTGCGTGATTCATATTTAGATAAGGTTAGTGATTCACCACTCCAAATATCCGTGATGGAGTTCTTTTCAGGAGTGTCTGTTGTTTGTGAAAATTATGCCGCATTTGATCATGTACACTTGAAAACTTTTCATGTTGCCCTGAACAATAAATCTTATTCCAGTTGCACAAGATCGTGAATGAGTTAAACGATGACGAAATGCTTGTTGATTCAATACTCATGCATATGGGAAGTATCTACGCTAAGTTGGAAAAGTTCGATTTGTCCATTTGTGTCTACAGAAGATGCCTCCAAATTATGGAAAGTAAATATGGTAGGTTGAACTTCAACAGGTAAATGTTGTAACTTCAATTTTGATTGTTCCTAGTATCTCTGTTTATAAGATACTGTTTCTTCTTTTTGGGAAAAACTGTTGATTAAACTATTAACTGACATGATTATGCCAAATTTGTAAGCAGTTTTTTTGCTTTTTCCTTTCATATGGTAGGAAGTAAGAGCTCTTTCCTTTGCACGCCATTACTGGGAATGGCAAAAGCTCTAGGCAATAGCAGAAGGACCCCCGAAGCATTGGAAATATATCAGAAAATTATTAATATATTAGAATCTTGCAGAGGAGAATATAGTGAAGAATTGGTGGTTCCATTATCTGCATTAGGTAACTTTCTGATAAAAGATGGAAAAATTTCAGATGCTGAGCACCAATTCGATAGGTTTGTCCACCAAACAGTTGAGATTTGTCACATTTGGCCTATATTCATTCTGATGCTTAAGCATCTTCGCCTTTCCTTTTGCGACAGGATTCTAAAGATTTACACAAGGTTATATGGAGAAAAGGATGGTAGGGTTGGAACAGCAATGTGTTCTTTGGCCAACGTGAAATGTGCGAAAGGTAAAATTTATTGAGGTTTTTATGCAAAGAATTTACTTATATATACATAATTAGCCTTGTGTCGTAGAGTTGAATTTCTGTCGATTGATATCCTTAAAAGGCTTCCTTATAACTTTGAATTCTATAATTCATCACATGCCTTCTTTTCTGCTGCTATTCTCAGGGTTTCACTCTATAATATTGATGCATAAATTCTCTGTTTTTCGTCAGGAGATGTGAATGAAGCTATTGACCTGTACAAGAGTGCTCTCCAGATCCTCAAGGATTCAAAAAGTGTGCCTTTGGACGACAAAGATATGGAGAAGATGAGAATAGACTTAGCTGAACTACTTCATGTAGCAGGGAGGTAAAAATATGCCGTCAGTTGGTTTAGTGTTTTCATGTTCACCGGACTTCCAGCTGAGATTTATATTTTTCAACTCTTCTTCCTAGGAAGTTTCTTATTAGTTTTTGGGTGTTTATATTGCATTCAGATCCTACGTCGTCTGAAATTATATTTTACACACACCAAGAACACATAGACATTGCTCAATGACCACTGGTCGTTAATAGTTGTTCGATAGAAGAAATGTCTAGAATCTAAGTATACATTTATTTATGTTGGATTATCATGATATTCGTTACTTGCAGGGGAGAAGAAGGCCGAACCCTGTTGGAAGAATGCTTGTTCATAACTGAGAAATATAAAGGAAAAGGACATCCCAGCTTAGTACCCAATCTTGTAAATCTCGCAACCTCCCATTCACGCTCCAAGAATTTTGCTGAAGCTGAACGCCTACTGCGAATAGGTCTACAGATAATGATGAAGGCTGCACCCCCTGACGATCCATCTATTACCTTCCCCATGTTACATTTAGCCGTTGCTCTTTACAATCTACATCGTGACGAAGAAGCAAAAAAACTTGCATTAGATGCTTTGCTTATCCGTGAAAAAGCATTCGGAAAAGAATCTTTACCCGTTGGTAAGAACGCCTATTTTTACATGGTTCACTAAATATGATGGATTACATTTTATTAAATTTTTGGTTGCACAAATATTTTCGTATATCCAATTTAAGATTTTCTCACACTTCTCTTCTATGAACTGATTGAATAGGAGAGGCTCTTGATTGTTTGGTGTCCATTCAGACTCGACTAGGTGAGGACGATATTGAATTGGTTAAGATGCTCAAGAGGGTTTTGAAAATCCAGGAAATAGCTTTTGGCCATGATAGCGAACAGGTTGTGGAAACTCTGAAGAAACTTGTATATTACATCGACAAAACGGGAAAGAAAACTGAGAAATATCATCTGGAAAAGAGATTGTCTGCTCTAAGAAACAAGTTCAAACAGATGGCTATATATTAACAGATGCTTCTTATTTTGTCTTTTCATTCAAAGTCGAGTTCCAGAACTTCAACTCGCTTTCCGCAAGCTAGCTGTATATCAAGGTATGGTCACTTCAATCCTTACACAATATTGAGCTATTTGAATTCAACTATTTGTTGTTCATAGTATGGATAATACTTACCTCAATCTTTCTGCACAATTGTGTGATAAAAATGTGCTTACTTGATTGTGAGAAAATTCCAAACTTGAATTTTTATAAAAGAATATAATCCGAATTCTTTATAGTGATAACATAGACACATCTACGAAAATGAGACTGAGGATGTATCATGTACTGTGTCTTTTTTTAACTATGTTTGTGTGTTTTTGTTTTCATTTTCTTGAAATCTTTATAGTGATAATATAAACACATCTACAAGAACAAGATTGTACCCGTGTTTTTTTTTAAGTTTGTTTGTGTGTCTTTAGTTCTATTTTTCCGAATTCTTTATAGTGATAACATAAACACATCTACAAAATGAAACTAAGGAAACAAAGTACTATTAAAATCGCTTACCCTGTTAAGTTAATATTTCCATTAGTTGCACAATAAAATTTTCAATTTTATCATCTATTTATTGGTTTCAATTATTATTATTAGTGTATTAATTAATAAAAAAATATTAAAAAATTTTAAATGTAATTATGTTTTGTTGCGCTGCAAATTGAAAATGATATTTTATGGTGCAGCGCAGAATTAGTGTCAATATATTTAAATTTAATTTTTGGCATAATAATATTAGTTATTATTATTTGTTTAAATTTTGGTACTATTTTTGGTGCCAATGTATCATATTATTTATTTTTATTTTAATGTTTGGCACTATTTTCAATGCTAATACAGTATTCTAGTTTTCTGTGCCAACATATTTTATTAATTTTTGGCGCTGTTTTTATATGGGAGTAGAAAGTTTATGAGTTATGATATTTTTTTTCTTTAATTAATTGCTATTTCAAGTGTTCAACATCGGGATGTGTTAAGTATGAGAAACAAACTAAATTTGAATAGTTTGAAGTACATTAGGTATAATTTTACTAATTAATTTGTAGTTTGAATGTATTGTTAGGTTTTTCTCATGTATATGAAAAGACATTAGTGACCATTTGAATCGCTTGTATATGTTCCATATGCTATATAAGAAACAAATTAAGTGCAGTGATATACATTAGCCTTGGCTAATTAGTGCATATTGGAGCATCTCTACGGTAATTTGTTTAACAATCATCTTTTTTATTATCTATAATTGTAATTTCCATAATTGTCTCGTTGGGATAACAATTTTCTATAATTCTAAGTAAATCATGAGTACTTTCTTATATATTTGTTTTGACATTTAAATGAATGTTTTATACTTGAGATTCAATGGAATACAAAAAAAAATAAAGGAAATTATAGAGTACTCGTTATAAACTGAGTCCTAATTCGAGTACTATTAAATAGTGAAATTGTGGAGTGTTTATGTAGAATGAATAGAGAAATTTATAAAGGATATGTATGTATTATATATGAGGTAGTACTCTACCTTAATTTATATATATTTTTTCTTGCTTTCTACAGCCGAGTCCATTTTTTACAGAGCGGTTGGCGGCTTTTGAAGTGTGGCTTGATCATGGATTTGAACATAAAAGCCACCATAACAATTGCCAATTGTATTTCAGGTAGCAACATTTTAGTTGAATATAACACTACCTATATAGACTTGCAATATAATTACAGTTTTAAAATTCTAGTACTCGTGTGTGTATGTGTGAACATTAATTTGTTGTCCACTAATGTTGAACATATTTTCATAAGACAAAGGGGTCAAATTTTATTTAAAACGTTTAAAATAGTTGTCATGTTGTGCTAATAATTTTCTCCCGGGCATTTGTTTCTTCTCCTTAAATTATGCTGGTACATTAAAAATGATATGAACAGATTATTTCCGAGTTGGTATTAAGTAGACTTAATTTAGAGAATTTGATAAGCTGATTTTAATACTAATAATGCTTTGTGCAATTTCATAATAACATTTATATAAAGGATCAGTGGAAATATGATTTGTGTTTTTTTTTTTTTTACTTAATCTATTAATTCTAGGAGGTATATGTGAAAGCATTGGGAAAGGGCTTCTTTTGTGCACCATTGCAGTTCGATACAAAGGAGTTGTTGGAAAAGTGTGCAGCATATTGAGGGATTTAAATGAGAAGACTTCACCATATCGGTGGATTCCAATTTTAAGGTATATTGCTTCTATTATTTGAAAAGTTAACATCATATTTGAAAAACAAATTGACAATTTCAGGCTGGTATTACTTCCTCGGCAACGCAAAAAATTAATGCATTTTTTGCGAAGGAGGGAGTAATATTTTGTTGGGCTGTCTTGGGCCGTTTTAAAATTCAAGCCCGATAGGCCCGACTTGATTTTGGATTGGGCTTGAAAACCAAAACCCAGGCATGGCGGTTTCAAAATATACCGGGCCAGGTCAGCCCAGATTTTGTAATCGAGATCGAAAAATCTTTGCGGATCCTCTAATCTCCCATAAGTTTTACCTACAAACTAAAAACACTAAAAAATAAGTTAGTATAAAATTTAGAAACAAAATTAATGCATTAAAGTCCTGTGACGTAAAACTAATTCTAACTCTACGTTCAAGATGTTAAAATAAATACAATACATAAATGTAAAAGAAAAAGGACGAATTACTCTCAATTATGTTTTCGGGAGCTCGTTTATCCGGACACTCTCTCGTATACATCTAAAAAGAGTTAAAATAGATATTAGTACATACATGCATAGGAACAACAAAATAATATTTAAATAACTTAACTTAGATTATAAATTGAGATTGAAAGATCTTTGCGGATCCTCTAACCTCCCCATAAGCTTTATCTACAAACTAAAAACACTAAAAAATAAGTTACTATAAAATATAGAAACAAAATTAATGCATGCATGTCCCGATACGTAAAAATAAATCTATTTCTCTATGCATAATGCTAAATTAAATTAAATGCAAAATGCTAAATTAAATTAAATGCATAAATGTAAAAGGAAAGGTTCCCTATTGTGTATTCGGTCGTCCGAACATCCGGCCGCTCCCTCTCGTATGCATCTAAAAAGATTTAAAATAGATATTAGTATATATGTATAGGAAACAACAAAATAATATTAAAATCACTTACCTTGGATTTGTATTCGGGATCGAAGGATCTTTGCGGATCCCGTCGTCTCCATATAAGCTTTACCTACAAATTAAAAACACTTGAAAATAAGTTAGTATAAAATATAGAAACAAAATTAATGCATGCATGCATGTCCCGGGACGGACGTAAAAATAAATCTATTTCTATATGCATAATGCTAAATTAAATTAAATGCATAAATGTAAAAGGAAAGGCTCCCTATTGTGTATTCGGTCGTCCGAACATCCGGCCGCTCCCTCTCGTATGCATCTAAAAAGATTTAAAATAGATATTAGTATATATGTATAGGAAACAGCAAAATAATATTAAAATCACTTACCTTGGATTTGTATTCGGGATCGAAGGACGTAAAAATAAATTAAGTTAGTATAAAATATAGAAACAAAATTAATGCATGCATGCATGTCCCGGGACGGACGTAAAAATAAATCTATTTCTATATGCATAATGCTAAATTAAATTAAATGCATAAATGTAAAAGGAAAGGCTCCCTATTGTGTATTCGGTCGTCCGAACATCCGGCCGCTCCCTCTCGTATGCATCTAAAAAGATTTAAAATAGATATTAGTATATATGTATAGGAAACAACAAAATAATATTAAAATCACTTACCTTGGATTTGTATTCGGGATCGAAGGATCTTTGCGGATCCCGTCGTCTCCACATAAGCTTTACCTACAAATTAAAAACACTTGAAAATAAGTTAGTATAAAATATAGAAACAAAATTAATGCATGCATGCATGTCCCGGGACGGACGTAAAAATAAATCTATTTCTATATGCATAATGCTAAATTAAATTAAATGCATAAATGTAAAAGGAAAGGCTCCCTATTGTGTATTCGGTCGTCCGAACATCCGGCCGCTCCCTCTCGTATGCATCTAAAAAGATTTAAAATAGATATTAGTATATATGTATAGGAAACAACAAAATAATATTAAAATCACTTACCTTGGATTTGTATTCGGGATCGAAGGATCTTTGCGGATCCCGTCGTCTCCACATAAGCTTTACCTACAAATTAAAAACACTTGAAAATAAGTTAGTATAAAATATAGAAACAAAATTAATGCATGCATGCATGTCCCGGGACGGACGTAAAAATAAATCTATTTCTATATGCATAATGCTAAATTAAATTAAATGCATAAATGTAAAAGGAAAGGCTCCCTATTGTGTATTCGGTCGTCCGAACATCCGGCCGCTCCCTCTCGTATGCATCTAAAAAGATTTAAAATAGATATTAGTATATATGTATAGGAAACAACAAAATAATATTAAAATCACTTACCTTGGATTTGTATTCGGGATCGAAGGATCTTTGCGGATCCCGTCGTCTCCACGTAAGCTTTACCTACAAATTAAAAACACTTGAAAATAAGTTAGTATAAAATATAGAAACAAAATTAATGCATGCATGCATGTCCCGGGACGGACGTAAAAATAAATCTATTTCTATATGCATAATGCTAAATTAAATTAAATGCATAAATGTAAAAGGAAAGGCTCCCTATTGTGTATTCGGTCGTCCGAACATCCGGCCGCTCCCTCTCGTATGCATCTAAAAAGATTTAAAATAGATATTAGTATATATGTATAGGAAACAACAAAATAATATTAAAATCACTTACCTTGGATTTGTATTCGGGATCGAAGGATCTTTGCGGATCCCGTCGTCTCCACATAAGCTTTACCTACAAATTAAAAACACTTGAAAATAAGTTAGTATAAAATATAGAAACAAAATTAATGCATGCATGCATGTCCCGGGACGGACGTAAAAATAAATCTATTTCTATATGCATAATGCTAAATTAAATTAAATGCATAAATGTAAAAGGAAAGGCTCCCTATTGTGTATTCGGTCGTCCGAACATCCGGCCGCTCCCTCTCGTATGCATCTAAAAAGATTTAAAATAGATATTAGTATATATCTATAGGAAACAACAAAATAATATTAAAATCACTTACCTTGGATTTGTATTCGGGATCGAAGGACGTAAAAATAAATTAAGTTAGTATAAAATATAGAAACAAAATTAATGCATGCATGCATGTCCCGGGACGGACGTAAAAATAAATCTATTTCTATATGCATAATGCTAAATTAAATTAAATTAAATGCATAAATGTAAAAGGAAAGGCTCCCTATTGTGTATTCGGTCGTCCGATCATCCGGCCGCTCCCTCTCGTGTGCATCTAAAAAGATTTAAAATAGATATTAGTATATATGTATAGGAAACAACAAAATAATATTAAAATCACTACAAAAATCTTAAATTAAAGATTGATATATAAAAGTGTGTGTATATGATGATTGGCATGACACGTACGTACAAGTGTACTAAGTCTTTATGTGTATAATATATTTGATACAGAAAGTGGACAACAATGTAATGACCTCCCTTGGACATGTGTCCTGCCGGGAAGGCAGGCGTTCAGCTAGTTGTACAAATATAGAGATAGAGATAGAGATATAGAGATGCATTAAACCCAGCCTAGGCAGGCAGGGCAAAAAGCAAATCGATATTACTTATGCACAGGAGCAAACGCAGTAGTTGTGTATTAAAATAGCCTCTGTTGGTGACTTAATTGAAGCTTTCCATTCTCCAATACACACAATGGTTTAGAAAGATAAATCCCTTGAAACTTATTTTTTATAACATGGCATTGGGGATAAATAAAATGTCTTCATTTGGTCCAGTCAAGTGAAGACATTTTACACCACTATCAACAAAAAATAAATAAATACATAAATTCATTCCATTCCTGCAAAAATCCAAATATTCTAACGACAACAACCACAAAAAAACCAATACAATATATCTAAGAAATCCTAATGCAAAAACTCTATTCCACAGCAAAAATCACGGTTAAGTATTCTAATGCAGGATCCAGTACCAAATTTAACACATACTTATGCAAGTAATGCAAATCTAGCAAATCCAAGAAGCAAATAATTGCAAATCCAACAAAAATCTAACAACAGAAAATGCAAATCGAGAACCAAAACATTGCAAATACCGCAGTTAACACAACTGTTTTGTTGAAACACAGTCTTGAATGGAATACATAAGTTCTCTCAGTAGCATAAACTCAAAATAAGGAGGAAATTGTCTTTCAACAAAAGATCCCAGTCTGAACCTCCTCATTCTGCATCATAAAGAAATCCTTGGCCTTTCTCTCAGTAGCAAATCAAGCCCATTATAACTGCATGAATCATCCCATTGGAGAATTACTATAGTGAAGATGTATTTGCAAACACTATATATCAATCACATTACATATTAGAGTAAAGTTGGCTTTAAGTTCACTCAGCTAAAAAAACATTTCAAGAACAATGCATTTTAATTATAGAACTACCTGCCATGAATTACCGATATGGGAAATCCAGCCACTCGGATCGACTCTATTTCACTTCGTGATAATTTATGAGTCCAACAAGCATTAACCTGACCGTCAAATCCATGCCTTGACTGCATACCAGTTGAGGAAATCCATGCCCTTTACATAGCTCCTGCAGATTTCAAAATTCACACTAATCATAGGCCCTAGCATTTGTTCGTTTCTTTACAAATCAGTCAAGGTAATCGGCGTAAATCAAAACATTTTTTTAAATTCTAAAAATCAAACAGAGATTATAAGACTAGATTTAGATTAATTAATCAGATTCCTAAAACACAATGCTTGGCAATCAAGAAAGTTATCTAGAGTTAGGATTCTATAAACAGGCGCTAGGTTATTAGTTTTTGAGCTTTGATAAGAGAGCCAAGTGCATCATAGCAATAACTGATGTGAATATCATCAACAAGATTTTGTCAAACAGTACTGATAAAAGCAGAAAAACCTCTGATGTGAATATCAACAAGATTTTGTCAAACAGTACTGATAAAAGCAGAAAAACCTGTGAGGTCCACCACGGGGAATGGGAATTTCAGATCGCCATTCCTTTTCTAAAGCTTTTCCATTCTTTACAGCAATGCTCAAGTGCAGGTGTATGCCTGTTCTCCTTACTCCCGCCCGTCACATGGAGCCTGCCTCTCCAAAGTTGGGTGGCAGGTGCATACCTGAAAATACAACGCCTATCTATGGTTAATAGAACAGTCAAAAAATGAAGAGGGAAAAAAAAAACTACAAAATTTGAAGAACCAAAAGTTTATTTTGAAGAACAAACAGATGAATTTCACTAAATAGAACACAGAGTCAGGTAATCTGTTCATGCCTTGGGACAGGCAAAGGTGGCATGCTCTGCCACTTTTTTGTCTCTGTGTCTAGTATGAACGTGTGTGCTGTAGGCCCTCTACATTGAGGACCATACTGTCCAGTTACAATATAAATGTATCACCATGCCTAAATGTGAGTGTGCCATTTCTTTTGGCATGTCAAACTTTCCTCCCCAAGTGTTGTCCGAGAAATTGTACACATCAACATGAGAATGAACCTTACAACAAAAAACAATCAACCTCCATTAGTTATGATACGAGAGAAATAAAACGAGGGAGAATAGTTCTCTTGCTTTTGTGTGTAGTGATATTACATACTAACCTCGGAGTAGTGGGTATCTAGATCAATGGCTGCTCTTTGTTCCGGAGTTTTTGCTCTCATAAAAGGCATTGCAATCGACAGAGATTTCTGGTCAATCTGAAATGGAAATGGAAAGACAACATTAATGTACTCCTGCATAAAAAGGCCGGCAACATTTCTTGTATGCTTTTTTGCAAAATGTCAAGAATTCTTGCAACAGTCTACTTTGAATATCTATGCACTATCTGATACAAAAACCATAATTTGATCAAATATGCAACTTCATTAGATGAAAGTAAACTATCCAGGGAAAAAAGTTTTCCTTGCATTTTTTTAAACTAGTCTTCGATGTGGTGATATCAGTGTTATAGTTAGCTAATGGATCAAATACATTAGCATGAAAAAATCTACCAATACAGAAAAATCACACAAGAACATCATAAAAGAAGCAATCGAAACATCTTCTCCACATCCCGGTATCATAGTTCTATTTGTTTAATTTTACCGACTAATGAGTGATGCATACCATAACCTCCACCAGTTGCATTCAACAAAGCTAAGGATAAATACTCTTTCAGGTACCATGGCAGCCAGGTTACAAGCAATCATAGCACCTGTCGAGTTTAGACGAAAATGAATCATTTGGCAATGAAAATTATTACATAATACCCCATATCTATTATCCAAAAAAAATACAATATATAATATACATAAGAATAAGACTCAATAAAAACACAAAAGCTTGAGAAACACACTAAATTTTTTTTTTTTTTTTTTTTCTTTTAAAAAAGAAAAAGATGTATTCCAGTGGAGTGGATGAGAATAACTTATTCCGACCTTTTCGTGGGAACGGAGCTGCGACCCATTCCACGATTATCGAAAGCGCACACTTCCACGCCGGCGGTTTCTCCGCCACTCTCATCGCTCCGATCACCCGCCGGCGAATCGTCGTCGTTTGGGGTCACCGTCCCAACCAGACCTCTAATCTGCGGATTCCAAGAATCGTGAGTCCCAACCAAGAATCGTGAGTCCCAGCCGATCCTGCCGATTCCAAGAATCGTGAGACCCAGCCAAGAATCGTGATGAGAACAGAAGTAGAAGAAACAAAAAACATAACCAAGGAAAGAACAAAAATGAAAGAAAATAAAAGAAAGTAAAGGAAAAACGGGGAAGAAGAAGAAGCAGCAAAAAGGAAGATAGTGTCAGAATTAATAATTTTGATAATATATTTATAATGAAAATTATGTTATATTATTATCATTATTAATTTTTATTAACGAAATAACAATAATAATGATATTTTCCTTTTTGTCACATCAAACTATATTCATTTTTTTGTCAATTATATAATTAATTTTTCTATTTTTTGATAAAAATTATATATATACATCTATATTATAATTCAGATCTTACAAAAATTAAATATATTTTAAATGAAAAAGAAAATAAATTATTAGTATTTAATTGCTATAGAATAAATAATAATATAATTTTACTTTTATATATGTATATTTTATAATTTCATAAAATATATTTTTATTACAAAATATTTTTTTATAATTATATTTAATTTAAATATATTATTAAACAATCGTTAGATGACATTTGTTGCTAAGAAGGGTGATAAAAAATTAACACTTAATAAAACTCCAAGGAATGTCATCGAGCCCGTCACCAATCCACCCACAGTGAAACGGGACTCAATGGGCAAAGCTGAATGTGGAAGCTCAAAACTTGGAGCTCCAGGTGAACTATCTAATTTGTGTTTGTGTGTGTGTTCGGAACTATGGAAATTGAGGAGTGTCGGGAGATCCATCTTGATCGGAAGCCCGCGATTGCACGGACGACAAAAAATTTTCAGGTGAGTACCATTGTATTTTCTTATTTTAACTTTTTCGCTCTTTAAGTGCATGAATCCGTTGAAAATTTTCCGGAAAATCGTCGATTGAGCGTTAGTATACCCTGTATGTGCAATTAATCGCTGGTTTGTATGTTGGAGCTATGAACGAACGAAGTCCTTTTTACTAACTAGTGGGTTTGGATCTGAGACGATTTTGAAATTCGAGTGAAAAGTACCGCGATTGATTAAGGTGTATAGCATAATTGTTGGATACGAATGTCAGTTTGCCGTGTGTCGATTTAGTTTTATCAGAGAAACCTAGCCAGTGTTTTATGTATTATGTTTTCCTTTGTTTGTGTTTCCAATGTGCTGATTACGAAAACCAGGCATATCTCACTACTTGTTATTGGTCTATAGCTTTGAATGTTGGACAAGAAGTAGATCTTGGTATTGATGACCTTGATCTCTTGCCTGACCTCCATCAATCAATGGAGGCTGAACCAACACAATTAAGGGGCAAGTATAATCTACAAAAAAGTCTTGTTTGGGACTCTGCCTTCTTCACTAGCATTGGTAATATCTTCCATTGAATCTTTCTCTCCTAGTTCAAAAGGAAAATGGACTGTCTATAGTTATAATAAATTATTTTTATCAATTTCTAGGGGTGATAGATGCAGAAGAATTGTCGAGCATGATTACCGGAGCAGATAAGAGTGAAAAGAAACTCTTACCTGGCATTCAAGAAGATATTACAGTATCAATTGAGTCAATTTCAAGCCTTGAAAGTTATCATTTTGATCTGGAAACTCTTGAGTAGGAATTGATTGTTGACATTAGAGCTTCTATACAGAGATCGAATAAAAAAAGTACCCAATTTGACACGCTTAAGTGATAAGAAGGGGAACGTAGAGGTTGACAGTTCGTCCATTTCATGTAAGCAGTTTCATCAATTGTACCTCTTTTTATTTGGGTAGACAAGAAGATTTATTTCAATTTTGCATGATTTGTTTCTATTTTTGCATCATGTATGTTAAGATTCTCTTTTACTTTTTAATTCTCTATTGATTTGAATGTATGTTTCTGGAGTGTTTCAGTGGTTAGCAATGCTAAGGTTTTTGTGTTGATTCTTATTTATATGGCCACACAAGTAGATTTTAAGGTTTACATAATTTTTTTTTTTTCTATTTTCGCAATGCATATGAAAATTTTCCTCTGTCTTTCATGCTCTGATCTGGATATTTTTTATATAGAGTACTTGAGTAGCTGTCAAGTTTAAGACCAAAATCTGGTTGGAAGTCCTGTATCTTAATTATTGGCTTGAGGACACACCTTTCAGTAGGAAAAATTTGATTTAGCATGTCAAAATAGTTGTTGAGATCTAAGCTTTCTACTCCCACTATTTGTTTTCTTTCCTGCTTTACTTGTTTCTTTGATCAAATAAGTTTTCTCAATTTCATATTTATTTGTCAAATTGTTCTGACATGCAATGCAGCTCTGAAAAATGAATGCGTCACTCGTAGATCCCAAGACTAGGTAATGTTCATGTAAAGTAATTATTATTTACTCGTTATTAATTTATCTGAATATTTGATATAATATACCCCATTCTTCATAATTCAAAACCTTGTTCAAAGGGGACCAGTGCCCCAGAAACTGCTACGATGCCAAAGTCTCTAGTAAAACAAAATGTTCAGCGGCAAGCATTGAGAACGGGAATCAAGCAAGATTCTGGTCATCCACAGGTTAGAGTTAAATGTTTATCATCAATCTTTTATTCTTGGAAACAATTGACATCACCTTCCTTCTTGTTGTTAGATGCCATATGTTGCTAAGAATGGTGATAAAAAATTAACACTTGGTAAAACTCCAAGGAATATCATCAAGCCCGTCTCCAATCCAACTACAATGAAACGGGACTCAATGGGCAAATCTGAATGTGGAAGCTCAAAACTTGGAGCTCCAGGTGAAGTATCTAGTTCGTGTTTGTGTGTGTTTAACAATGAAATCAGAAATCATTGCCAAGGCACTCATCTTGTGTGTGTTTAAATAATGAAGTCAAAAACCATCTTGTGACTAATGTTATTATTAATTCAGTGACTACTACAAGTAAAGGAAGTCAACTCCCAAAAGTAGGTGTTGATGTTGCCAAGGCCTGCAGTGCTAGCCATCGAAGACTTCTCTAACGAATTCTTCTACTTCAGGCAGAGGGCAGTTGAGTCCACTAGATCCTCCACATCAAGCAACACATACATGTATGTCACAATGCAGAGTTTTTTTTTTCAATTCATTCATTCAATCATTTAAATTGATTTTGGATATGGTGTCGTGCAAAACTTTGAGGGAGGAGGTGCCTTTGTATGACTCTAAATTTCAAAAAATACATAGATTGTACCTTAATCTTTTTTACACGTCTACAAGAATGAAATTCTACCCGTGTTTTCTTGTTTTATTAATATATATATATATATATTCTTGTAAGTTTTGTTTAAGTTTGTTGGTGTGTTTTTGGTTGTATTTTTGCATGGAGGCAGCTATGGAAGTTAATTGATGTGCATTTGTTTTAATTAATGTGACAAAAGATATGTTGACAGGTAGAGGTAGGACATAATCATAGTAATGACATTTTAATTCCAAGTTTGATTTGGATCCGAACAAAGGGACAATACATTTGTTTGCATGATAAGCATGACAATTTATGGGTGGACCGGACCACCCACAATCCTTTCCAATTTGTACACGTGTCTGGTGTGCCTGTTGATGTTTGGATTAGGACATAGCTGAACTGAATCATCCCCACACAATTCTCTTTATCTTTATCCTTTCACTCACATTTTTTTTTCCAAAGTTTCTTTCCATAGATTTAGAAAAAATTTAATTTGAATTTAATATTAAAATAATGTATAATGTGTAATAAAAAATATATATATTTTTTTTTTGAAATGAAGAATTTAAATAGTAAAAAGCTGATGTTTGAAGTATAAAGAAACAAATCATTTGTCTTTGTCCAATTTTCAGGGACCTTAATTCTTCTTAGATTTTGAGTTAGAATTTGAATAATAAAAATTTTTAATTTGAATAGTTATATGATGTGATATTTTAAATGTAAAATTAATTTTTAGTATAATATAAAAAATAAAAAATAAATATTTAATTTGATATTTTTTAGAAGAAAAAATGAAATTTATAGAGAATTTAAAATCCAATCTTAAAACAAACACACCCACAGAATTGTTATAGGAGTGTGTGTTGGGATTGAATTTTGAATTAAATTATAATTTAATATTCTCTTCAATTTATCATGTTCGAGTCATTGTAAATACCAGAAATTAAGATAAATATAATTAATAAATAATTAAAAATATATTAGTAAAAATATTTAATTGATAATATGAATAATAATAAATTAAAGTTAAAATAACTAATTAATTTAATCAAAATAAAAAAATTAAAATAAAATTAGAATGCAGTGTAATATTAAAAAGAAAAAAATAATATAAGATATGAGACCGATAGAATATTATATTTTTATTGATATAAATTTTTTTTTTTTTTAAAAAAAAAAAAAGCCCTGAAAAATCCCGTTTTTGGATCTTTCACAGGACTCGGGAAGGTCTCTAGAAGCAGCAGCAGGTATGCGTTTTGTTTTGTTACTGTTACCACAAGCTTCTGCACTTTCCTACTATATTCCTAAATTGATTAATTAATTTCTATATTATAATTATACTATATATTTAATAATACTGACCTTTGAGAGCCGTCCCGCCGACCACGTACCACTCCTTATCTGCCACGTACGCTCTAATATAATATATTTTTTATAACGTTCTATTAATATATTTAATAACATGGGTGGTGTGTTTGGTCCGGTTTTTTCGATTATTTTTTTACGATTCGTGCATGTGATTTTTTAAATGTTTTCATATTAAAAAAATCATATTTAAATAAAAGATATATATTGAGATGAATTATTTTGAGTTAAAAATATTTCAATGTGGAATAAACATTTTAAAAACAGTATTCCGAATTGATTTTTTTTTTAAAAAAAATAATAATAAAAGAAGTAATAAATGTGATTAATGAATTAAACATTAAAAATATATAATAGTTTAAATAAAAAATAAATTTAATATTTTTACATATTTAATCATTCAAGAATAATTCATTATTGCATCTCCGTTTAGGCGTTTTTTGTCAATAAATTGTTTAATGTCATGAATTGAAGTGAGCCCAATAATAATGTCCAAACGCGTGTCATCATATTTGACCTAATTTTATTTATTTTTTTATTTCATAGAAATAATTTATTGCCCTTTTATTTGACCTAATTTTATTTATTTTTTTATTTCATAGAAATAATTTATCGCCAAAAGGGCAGTCGTTATTATTATCCTAATATATTTTGAGTGCCTATTGCAACTAATCTCTCTATTTCTCTCTTTTTCAAAATAAAATATTGAAAAATGCAGCTAGATTATCATTTTGATTTAAATTATAATTATTATTAAGCTTGTAATACATAAATTTTAAATTATAATTAATATTTTTTCTTTTATTTGTGTCATATTAGTATATACCTGTAGATATTTTTTTGACTTATGAGTGAAATTGTACATAAATACAAACATTTTCCAGGCCATTTATTTATTTATATTTACATAAAAGAAAATAAATAAAAGTATTTATAAATTCCACCGTCATTTTCTTCTTTGAATCCAATGTTTGTATTACTCCAAAACTGAAAAAGAAATTAAGATCAAAACAAATTACAGCACTCAGCGCGTGGGATTAAAACATACATACGGACATATCGTATATGTATATATCTCTATATATATATTTATATGTCTATGTTGTTCTCCTTCGCATAGTTTTAATCATATGTAATTCCGATTTCTCTTTCTTTTTTTTCTTTTTTCATTTTCGCTGCTATTCAGAGAGCCCGAGATTCTGGATTAGGAGAATGCCGTATTGCGAGGTGGGGAAATATCACAACGACGGCGGGGATGCGTTGAACATCGCCAATGGAATCAAGGTTTTCTATCGGACATACGGAAATGGACCGATTAAAGTTCTTATGATTATCGGTAAGGCATTTATTGATTTATTTGATCTGTTCGTGTGTCGATTGTATTAATTAGAAGATTGTGATTCATTCCGGCGGTTTCGCTTGTTCGTTTGATTCGATGTGGTGCTGATGGCCTTGTTTGGAGATTTCTAATAATCTCGTTCTTAGGTTTTGGTTGGAATTCGAATTGGAATTGGAATTGGATTTTGGATTGATTTTGTGTGGCTCATTGTGGTGAATCGGCAGGATTGGCTGGGACTCACGATTCCTGGAATCCGCAGATTAGAGGTCTGGTTGGGACGGTGACCCCAAACGACGACGATTCGCCGGCGGGCGATCGGAGCGATGAGAGTGGCGGAGAAACCGCCGGCGTGGAAGTGTGCGCTTTCGATAATCGTGGAATGGGTCGCAGCTCCGTTCCCACGAAAAAGTCGGAATACACGTAAGTTATTCTCATCCACTTGAATACATCTTTTTATTTTTGCAAAAAAAAGAGATCATTTTAGCGTGTGTTTTTCAAGCTTCTATGTGTTTTTATTGAGTCTTATTCTTATGTATATTATATATATATTATATAGTAGAAATAATATTATATTGGTAATAGATATAAAGTATTGATTAAAGTTCTTTTTACCATTGTAAATACTTTAATTTGAGTAAAAAGTAGTGATTTGTGTAATAAAAATAAGAAAACAATAGCGGGGTTAGTTTTATAGTAATTAGTCTATTGACTTGAACATCTGGTTTGAGATGGAGGGAGAATTATATATTGTATTTGTTTGGAGATATTCTCATTGAATTCTAATTGCACACACAAATTATGAATAGTTCTGTTCATTTTTAATTTGGACAGTGGTTTGGAGATGATTTTTTGTGAAATAAAATATTAATAGATAGTGATGTTTGTCCGGTAAAGAAACTAAACCAAACTCCAAAAAGACGTGGCTTAAGTTTTATGCTGAAATTTGATTTTTATTGGAGTTATTTGCACAAATATTGATCTGTTGTGTGAAGAAAACTCAGGGTTACAATTGGATTGCTATTGTGTTGTTTGTATGAATCATTTTTATCAAATGGTAAAACGAATTTCTCTAAAAGCATATGGGAAGGAGTTACTGATAAATTATTATTTGTGGGGTCAAAAAGTGCAAGTCTCACTTGATGAATAAGTTTAGAATAGCATTGTTGTGCTGTTTAGCATACATTTGATGTTTGTTTGGAAGCTTCAAAAAGGTTTTATAAATGAAGGTTTTAGGAATTTATAATCTCTGTTTGATTTTTAGAATTTTAAAAAATGTTTTGATTTTCGCCGGGTCTAATTATTCGCAGGACAAGAATTATGGCAAAAGATGCCATAGCTTTGATGGATCATTTAGGTTGGGAAAAAGCTCATGTCTTTGGTCATTCAATGGGTGAGTTCTTTGACTTCTAATTTCTTGCTGGCTTTATTGACTTGACTGAGTATCTCTCTTGCATTATTGGATAATTTAAGGGTGTGTTTTGAGGTAGGATTTGGGGTTGAGAATGTAAAATTTTGACTTAGAACATATGTTTGATGTGATATATGAAATATTAGTTTTTTATGTAATATAAAAAATGAAAACTTTGATTGATTTGATTGATTGATTTATTTATTTTTTTGAGGATATCTGGCATTTGGGCCCCTACAATTGATTTCAAGTTTGTTAATCAGTGAATATAATCTAATATGATATGTTTGAATGATTGTCGTTGAGGCAGGTAGCCAAATCCTGTTCTGATATTGATTGTGATGCTTGCAATGAGATTCTTCATGAACATTATGTGGAAATTACACTTCGATAGGTTGCAATTTTAGATGTAAAAAATGGACTAACATAGGAGTATTGCAAAAAAATTGGGTAGTTAGATTGTATTTATGTAGTGTTTATAGTTTAAGATGTTTTTGTCGTTAGGTGTTGATAAATGTTAAGATACTAAAGAGAATGGCGTTCTGTGTATTTGAGTTGTTTAGTGTGTATATATTGTATATTACATATTGTATTCTTTTTTGGATAATATATATGGGGTATTATGTAATAATTTCCATTGCCAAATAATGCGTTTTCATCTAAACTATCCAGGTGCTATGATTGCTTGTAAGCTGGCTGCCATGGTACCTGAAAGAGTATTATCTTTAGCTTTGTTGAATGCAACTGGTGGAGGTTATGAATGCATACCAAAGGTATGCATCACTCAATCTTGTCATAACATTAGTCGGTAAAATTAAACAAATAGAATCATGATACCGGGATGTGGAGAAGATATTTCGACTGCTTCTTTTATGATGTTAACATATTGGAAGCTTATGTGATTTTTCTGTATTGGCAGATTTTTTCACGAGAATGTATTTGATCCGTTAGCTAAATATAACAGTGATATCATCACATCGAAGACTAGTTTAAAAAGATGCAAGGACAACTTTTCTCTCTGGATAGTTTATTTTCATCAAAATGAAGCTGTATATTTGATCAAATTATGGTTTGTGTATCAGATAGTGCATAGATAGCACATTCAAAGTAGTCTCTTGCAAGAATTCTTGACATTTTACAAAAAAGTAAACAAGAAAAGTTGCCGGCCTTTTTATGCAAGAGTACATTAATGTTGGAAAAGAGGATTTTCACGCATACAAAACTCTTTCTGATTAGTCAAGTAGGATAACAGCTGTCTCTTATCATTGTATTTCCATTCCCATTTCAGATTGACCAGAAATCTTTGTCGATTGCAATGCGTTTTATGAGAGCAAAAACTCCGGAACAAAGAGCAGCCGTTGATCTAGATACCCACTACTCTGAGGTTAGTATGTAATATCACTTCACACAAAAGCAAGAGAACTATTCTCTCTCTTTATATTTCTCTCGTTTCTTAAATTTTTTGAAAATTTTGTATGCCTTTTGCACAGGAATATCTTGAAGAATATGTGGGACAAAAGACCAGAAGATCAATATTATACCAAGTAAGTAATTCTAAAATTATGAGATAAAACCTGGAAAAATCATCAATGCACATTGTTTGTTATTTTCACTATGGTTACAACATACAATGTATCAGTAATACCTTCAAAAAAGCATCTTCCGATTATCTTGACTGATTTCTAAAGAAACGAACAAATGCTAGGGCCTATGATTAGTGTGAATTTTAAAGAACAACATTCTCACTAATACAAATCTGCAGGAATATGTAAAGGGCATATCCTCAACTGGTATGCAGTCGAGGCATGGATTTGACGGTCAGGTTAATGCTTGTTGGACTCATAAATTATCACGAAGTGAAATAGAGTCGATCCGAGTGGCTGGATTTCCCATATCAGTAATTCATGGCAGGTAATTCTAGAATTATAAGAACTTCCAATTTATCTTGCTGATTATATAATCCAATTACTACGATGACTGACTAAAGTTCTGTTTCTGTAGACACGATGTCATTGCCCAATTACGCCATGCAAAACGATTAGCAGAGAAATGTTACCCATGGTCAAGAATGGTTGAACTTAATGGAGGCCATTTAGTGAGCCATGAGAGAACCGAAGAGGTACGATTATTTTTGCCGCTGCATATATAACCTATAAATGATTAGAATACCGAATTTAACACCAGTTATGTAGCAACAAAAATTAAGATGAAACAACTGAAAATCAGACTAAGCTTATGAAACTTTGATTCAGCGGAATGGCAAGATCAGAAGCATTCTCTCAATTCAGACATTGACATTTTATTGTTGCACTATATTTAGTCGATCATTCCACATTGCACCAGAAAAATGATCAACATACATGACGAATACTGATGCCATTTCCGAAGAGTTAATCATTCATGAAGTTTATGAACTTTAATGTAAACATTGAGGAAGATACCCCAAATTGTTACATGGACTTTACAGTTATCTCACTGTAAGTAGCGACACAGTTATAATCCATGTCCAAACTGAAATCCTCAGAATTATCGTCTAGGACCTTAATAATTGTTTGGACAATTGTGGTTCAATGTGTAACTTCCAGGGCAGTTTCCCATACACAACTTAACAAAACAGAAACTTAACTCAAAAAATTGTTGTGACAATTACCAAGCAAAAAAAAGTGGTATTTATTATTACCTGCAGCAGCTTATGTTAATATATTCCAAGCAAATCATCCTATGGTTAACTATGATTAGAGTGTGAATCCTTACATGGTATAGTTTATCGAATTTTCAGGTCAATAACGCACTTATTGAGTTGATCAAGGCATCAGAAACTATAAAAAGCCCCTACGAGTGGACGAATCTTCCACATAGAAGTGTTGGTGAGTGCCATTCATATGTAACCTCTTCATGTTTTTGTATCAATGGTTTAAATGTTATAGAGGCAACCCAAACTATACACTAGTTCAGTGTCGTCATCAATTGTTTCCAAATTATCGATCCGGGATGTAATAACACCGCAGAAATTCACTTTCTTCAGAGATTACATATTCTGTGTCCATATGAGGTTCTTAATGTTGCAAAATGCATCAACATAAAGAAAAAGTTATATAAACAACTGCTTGCCTAAATGCAACTTGACAAAACAATCTTAACCCATGAAAGTCTTCGACTAAGCATTGGGTGCCTGGTTACTATCAGAGATTAAATAATTTAATCGATAATATTTCTTTTGCAGGTTCTAAAGCTACCACGGTATTATTATGGCGAGCAGTGAGCTCGTCTTTCATTGTTGAGAGTGTAGGGAAGCTACACATCTTTGTTGTATATTTTCTCGGCCTTTTTGTCTTGGCATTTGACTATCTACGAAGAGCCGTCCAGCGGCTTAAACCTGTCCGAGTAGGACATGCTCTTACATAATCTAACGTCCTCAGAGACCTTTCTCCAACAGGTAATCAATTAATTAACAGATTCAGTTCTTCAACTCATGGCTAGAAGAATTCCCTCTTATTATGTATGTATAATTTTTCTTCTTGTGTAGGGACTTTTTTTTTTTTTACCCTTTTTCACCAGGGATAAATTAAAGAGCAATGGCAAATGAGACAAATATAAATGCAATTTCAAGATTAGTGCAGCAGACAATGAATTGGGAGAAAGAAATCCCTGAAACTGGTAAATGAGACTGTACTCTACTGTATATTGTATATTTTACATACAATAAGAAAAAAGGGATTGATTCTAATTTGGTAACTCTTATGCATATTCCCACTGTGGGTGTAATGAATTTCAGGATCTTGATAATCTATATCAATGTAATTTATTGTATACCCTTTTCCAAAGTAAAAAGATATAATGGCTCTGTTCTTCTCTAGCACTATTTTTAATTGCAATTTTTAAAAAATAATAATACAAAATATTTTATATAATAGTCAAAAAGTTAAAAAATTTCAAATACTAGTAAAAATAAATTTCAAATACTCATTAGAAAAAAAATAAAAAAAATTAAATATTCAACTTAAAATAATATATTTTATGTATATTTTTGTTGGGTGAACAAAAATTATATACTTTGGGTATATTTGTTTCATAAATTTTGGAGATTTTATACTATTTTTTTTTTCAATTGTAAAAATATTAAATCAAATATGTAGTTTTTTATATTATATTACTCCCTCAAGTAGTGTAATGACACCAAAAAGTAATGATGTTATGTAAAGTAAGAGTATCTGTGGAAAAAAATATGATATTTAATGAAACGGTTACTCTCTACGTATACTGTAGCTGTACAGAGGGAGTAAAAAACAATTTTACATTTAAAAATATAATCATTGTTATACTAAGTCAAACAATTATTTTAATTTAAAGTTTTAGTGTATGTAATGTTATTTTTCAATAATACTTATTATTATAATATATATTTTATATCATAAAATATTATTTAAATAAAAAAAAATTAATATATAAATTCAGTCCAAACTTTAAAAAACAATCCACAAAATAAACACATTTAACTAAGTATTTGTATTGTATTCTAAGTATTACTCCTATTATTTAATTATTTGTTTTTAAAAAATATCATATTAAAATTTAAAAAATGAGACAAAAATTTAAAACTCAAGTATAAACCAAACGACATGTATTTTGAATTAGTGTAACACCAATTTCATTAATCATATACTCCTTATTTTTCAAATTTCTTCTTAAAGATATCTAAATACACCATATATTAATGACTAAATTAAATCTTGCTTATATCATGTGTGCAATCAAGCATCGTCCGGCTAAAAATTGATGCTAGAGCTAAACAAACTCCAAATGATGGAAAACAGGTATATTCAGATCTACACAGGCGTGATATAAATATATATATATATATATACACACGCGATGTGAATGCCTCCATATACATAGAAATTACGAGAATAGTAAAGTATTTTGTTATTTTGTAAGAGAAATTTGAATTTGATATTATGTTGTTCCTATTGCACTCATCTGATTCCTTAAATCCAAAAATGATGGCAGAAAGAAACCAAACCAGGCAAGAAAACAAATACTCACAATTTCAACATGAACCTTTTTTTTTTGTTTTTTGGTGTGTGCGTGTGATTATGTTTTAATTCGGACTTCTTACTATTAAAATCCTTTTTCAACATTAATTTCACATATCTTCATTTATAAAATTGAAATTCAAAACATATACGAAAAAACACACGCCATGATTCGTGTATCAATGAAAACAATCCGAGAAAAAAAAATTACTTACATTACCTTTACAGTCGTTCTCCTCTTCCACTTCTAGTCTCTAGAGAAATCTCCCATTGCCGTAGTGAAGTTTAAAGAAAAAAAAAAAAAGGAAGAAGAACAAGAAAGCAATCTCAAGTTTGTGAATGCTTCCTCTGTAACAAATTCACACACATATATACATACATATATATATATCGTATATGCGGCTGTAGGTTGTGGTCAAGTGAGCAATTACCAGAAGAATATTCGAACGCACATACCAATTTTAGCCAAACAAGCAAGCAAGGTAGCTCCATAGATTTATAAATTTAGAGAAATACAAGCATACATACGTGCCTATTCTCAGGTACTTTTTGGATGAGAGAATAATTCCTTTTGTATGTAAGAATATGCTATTGTGAACTCTCTATCTCCTTAGGGTCCAAAATTATAGCTATATATTAATATTAAAATATTTTTAATTTTTATTTAAATCATAAATATAAATACATTTAAGTTGTGTTTGGTTGTAGGATTCTCTTCCAAAATTATTATTCATCAATTTTATTTTTTTCAAAAACATTACACACCTATTTTTTATTTTTGTATTATATTCCATTTATCTCTTATCTATCTATTTGTTTATTTTACACGGAAATATTAGTATATGCGATATGAATAAAATAAAAAAAATTAAAATAACTTTATTAATATTATGCAATAGAAATGTAATGACATTTATTTAATGTATTATAAGTTGTAATAATATTTTTAATGTTAATAGAAAGTACAGTTATTAAAAATAATTGATACTTCTTTATAGACATACCAAAATAAAAAAATAATAGACAGAATATTAAAAATCAATTTTACATTCAAAATATCACATTAACACCTATTTATATAACATTATACCATTATTCCAATTTACATTTTTTACTATTCAAATCCCCCTTGATAAAAATGTCGAAATTAAACAATTACTCCATTTATTTAAATGCTATAAAAACGGAAGAGAATATTCTAACTGCAGACCAATATTTTCAAATAAAAACCGGTTCGATTGCGACCGCGCGAACCTTTCAGTTTTGCCCTAACCCGCCCGGCCCTGAATGTATTTCTTCCGCTCGTAGTGTTCTACTTTTCGCTGTGCAGTTTCGAATTGCAGCTGTGAAAGATGGAAGCTACCGCCGCCGCCGCTACTGGCGTCGCCACAGAAGCCCCACTCGGATGGGATTTCAGCTGGTAGTGATGCAATATATGTGTATATACTATGTATATATGTGATTATTTCATGATTTGGGATTCATAGCAGTTCGATCTGCTTCTTGTCAGTGCATTAGATAGTGCAGCGTGAACAGTGTTTCTTCACCATTTCTCAATCTTATTTTGCAGTATCTTTGTTCTGTTTCTTGTTAGGAAGTTAAAATAGGCATCAAATTGGAGGTAGGGTTAGATTTCGAAGGATTTAGGATTATAAAATTTTTGTTCCTATTAGAATGAGGACTATTTCACTATGCGAAGTATGGCGTAAATCTTAAGCTTAACTGCAGATAATTTGGGAGAAATTGAAGTTAGTTATTCACCATGCTTTATCTTCTGTGCATGTTCAATACTAAATACTAGCCTTCTTTTAAAGTTATCAATTTGATTAATTTGATGCAATTAAATTGGATATCTTGCTCTGTGTTGAGTTATATTTTCGATTTTAATGTCGAAAACTTGTTCACAGCAACTTGGAAGTCGATTATGAGTCTGATGAGATTGCTCATATTGTCTATGCTGCATTGGCTGTTGATAAGGAGGTAACACACCATGCCCAACTGTTTCAGTGTGTTTCCGATGTTTTGACTAATAACTAAGGATTTTTTATTCTTTTGTTATTGTCGTGCAGTTGCAACCGGATAAGGTGAGAAGAAATATGTCGGTTGTCGATGGAAAACTTTCTGTGTGAGTTCTCTTTCTGTGCCGTCCGACTTCAGATCTTACATTCATTAATTGCCCTTTTCGCTTAATTTTCTGCTGAAATGTCCTTTTGATTCGGAATTAATTGTATTGCTTGTGTTTATGTATCATATTTTTCAGCCATTTTGAGGCAGTTGAAGCGAGATTTCTTCGGGCATCATACAGTGCTTTTGTTGATGTTCTTACACTTGCAACCAAGACTGTGGAAGAATTCGGTAAGGGAATGTTATTGTGACCTTCATGTACTGCATGAAGTTCGTTTTTTTTTTTTATAGTTCTTGGCGTCGTCTTTATTTGTGTTATTGTTTCATCACAAGCTATATAAATGCTGCCAGTTAAATTTATCGATACACTCTACTTTGGAGAGAATTACATTAGCTTTAATAGTGCAAGGAGATGATTAGGGTGTCATGCTGATTAGTTTTAATCAGTACATAAAAAGAAAAAAAAAAAAAAAAAAAAAAAGAGAAAAATGTATTTTATGAATAGTTTTAATCAATAGTAATTTGTGCCAAGTGAATTAGTATTATGTGTTGTCGGTTTATATACTGCATTTGTATTACATTAATATAAACTATGCGCTGACGATTAATATAATACAAACAGGATTGCTAGTTGCAGCTGAGAAATAATGTTTATGCAATAATATTCGATCAACATGTGTTTGATAATATATATTATGCTTAAAAAAAAAAAAACAGAAACATTGAAGATGGAAGTTAGATGATGTTTGATAACTGAATCTAGGGTTTAAAGTTTGCCCAAACTCTGTCAAGTATGGGATTTCTTGTTTGTGCACTTTATTTCAGTTAGTATTATCCAAATAGATATCCAAATGATCATCTTTCTTTGCTTTGTGCCTACTGAGAAATCCTTTGAACAGTCCTTTGCTTTTGCCTGGTTGCAGTTCACTGTCTCTGCGTGTGTCTTTGTCCGAGCGAACGAATAATGATTCTGCCTTTTGAACTTCAGATAGATACTGCCGTATTTGATTAACATGAATAGCCGCAAATCAGCTAATGTTTCAATGTTCTTGATTATTTAGTAGTAGTTGACATATGAATGTGTGAGTATAGCTATTACCTGTTGCCTTCGGAGAGCTCGGTTTGGGGTCATTGGCCTAGGCCGACTTGGGGTTTCCGGAGGTGAGATATTTGGAGTCACGGGGTTACTTTTGAGACTGGATGTACGATGAGGATACATGTATGTTGACTCCGCTCCCTTATCTAGTTCATTGACATGACCATCAATCATTAGTCGAAAATTAGGAATCAGACTTGGAATAGGATTTTCAAACTTCTAAAAAAAATATTGAATCCCTAAACACCTAAGAGATGAATGAAAAAACAAGCATAACCTTGGTTGGGTAGGTTGCTAGAGAAGTAAACTCTCTTCTGTTGTCGAGCAGCTCTTAGAGTAGGTGATGACGAGCGTCCTTTACTGTAAAGCTCAATAATTTAAACTTAGGTTTACTTAAAAGAGATATGTCTAAACAAATGAAAACCTGAATACATAGTAATATTTTGGTTTTGCATCTCATCATTGAGGAATTCATCGATGTGAAACGAGTATTTAATGCCCGAACTCACCCAACTGTAACTTGGGGGAGAATTTCCTGACCCTTAGCTTGAATAGCTGTGTAATCGTACACAATGAATAGCTTGTCTAGACCAAAACTCACAATACAAGAAAAATTATACGAAGATAAAACATTTCTAGCGTGTTACCATTCTTGTATTCATGCCAATCTTCTATGTCGTCTAGGTTGCATCCTTGGTATTTTGATCTTGTGCGAAAAGCTCCGCGCATAGTGTCTCCCACTGCACGTATCTCGTTTATATAAAAAAAAAAAAAAAAAGAGTTGAAAGAAATAAACAAATTATAGTGTGACTAGCAAATACCGGGCAAGAGGTATCGCGAATGGTACTTGGGAGTGTCCACTGCCAATGACTGCTGAGAACGACCCTCGCAGTCTATTAACTTATGAATCGTCCGTATTTTCTGAATCACAACATACTTAATTAACTGATTCGGTTTTAGGATTTTTTTTTCATTAAGGATGGTAACAACCGAAACAAAAGTACCTGCTCCACACATGATAGTTTGAGTTCTGATTTGGAGACTTTACGAGCCTGATCATCTAGCAACTTACTAACCTTGGTTGCCATAGAACCGAAATGATCAGTCGTACTTACAAGAGCTTTAGTCGAGTAGTCTTTCAATGAATCCAAGACGCTGCATTGAGAAATGTCCGAATATTAGATAAACTATATGTAAAATGAATGCCCGGTCTCTTTAGTAATCAGTGAATAAGCTCACTCTAGTTCTTCGAAATCGTTATTGAAAGACAACTCGAAGTATTCTGCAGCTTCGTAGAGTTGTTTCCTAAGGTTCTTCAAATCCTGAAGAATGAATCAAGCCAATAGGTGCATCAAAATCGAAAATCTATCAATATATAGGTACGGATAGAGTGTACCTTCAAGCTACCGGTGAAGAGCATGTGCTGCTGCATATAGACTTCGCCGGGATTGCTGGGCTCACGAGGAGAGGTTGTTGAACATACTGCACTCATTGCGGCAAAAACAACCGCCGCAATGCACTTTTATCCTGCAGCAGAAACAAAACTTTGCTCGTGGGTGAAAATATCCTATTAAACAATCATTTCATTTCAAAACATCAAAACCAAAAACCCGTAGAAGTTAAATGAAAAAAAAAATAAAAATAAACCTGTATTTTTAAAATGACTTGCGCTCTCAAGAACATATATAAGGATGAGATGAAGTTGTATGGGTTTGTTTGAATTTGATCTCAAATCAAAAGTAATAATATTCATCTCATCTCATAGATGTTTTCAACTCAAAATTCATTTCCAATTCACCAATCTCTTTATGAATTCAATCTGCTCTAGTTAGTACCTAAGATTTCCCCAAATTTGAATCGAAACTAGCGCGAGATTCCATTACATCAAAACAAGGTAATGTTTCATCTTCAAAGTTGTTTGAAATGCAACAACATATATGAACGATCAACTTACCTTTCTTAAGCGAGTGAGAATTCTGGCCTACTTCGATTCTCCCAAGCAATTCGTTCAGTCGATCAATCAATCAAAAACCAGTAGAAGGCTGAAACCGCCCGCTGCTTCCTAACAAAAGCCGAAGATGATTCCCATTCCCAAACAGATTGACAGATAGATTCAACGATTAATCCAAACTCGAGGATCCAAATCGCCAAATCCTGATTAGACAGAAGCACATAAAAGTTTCAATCTCTTCGTCGGTTGTGATTTCGGAAAGCGAAAGATAGCAGTGCAGAAATGCAAGCAGAATTGGCAGATAGAGCAGAGCATTCCAAATATTCGAGCGACGCTGCATAGATATATATCATTTGAAGGCCAAATCGACCAATGATTGCATTGCAGTGTGGGTCAGGTCAGGTAAGGTCACTCCCCACTCGTGAGTATTCCATGTTTCTTTAAATGCTTCGTTTTCCCATCGAATTAGGGCAAAATTCAATTGCAGTGAGAGTATTACCTCTTCTTCTTCAATTCCTCAATGAGAATTATTACTACTTGCTTTATTCATTGGTGTCTATAATTTTGGTTTTGGGAATAGTCATTTAATGGGACTTTGGTGGGAAAGTAAGATTTCATGTATAATAAGTATTGATGATTTTGGTGATAAGATTGTAATAAATTTTGGTAATTTGGAGATTATTCTTTATTTATTTCTGCTTTCTCGATACACACTAATTTAATTTTCTATTTTTGGAATGTTTGTACAATAAATATGACTCTCATACTATGTGTTTTCTTTTTTTTTAATGTCCAAAAGAGATGATGTATTTATAGTATTTTTTTATGCATTTCTTAATATATCATTCAATCTCACATTTATTTACAAATATATTACTGTTATAATTGTTGTATTTTAGCCCAATGAAACAGCAGACCCTCGTAATTGGGCCATTAAAATCTTTGAGTATGTATGAATTGTGATTTGAGCTTTTTTTTTTTATTATTATTTTAATTCAAAATAATGTAAATTTTCATTTAAAATATTCAAATGACACCAGAACATTCCAAAAGACGAGGAGAACCCAAATCTATATAATTTCAAATTTGGTGGGCAATGAAAATGCTGCAAGAGGAGGGACAGCTGAAAATTTAAGAGGAACATGGAGAGACCAAAAGACAATTTGAAGGATAATTGGCAGGATTCAGTGGTGGAACCCTGTGCTGTGATGTTTGTACCTACAATAGACAATGTATCTCGTATGGATGCACATGTTCTTGTTTACTTAGTGTCCTAACACGACATGTGATGTGCGAACGACACTCCCAACAAACAACAATAGGACAATGGTTTCTCGTTGTAATTTACCTTTGTTGGACCTAATTACTAAATTATTAAGTTCAGCCGAAAATTTATTTAGAATACATTCGTTGAATAGCGACTGTTTGTTCGCACTTAATTTGTCGGACTTAATTTGTAGATTATTAAGTTCAGTCGAAAATTTATTTAAAACGCATTCGTCGAATAACTACTTTTTGTTCGCACTTACCTTGTCAGACCTAATTTGTAAATTATTAAGTTCAGCCGAAAATTTATTCAGAACACTTAATAAATTTAGAGAATAAAATTTTGTAATATTTAACATAGGAATGAACACTCAAAAGTTAGTTAGAATGGTTGCGATAAATTTAGAGAGTCGAATTTTGTGATACTGAACATAAGAACTAAACAGTCACAAGTTAGTTAGAATCAAAATGATCGATATAAGTTTGTAGTAATCTACGAACTTCGAAACTCAATCATCGAGACTATTTTCTGAGGTGAATTGTCATCCCGTCGCATGCCAATGTGCCTTCGAGGTCTCCGATGATTCGAGATATTCGTATTTCGAGACCTCGTTGAACTTCCTGGAACAACGTTCGAACGCTGTCGGCGAATCGCTTCATGTCGAAACTCTCGGGCTTTTCGATGTCCTCCGCAGCATCATTTACGAACCCGGACGCGATTCTAGCTTGCACTTCCATTAACTTCTGCCCCGTCGCAACTATGTATCGCTGTAGTTGGAACGTTTCCTCGAGAAAGTGTTCGAGCTTCTTTGTTTCGTAGTCGGGTCTAGCAGCATTGTCGACGTCTCCGCCGACGGTGGAGTTTAGATTGTTGTCGTGCTGCAGTTTCGACATGTCGAAAAGTTAAACAGGACGTCGATATCGAAACATAACATCGTTTAAGGGTAGAATTGTACCATTCTTTGGCAAATATCGTCGGTTTTCTCCTGCAGCGATTGGTATCGATCAACCTGTTTGTTCAGGAGCGATGTGAGCGCGTAAAACCCCTTCACTCCGAAACGCCCGTTGTCGCTGCTGCTTTCGCTGTTTTCGCAACTTTCTTGCTTCCCCGCCAACCGCTCGAGCATGACGAATTGTTGCTTGAGTCGTTTGATTTTATACAATACTCCGAGGGCGTGGATATCCATCTTCCACATTGTCGAACTACTTTTCTTCCCCGTCGACGTCGACGTTTTGTTGTTCGAGTCCACCGCAGCCACTTTCCCGTCTCGTTCTATCTCTTTCTTCTCCGTCGATGACGGGACTTCGTCCGCCTTCTCATTAGAAATCTCCTCTGCTATCACCTGCTTCTTCTGCGTCGATTTTCGTTTAACGACCTTCACTTTCGACCACATTGCGCTGTGGTTCGTCGTCGCCTCGCGAATCGACGAGCTGAAGTTCAGTTTCTGTAGATTCGGAGGATTGAATTGCAGGACTAATTGCTCTTTTAGCAAATGTAGCTCGGCGTCGCGATCAATCAAAAAGGCTTCGAGCTTCTCATTTTCCTGCCGTAGCTCCGTAATCTCATGATCGAGTCCTTTGACGTGCGATTGCAGCCTCTTCGACTCGAGTTCCATACTCAACAATCGCCACCGGACGGCTTCCAATTTTTCGTCTTTCAGCCTCAGCTGTTCGACAAAGGCATCGATTTCAAGGTCGTGCCTTTCGATTGCGCAGTCGCGCGTCTCCGCCTCCGCATCAACCCAATTCTCCAACAGCTCCGCGTCGCCTATAAAACAGATAACGACGCGCAACGATAAGAAGAAGAAATGCCGGTATTGTATCGAGAATGTTATCTTACGTTGTTTCTCGGACCCCTCCGTCGAATACGAATATGCGCGATGATTATCGCCTTTTGCGGATCGAAAGTTTCCGGCATCCATCGAATGAAATCCCTTCCCGTTTGCGCGCTTCGAGAGCATGTTCCTCAACGAATGCCTCTCGTTCTTGGCCTCTGAAAACGCATTCCACCTCGCTGTCCCCGACTCAGCTTGCTTCCTCTTCGCCTTCGACGACTTCGTCTCCTTTAAAAGCATATGTTTCTCGGCTGCGTCGAGCTTGGCTTTCCTCAGCATCGCCGATAAAATCTGGTCTTTATGTTCCAACTCCTTCCGCGTCTTGACAAGCTCCGTCGACAGGCGCTGAGCCATTAGAACCGACTGCTCTTTCTGCTTCGACACCGACTCGAGCTCGTGCTTCAACGCATCAACTTGCCGCAGCGCACGACCCATCTCTGCCTCGAGCTGCCGCTGATTCGACACAATCTCGATAAACGCCGTCTTGTGTTTCAGAATTTCGCTTGAATGCCGTTCGTTCTCGAGTTTTGTCGTCTGCGTCAGCTCGTCGACGAGCTTTTCCGCCTTCTTCGCCCTCTCTTCGATTTCTCGTCTCCTCTGTTCGCCTTCCTCGATCGACTTATCCTTTTCCTGCAAAAGAGCTTCCCTTTCCTTCAACTTCTGGTTCAATTCCAACATCGATTTTTCTCTCATCATCTCCACTACCGTTAGCTCCTTCACCAGAGCTCCGATGTGCTGCCGGAGCCTCCTCCTCTCATCAAACCAGGTCTGTTCTCGCGACGCGATTATGCTCACGACTTTCTCGTTCGCCCTCGCCTCTTCGCTCCGCCGTTTCTTCAGTTCGACGACCTGATTCTGCGCGTTCTCGAGCTTTTGAAGAAGCTCACATCCGCCGGTTTTCGCTTTCCATATGAACATCCCCAAAAGATGAGCACTGCCTTTAAGCATCCGATTCCGGATCTCCGACCACTTATCGTCTTCCTCCGGCTCCGGCAAGAGTTTTAGGGCAAAAAATGCACAGGAAACACCGAAAAACATTGGATACAGAGTATCGAAATTCTTCTCCTCAGGTTTAATGGCGAAGGAGCGTGAAATCGCCTTTTCATCCATCGCTCACTTGTTACGCATCTGCTTCCAGACACATCTGACGAACAGTGCCTTGAATTGCAGGAAAAATTGGATAAATCGCCTTCCGAAACTGAAATTTCGAGAAATTTATCGACAGATTAAAGCATCAGGATGAAATGCAAGCTTTCAAAAGCAGGAACAGAAAATTCTTAGGTGCAGCGAAGAAATCGCGCAGAAAAAACAATCAACCTCATCAAATTAGGTCAAGCAAAGACAAAAATGGCGATTCCTCGAACAGAGATCACGATTGAAAGAGCAGAACGAATACTCACGCAAAATTCCGAAGCAGTTAAGCTACTCTTCACGAATTTCAGCTCAAAAACAAAAACCTCATTCCGAGAATCGCTCCGATGGAAAGCAACTGAATGCGAAATTTCTGGTGAAGCGACGAAATTGAGGCAGGAATCATCATCAGTAGCATCATCTCCTTCATCAGTTTCCGCTTGAAGTGATTCTTTATACACTCGTCAGAGAATGCCAAAAGCATGAGCTCTTTACACGTGTGAACGTACTCTGCAAAATTAGTTGCAAAAAGGAATCCACAGTACAGTACAGTAAGTGAGATTAATAATTCCCAAAAAAAAAAAACCCTAAACCCAATTTGGGGAAAACATCATGGCGCAGTGCAGATTAAATTATTAGCCCTAGTTTTCAGAGAAGACGACCCCATGAACACACCTTTTAGGGCACATCTCTTTCAATTCCTCCATTCCTCTCTCAATCTCAGCTTTCAGACTCCATTTTTATTTTCATCAATTCGCAAAATTGAGGAACAGTAATCCCAAAAACAACAACGATAGAACGATAGATAGATATTTAGATTATCGTCTCTCAGCTCAACTGCCTGTCAAATTATGAATTTGTATTCTTTCCAGGTTGGCTTGGCTGTCTCTCCGTCGCTTTCTGTCCATTGCCCCCACAAAATGTGTATGTATATGTGTATCTCTCTCTCTATATATATATGTATGTATATGTGATGTCTGAAAAAGATTGGAAATTTATGGCTAATGAAGCTGCAATTAGTCCTCTGCTTCTTCTTCTTCTACTCGATCATCATTGCTGCGAATTTACATGTCTTTTCATGAATTTAGAACAACTTGCAGATCTGTTGCTGTCAATATGTATAAATGGTTCTGCATTAATGTACTATTTTTTCAGCCAAAATGTTATTTAAATTAAAATATAAAATTAGAAGCAAACTAATTTAAGAACTAACGATAGTAATACTATATATTTAATGACATTTTTTAAAAGAAAATTACAAATTCAGTTCTGGCGGCCATTTACAACTTTTACTTATGATTTTAACCTTTGTACTATTTTACTAAAACAAGAATAACTCATTAAAAAAAAAAGAATAACTCATTAAAAGAATCAAACTAGTTTGAAATTAAAATAAAATATTAATTTTTATTTTTATTTGAATACTATTTTGTTTTGCTAAATAAATAAATAAAAATATATTACTTTTGATTTAAAATTACAATAGAATACATCCTTAGTGTTTAGTAATTTTTTATGTTAATAACATTTTTTTGTTAATATTCAAAACCGATAAAAATATTTTAATATTTTTTTTATTACCTATTTAAAAAATATTCTATAAATAAAAGTTCTATACGGAATACTGAAAAAAAATAACAATTCTTTTTTATTATTTTTTTAATGATAATTAATATTTTTCTTTTTATATCACATCATATATTTATTTTTTATTTTCAGAAAATTTACATTAGATGAATTATATTAAGCAAATAGAATCTAGAAGTGTTAGGGTTTAGTTATAAAATTTACATTAGGTGAACTTTTATTATTATTTTTTCTATGATAATCGATTTTTTTTTTTAAAAAAAAAAGAAAATACGCAGCCACTCGTTGTTTCGTAATTTGCAATTAGTGTTACCATATCTCATACATTGGACAAAAATAGGTAGGGGCACATCGATACTAAGGAAGTTGAAAATTTAATATACTTCATTTGTAAGGACCACAAAATTAAATGTGCATACCCGCAAAAATTATGGATCAAGAGAAGAATCTCCTCATTCTCCAAAGCAACAAGATTTGTCTATAAGAAAACTATATATTATATACATATATAACTTTTACATTTTAATTTTTAAAATATTTTTTTAATATTCTACATATCACATAAAAATTAGTACTATTTAATAAAGACCCCGCAATTTGGATTATATTGCGAGCGAGGACTTTTTTGATGCTCAGCTTTTACAAACTGTTCCCTTTTCCTGAAGCCTGTAAAGGAGGGACTTTGCTTAACTAAAGCTGTACATGTCTTCAAAATTATTGGCCATAAACATAATATTTAATAGTACAGGGATCCGATTTAAATGTCTCAGATCTGCCCTTGGAAACTGTCCTGCTGACGTGGAAAGAACACAGCCGTCGGATTCTCTACGTAAACCATAATCTTGGGAATAATAATTATTAATTAATAAAGCAGCGATCGCATTTTAGTTTTAATTAATTTTAAATTACATTAATTTTATTTGGATATTTTGGTCATCTATATTGGGCCATTATTTTAAGCCCAAATAGATTATTTATTGGGCCCATCTAGATTTTTCGGAGCCCAATAAAATGGTCCGATAGAATTGGATCGGGTCAGGTGGCACTATAAATATCTCTTGTAGATGCAGACCCGATGTTTTTATATTTATTTTTATTTTCTCTGGGGGTTTCGGCTTCGCTCGCTGTTGCAAGAGCGCCTTTCAGAGTTCGATCTCCAACACTCGCTGAATCTTCAGGTTTCGAGAAGCTGCGGTTGTATCGTGTTTGTTAGGTTTCTGACGGAATCTGGGAATTGGATATGGAGGGGGTACCTCTACCAGTTATTTTTGAGCAGGCGCGAAGAATTCATCAATCTGCCTGCGATTCTTCCGTGGATCAGGTTTTGTTTTCGGAATATAGGTTTCTTTGTTGTTGATTTATCATGTATCGTTTGTTATAAGTCGATTTGTGTGCGTGTGTGTGTGTTTTTTAATTATTATTTTCAGTTTCGATTTATTGAATGATTTGTTGTTGATTTTATAGGATACTCTCAGAAAAGGATGTGAGCTCCTGAGGAAATGCGAGGAAATGATTGGGAAGTTAGGATTATTTTCTTCTAATGAAACGAAGGAGGATATCAGCACTATTAATCTCAAATATCTACTCGTGAGTGCTTCTGTCGTTTCCAAGTATTTTGACGTATGAATTGGCGAAATAGTGCGAACTTTACCCTATCATTTGCATCCGAGTTTGGGGCATTAGCTTTGAATGATCTATGGCCTAATTCAATGTTTGAAATTCATTGAAAAATTATTTACTTAAATACCTTAAAAAATGCATGATAGAAAAAGAAACTCGTGTGTGTTGGTAATCATAATTTTCATAATCTAACGTCTTATTATTCTATCGGTAAACCATAGAAGTTAACATCGTAAATTTTAATTTCATTGTTTAGTTGCCAGATTCTAAATCATGCTTGTTTAAACATGATCACTCTAATGTTTGTTTAAATGAATTGTTGGGTAACTTATTTACTCCAAAATACAATATCTCTATACTTAATAAAAGATTGTGCTATGGGACTGAATTTCTTCACCAATAGAAAGATTCTTTTGCTCTTTTGCCTTCAATTTGATGTAAAATAACCATGGTGCTTAATACAGGTACCGTATTTTCTTGGTGAGCTAATGGAAAAAATAACAGGAGAGGAAAGGATCCAGATTATTAAAACTTCACAGGCCAAATTAAAGGTCTAATTTCTTTATAACCGTGCTTAAAGATACCATTCTTGTTAGTTTCTGGTTGTGGTTTCCCAATTATATATTTAACAATGGGATCGCAAGTACCATGAATCTCACCTCCCTACATCACACCAGGAATTTATCTCATTTTGTGAGGCAATGGAGCTTGTACCAGAAGAGGAACTGGAATCATCTGCAAGAGCTTCGGGTAACACATCTGCTGATCTGAGAGCTAGAAAGGTATGCTTGAACATTGATTAAAGTTTAATTTCTTACCCCTCTGACTTGGATCATATTGTTTGTTTGAGTTTGTTTTAATGCACCTTGTGTGATTGTTATTAACAAAATACTTTGTCAAAGCTGCAGCTACCATGTTGTGTACCTAATTGTATCAAATTATTTCAGATTGCTCGGTTTAAACGTCAGAAAGCTGCTGAGTCAAAGTTGCTTGAAATCAAGGAGCGAAAGGAACGTCGTGGGCGCTCAACAAAAGCATCTGCATTGTCTGCTCCTGTTGAGGCTGGCGAAGAGGATATGGATGATGATGACGGAGAAGAGGAAAGAGAGGTCAGCTTCTTATTAATTATCTCAAACAATTCCTTTGACCTTTTTCTATGAGATATATATAATGTTCTAGAGAACATTGTACTTACTGGGATTTAAATTCATCTCCATTTTGCACGTGGCAATTTCTGTTTATGATGCACCAAATATTACATTAATAACTAGACTGAATGCGACAAAACTTATGTCAAACTTTAATTGTGGTAAAAAGAGGAATATTCTCATCTGCGTGTGCCCATAACCAGATCAAGATTGCGGCGATATACTGGAAATCCGAATAACAATCCCCAAATATCTGTTTAAATTTGGCTTCATGTTCCCTTTGTCACCCTAAATTTGTTAAATAACAGTTTTCCTTCTTCTCACTCCTCAGGCTTGGTTTACTACCATATCCCTGGCACTATGCAAGGTAGGTCCGAAATTCAGGCACATGTTATAATCAACAATCTCTGCCAGCATGTCTCACTCCTTTTGCTTATTCCACAGGCACTTGATTTACTCGAAATGCTGAAGAAAGAGGAAGAGATGCTTTCTGCTGTTAAGGAAAGACAGTCGCAGGTATCTTATCTGCTTGAAATTTTAAATTCATTTTTCTCTGGATTATATCCGTTAATTATCCCTAGTGTTGTACCTTGCTATTGGGATGAGCATAAGTTTCCAGTACAATGGTCAAAACGCTATACCTTACGATGCAAATATTATAAAATATGATTGAAATGCATTAAGAAGCCATTGATGACAATTTTTTGCAGGAAGGGGAGAATGAATTTTCACATTCTACCCTGGACGAGCGCACGAAGAAAGCAGAAGCATGGCACCGTGATGCTGCAACAAGGGTTCGATACACAACTCCTGCTGCTCCAATAACGTGTGCTACTTTTGCACAAGATGTCTTGGAGGGTAGAGCAAACGTTTCACAGTATCACGAGCACAAGCACCAGCCTATGATATTTGGTCCCGCCAGCCTTGTGGGCAGAAACCCAACAAGCGAGAGGGAAAAAATAGCAGCAAAAGTTTTCCAGCCTCACCACAGGTAGGTATATATGTATATATTTGTGGATAGAGCAGCTAAACAAACTGGGTAACTCGCGAGTCAAGCTCGTCCCGGCTTGTTAACAAGTCGACTTTACTTGTTTATAGAGATAAACAAGCTGAGTTTAAGCTCAAAAATTATTATGTCTATAAACAAGCAAAGTTTGAGCTTAGCTCGATTGATTTTGGCAGTGATAGTATATTTATATTATTTTATATATTATATAACATTTAAATTAAAACTTGAAATTTGACTATTTCTTATAGTATATTGTGAATAAAAGTAAATATATTTAATTTATATATTGAAGAATTTGTATAAAATTTGAGTCAAACCCAAAGCTGAGCCCAACTAGTTAAATTTGAGCTACTATATTAGCTTGTATCCTAAACAAGCTGAGCCGATGGTTGTACCATGTTTGAGTTTGAGTCAAGCTAGAACAATAGGTACTTGACCTTGTTTAATTGTGAAACACCGCCTGATTGTAAATGTAGCATAAGAAAAGAATAATAGTGAGTGGAAATTGGTCTGAACTGATTCATTAATGATTGGTAGATTACCAACGATGAGCATAGAGGAAGCCGGCTTAAAGGAGATGGAGATGATGAACAAGTGGCAGGAGAAGAATGCAAAGCTAATTGAGGAAGCTAACTCAGCCTGGTACAAGGACAAGAAGCCGATGATGAGGCCAGGGGAGGATGACGAGGATGATGACGATGATGCTGCCCAGGACCGGGCAAGAGCTTGGGATGACTGGAAGGACGACAACCCCCGTGGGGCGGGGAACAAGAAGCTCACTCCTTGTGGTTAATGCAACTCTCTTTCTTATACTCTGGCAGGTATAATCACATTTTATGACTTGTTAGTTTTTTTTTTTTTTTTTATATCCTGTTTTATTGAGGGCATGTGGGCATTTTATTTACTAGTAGTTGTTGTTTTTGTTATTATCAGTATGTATAGCAGCAGCTGTTGTTGTTAATGATGATCTGACATAGGGCTGTTGTGTGTGTTTTGTGTACAATCGATGTCCTTTTCTCCGTATGGGAAATTAGATTAATGTTTTACTTTGGGCGTCATTAGGAATTGGCTGTAATGTTTTGAAAAAGAAAGTGATCATATTTAGTGAGAATTGTGGAAATTGAACAGTAAAGAAATCGAAAAGGAGTGAATTTTGGTTATGTTCACTTGAATTTGATTTTAATTTCTTATTATTGTTTATTAGGCACCATTACGGGGTTGTTTGTTTAGTGTTTTTTTGATATAAAGAAATGTGTTTTTAATATAAAAATAATAATAATTTTGTATTGAATAATTGTTTTTTTTTTTTAATGGAAAAAATATATATTGTATATTTTTTTTATAATATTAATTGACAATAGTGTAGAAAAATTATAGTTGGGTGAACATATCCTAAATTTATATATATGTATATTTTTACAAATTATTATATTTAAATTAATGTTCAAAATAAAATTGAAATATGAGATATTGTTATATTTCAGATAATTGTTCTCATGTGAAGCAAAATAATTACATATTTTTATTTGCAAGTGTGGAATCTAAAACAAAACACGCTATGTTTTTATTTTAATTTGGTCTATCACAATTATACCTTAAATGTGTGTGTATATATATATTTCAAAGGAAAGTAATAAGAAACAAAACAGAGAGTAGTAAAAAAAATGAGAAGACATCCAAAAAGAACATGCACTAACTTGTTTATTGGGAAAGAAGTTTATGAGCCGCAACTAATTGTGAGACTTCCAATTTTCTTATAACGTGTGAATGAATGGTATCGAATCGAATCCTTTCTAGTAGGCTAGCAAAATGATGATGCTTTGGTTATTGATGCTATGGTTATAAGAGTGTTATAACCAATCAAGCAACTAACCTGTGTTAGTTTTAGCCGGGATAGGGAGGGTCCTTAAACGCCCATTCGAACACTTGCTCGTATTGAGCTGCCGCATTGTCCCAAGTCGAGTCCCTCTCCATGCCCCGCCTCATCAGTCCTTCCCAAGAACTCTTGTAGGCATTGTATGTTGCGATAGCTATCCTCAGTGTCTGCACAACACAACACAACACACTAGTCAATATATCAAAATTAGACGAAACATCAAGCCTCTATTTATATACATACTTTTTAAAAAGGTCTTTGACACTATTTATAAATAGTAAGACTGTGTTCTTCCAAATCCAAGACACATTACCTTCATCCAAAAATATTACTCAACAAATACATATCATAAATCTAAATTTTTACCATTTCCAAAAAAATTTAATATTTCCGAAACTTTTTATCTGTATGTTGTCCTAAATCTAAAGAAATCATACATAAGTACATATTCATTTAATTGGTAAATGCTACTTGTTATCTGCTCCTCTACTACAATCGCTATAGGGAAGAAAACTATCTACGTTCTGTTACTTACCGCAAGTAAACATTCCTTAGATAGAGGCGAAAATGTCCACCTGCACAACCAAACCCCCATAGATCAGTGTGTAACACAATAAAATATCTACTATTTCTTTATTGTTCCTCTTTGTTTAAGAAAAAATACAAAAATTTTTAACAATATTCATCAATATAGTAATTTTTATTTAAAAAAAATAAAAAAACATCTCATCAAAATACCTTTTTATTCTTGTACTAAAACATCAAATAAAATACATACGTACCCTGTACCCTGCTCAGGGCCGCCTCCAGGTGGAAATGGATTGAAATTCTTGACAGTGTCCTGATTAAAGAAGCAAGAACAACAAACATTTATAGACTGACTAAATAAATGTATAGAAATCTTAGCCATCTTAGCATTGGATCTCACTCTAAGCCCTCCTGTCTTGTGAACGACAGGAACGGTACCATATCGCATTGCATACAGCTGATTCAATCCACACGGTTCGAATCTTGAAGGCATGACAAGAATGTCGCAGCTGCAATGCAAAACTGTATATTCAGAGCAGAACACAATACACGATAGGATTTTATGAGAGTTGGCAAAACTAGGCACGACTCAAAAATCCGATTCGAATCCGGTACGAAAAACTATGCTTGGCCCTACAAAAAATTGGTCTGAAAACAAATCGGCCTTGCCGGGACCAGTTTTATAATTTAAATACATTTGAAATGAATAATTTTATAAATATATTAACAAATAAATATATGTCAAAAATTGACATATAGTTTAATGGTTGAGCTTGACTGGGCTGGTCTGGCACGAAAAACCGGTTCGGCCGTTATTGCCAACTCTAGATTTTTATCATGGCAACAAGATAAATGGGAAGTTGAAATCTTGGATTACCCTGCTGTAATTCTGTGAGAGATGGGAATGTTGAACCCGACCCAACCTCGATACTTGTCTCTGTAAACAGACTCTAAATGTCTCATCCAGTCTTCGTATTGTTTCTCCCCCGATCCGAGCATGACCTGAAAATCGACACTTTTGAGTGAGAATCGAAGATTGAATGATCGAATGGCATTGAGTAAGAAATCATCTAATGTCTTACAACTTGGACTGTGTCTTGTAAGAGTTCAGGAATGGCTGAGAGGAGAATGTCGACACCTTTTTGGTAATCAAGCCTCCCTATAAATCCAATCTGCCGACATTTATAGTTAGTGTTGTTCGAGCAATTAAATTCATGAATGAGATATGTGATTGGCTCTCACTAGTGGACAGTCGGGAAGAATCGGGAGGCCTAGTTGCTGCTGAAGTTTAATCTTGCACTGAGCCTGCAGTAAATTGTGATGACACGAAATAGAGCTTGGCACAGAAATATTCAGAAGAAATGATCAGACAAGGTGATTGAGTAACTAACCTTTGGACCGAGGTTATCAATGGAGTACCGAACAGGAAGATATTTGTCCGTGCTCGGATTCCATTCAGCAGCATCGATTCCATTTGTGATTCCTACAAGAACACAATATCCATTGTGACAAAGCTACAATGGGTGCAAACAACATTGTGCAAGTACCTGTTAAAATCATCTGTCGAATAGTTAACAGCTCGTGTAAACCGCATCCACCCTCGGGAGTGGTTATTTCCCAGGAATAACCCTGCATGCAGAAGAAAGCATACAATTCGTAAAATTGATTAAAATCACAAAAGGATTGAACATGCTTGTGTGGCAGATCCTTGATCTTCGATGGCTATGTATGACGAGAAATGTTTATTGTTGTCTAGATAGAATACCGGGCTGACTGTCACTATCCTGTCTGCAGTGACAATTGCAGCTTTCAAAACGTTGACGGCTTCGCCAGGGTCAAGAGCATGCGTTCTTGCCCAAGGGGGGAACACCCATTCCAGCACCTTGTACCATCCATTGGGCAACCCTAAATTCTTATACGTGGATGCTGGCTCGACTCCCTTGGGACAAAATATGTGATCTCATAAGAGTCCATTCTAATATGTAAAGTCTGTAGTCCATAGGGGAAGAGTGAACTTACTTGATGGGCTAAGTTGTGTATCACAAAGATACTTCGAGCATTGAGGTACACTGAATGTGGGCGATACTTTGCTGATAGAAGTCTGAAATTAAATATGGAAGAGATAAATATCATCAACACTTGATAATTAAAGTATATATAACAGTCACGTTCCGTACACAGGAACTAGGCCTGCATGCCAGTCATTTGCAAGAAATAGGCAGTTTTCCCCATAAGTGAAACCTCCGAGTGGCAGTACTAACGGAGCCTCGCAAGCCGCATGGCAAAGCAAAGTGAAACGGAACTGTTAAAGGCCAACAGAGAGAATTGTCAAGATCACTTGTCACAGAAACCAAGCAATTAGTTTCCAACCAACTGTTTACCTGATTATCACCAAAAGTACCGTTACTATCACCATATGGAGTTCCTGCTCTGTGGTAGGAAGGGTGATCGACAAAGATCTAAAGCACAAAAAAAATGGTGGTTAGTAAACCAAATAAAAATAATAAGAAATATCATTCATTGATGAAAGGTGACTGAATTTACCCAATCAACACCGCCCCTGTATTCATGGAAATATCCGACCTCCTGCACACCGTCAAAGCAGTATATCTGGGCTCTTTGCTCCAATTCAACAGCGTTGTCGAATTTAGCCAATGAACTCTCATTTATATATCTTGGACTGACAACCATTACCCGGTGGCCCCGGGCAGCCAGTGCTATAGGTAAAGAGCCACAAACATCTCCCAAGCCTCCCGTCTTGGAATATGGAGCTGCTTCAGCAGTAACAAAAACAATGCTGTAGGTTGTGGCTGTTGGTTCTTCTTTACTTGATTCACTGTCATCAGATAGCTCGCCTCCTGAGGAGGCCACATTGCCTTGTGTTTCCAGAACATTTGCATCAGCAATCGCTGAAGTTAGACTAACCAGTCAGTTTGAATTGCCTCAACAAATCCATTGAAAAATTAAGTAAAACTAAGCATGAGCTCGACTAACATATATCATTATTCTGTCACATGTTTTTGCTCTCTCCTTGATCAAGATTCTGTTCCATAATTATGCATGTAAGTTTATAGAGATTCAATTGAATTCCCTTGTCTTTGATGATTGTTCCTTACATCCTACTAATCAGTTTTTTGTAAACGAACAAAACGCATTAAAACCAAAGCATAAAAAATTAGAGCATCTAGCTGCCAAAAGAAGGCACGCGTTCAGAACATCTAAATCAATGTGTATGTAATTATTGAATCCGAAGCGAAGCATTACTCATTGATGAAATCTGCAGAATTCTCATTCATCATGATATATATATCCATCTAAACATGGAAGAATGTAAAGAATCGCGTGTGGTAAAGAAACACAAATCCAGCTTCAAATGCATAAAGAACAGGGACGATTCGCAAGTTGCCTACAACTCAACATGTAAATCTCTGATAAACACAGAAAATGAACAGCTAAGTGATAGTGCGTGAGAATGTGAGAACAACGAAGAGATATCCACATTGAGGGGAACCATAAGTGACGCCAAAGATATCCACATTTCGACTCTTATCTTACACAATTACGAACAATCAGATGGACAGAATATATCAGGCAACACACACAAGAAAGTAAACTTACCAAAAACAACCAAACAATAAGCGATAAAGAGGATAAGCACGTCTACAAATGTTAAGAGCTCCAAATTCTCACCAGAATGTGGAATCAACTGGAATCCTACAACAGAACCAGTACTATCTCTCTCGGCACCCAGTAACCGCCCCTCATTTTGCTCCTTATCTTGAGCGCCGCCACTGTTCGTTCTGATAAAATCTTCTTCACTCCTATCCTCAGCGTAAGATCTCGCTCTAACGCAACAAGATTGAACAGTTCTGTTCCTCGACAATAAGGAAGAAGCGAATCCTACTTGCCTAACTCCACTGAACGAAATCAACGACACGTTCTGCGACAAATTGAAGCTGCGTACCACCCTTGATGGTACGAATTGCAGAGTCTCCATCAGCGGGACGGGAATCCCGACGAAGAAGCAAGGAATCGAAGGTCTAAAAATGGGAAGAAAGAGAAGAAACGGAAAAAGAAAGAGGAGAGAAGGGAGAAGGGAAAATCTAGAAAGTGCAATGAATGGAATCAGGGGAGTGGGAGAGCGCGAAAATATATGCAGGAGTCCGTCCGTGTTGATCAGACGCCGTCGTTTTAAAGCTTCGGTGAAAATGATGTTGACACGTGGCGGCGGTAGTTCCTGTGACAGTGACAGGGTGGCGATTGTGGCGTTTGTTTTTGACAGGTCCCGGGACTCAAACGCCAAATGGTGATTGTATAGGCCGTAACCGTTCCCGGGCCTGCGTGTCCGGGTTCTGGGACCTGTATTAGTTTTGTTAACTAATTTCTCTGATATTTTTAAATCTTTAGTTTTTTTTATTAGTTGAGATTGTTTGAATATATAAAATTTTTTAAAAATAATTAATAGAAATACTAAAAAAAATTTAATTTTAGAAAATTCTGAAGGTCGAAATCCTTTTAAAATAATAAAAAATTAATATTTTAATTTGATATTTTATGAAAAAAATACTATCATTTAAATTTATATTTATTTAATCGATTTTAAGAAAATATAAAATATTGTATATTTTTATTAAAAAAGGAAATATGAATATTTTTATGACAATAAAAAAATAAACATAAAATTAAATGATAAAATAAGTAATATTGTTTGGAAATTGTTATGAATATCAATGAATCATATTTTAAAAAATCCAAATGTTTAGATAGTAGACTAAGCTTAAATATAATCAAAATAAATTATTCAATAGTGAAAACATAAAAACTAAAAAATGCAATCAAATCAATTATACTTACGAGTAATATTAAAATATGAATATTCTTTTTAGTGGGGTGCTCCAAATATATATCTTGAAATAGGGCACAAATGATGGGCATTATCTATCTGGTAGGGCAGACTGAGCTGTCAGCCCATGTTGCTATTAGTACTATAAAACAAGAAATTGCACTTAGTACATTTGCAAAAGACGTCACTAAAATTACTTCATAGAAAACAAACAACAAATTCTCTCAACGATAATACACTAATAGTGACTTGTATTTATTTAATTTTTATATGCAATATATTTGAGCTATGTTTTCTTGACAAAGAAAGCTTCGTTACATTTGCTGAAGTTAAGAAATGAAACCAAACATCACACACCATATTAAATATATATCACACAAAGGTAAAAATCAGCCACAATTAACTTTAAAATTAGCCCAATCCTCACTCACTGATTCTGGGCTGTTCATCAACTTTGTTTGTCTAATGTGACTTTCCTTCGAAGATGAATTAGTTTTGGGTCGATAAATTGAAGAGCGACCATCAGAGCTCGACGATTCGTAACCCAACCCAATAGGGCTACTTCTCTTTGTGGAGGAGTTCCATTGCCGGGCTTGTGGGCTGGGCTGCCTAGTTGGGCCTTGGGCTCGGGGTTTTGTTTTGGCGGATTGGGATTGGGTCGGGGCCATGTAGCTCGGGATGTCTCTAGAGTCCAATAATTTTTGTTGTCGTGATGAAATTGGGCTCGAGATGATATAGTCTATGTTGCGATGGATCATACTTAAATTGTCCGAGCCCAATGGTATGTTGGGTAAGTCCATTTCGACTGTTATCTCTGATTCATTGTCGAAGGTGGTTGTCGTGGTGGCGGTGGTGGTTTCGGGCAGCATATTCGATTGGGACGCCATCCATCGTTCGAGCCGGTTCCAACCCCATTGTGGGCTGTACGCCCCGTAGCCACGGGGCCTAACATGTTCCCCGTTCAATTGTTGTTGATGACGATGCTGCATGTTATAAATACGAATAAATTTAAATTAGCCCACATTTTTGGCGTGTTAGGACAATAACATGAGAGGAAAATAATGTGTGATGAACTCAGAACCTGGTGAGCTAAGGCATAGGCAAGAGGCTGCTCCATTTTCATCTCAGGGCTGTGAACTTTTCTAGAAGGGCTCTTCGGAATCCGATTTGCGCTTTGGTCCCTCTTGCGCCGTTGTTCGTTCTTTTGAACTGCGGCATCAGTGTCTTCCACATGAGCCATTTGGAACCTACGGGTGCGCACACGTGCCTGCACGCGAACAAGCGCCTGCATGCACCTCATCGTCATATGCGCTTGTTTGCGCACGTTGTGGCCTCGCACTAGCGCCTGCAACCTCACCAAGCCCTTCAATGCACGTAAAGCTCGCCTCGCCTATAAAAATATATTATAATTGTATATATGTGAACTTACAATATATTATAATCGTCCCTATAATACATACTATCATTGAATTCAATAGTAAAAATGTGTCTAACAACCGTCAGTATCTGACTTCAACTAACACAACATATGCTGTGATTTCAACCGAGGCAAATTAGCGATCAAATATTATAATATGCAAATCAAACCCCCATATATAAAGGATATGGATCATCAGCTGATTTGATCATGTCAATATGGTGCTGATTTGACCAGATCAGCATATGTTATAGGATGACCAACATATATTTATACATATTTCAACGTATTTATAATATGTTATCTTATAACACATAACATATGCTAAGATATGTATATACATAAGTTGGTTACCCATAAGATATATATTAACATGATCAAATTAACACCATACTAACTTGGCCGAATCAGCACAAAATCTGCAGCTATATATATATATATATATGTACATGTAATAGCTAGATCATGGGAAAGTTATGCTTAAATTTACCAAATATCCTCTGTAGTAAGACTGTATGAGAGTTGCAGCCCTTTCTTCATTCGAATGGTGGCGATATCCGGCTAACATAACCACTTTAGCTGCAGCGTGAGCAGCTGCAACGGCTGCCTCGGCTGCAGCTGCAGTGGCCTCGGCAACAGCCATTGCTTGATTCTGATGAGCAGGGGAATCTCTGTTCTTGATGACGGCATTCTTCGGCGAACTTTCTGCAGGAAGAGTCTGGATGGACACGACTTCATCCGGCGCCACACATTGTCGTTTCTCCCAACTTTGCTTCTGTGATTGCACAAAATTATGCAGCCATAGCTGCTAATTAGTCACAGGACACTGATAATATGTAAACTAATCGGTTCGAAGATAATTTAGGCTTTTCGAAGATAGCTAATTAATGATCTGTGTGGGGAGCGATTGGGACAGAAGTTTAAGAAGCACATGGATGATGTACATGTGGTTCGATTCGATGCTGTGGCTGGGAAGAAAGCAATAAGGCTTTGCAAAGCATGTTGGAAGGGGACATTTTAGCATATGTAAATGTTCCAAATGCAGTTCGGCTTGTTTGAGCTCGTTAAGATCTCGTTCGTTAAGCTAAATCATATAAATATAAACATAAACTTTAACTTGTTATGTTCACAAACGAACTCTCGCGAATTTTAAACAATATTCATTAAAGATTAATAATTTTATATTTAATAAATAAATATATTTTTATAAATATAATATATTTAATTTTTAAAAAAAAATAAAAATAACAAATTCTCTTAACAAACACTAGCCAAACTCTTGTCCTGACAAGCTCGACTTGGTTCGGCTCGTCTACGGCTCTGTGGATCCGTTGATTGGCTTTCACGAAAGAGAAAAAACCAATCGATCAACATCCAGCAGTGATAAAATCTCATCAGTGTTCATAATTTGTCAATGATTACACCAAAAATGGCGTCGGAGCATCGCAAAGAACACTTGCCTTATCACATACGGCTACAAAGTTAAAAACACAGAATCGCAGTTCTCTGAAATTGAAGGATTCCAGATTAATGAATTAACTAACCTTCTTGTCAGGCTTCAATCCCTTACTCGGAGACTGCTTGAACACCTTCTTCACCGTAGAAAACCATCCGCCGCCTCCGCCTTCTTCCTTCTTCCCCATTTCCGGCGGTTAAACAATCACCACAATCACAATAACCTTTCGTACACAAAATCAAAAAGGATTCCAAATTCCAAGTTAAATCAAACATACACACGATCTTCTACATTTCAGTAATACCTTTTGATCCAAACAAATTAACATACAACCTCACGCAATACACACAGAGACAAATATTTATATATATATATATAAATATATTCAGTTGATCAGGTTACAAACCTTTGCATTCCTCAGAGCTTGACCGCCTCCATTTCCAGATTTGTAAAAAAGTAGCACTAAAAGGCACCAACATGTGAGGGGTTTTAAAGAGAATTAAAAGGATAGAAAGCAGTGTGTGAATCTACGTGTATAGATACAGATTCTGTATGTATATGCGTATATAGGGAAGATGAGTGGGGGAGAAGAGTAACTGCAGGCCCGCGGATTTGCCGTTGGTATTTAATCAGTCTCACGAGGAGTAGCTTCATATAGCCAATCGGAAACGGACACGTGTCGACATATATATATTTTTTAATTCAATATTAGTATTGGTTAATTAATTAGTTTGTTAGTTTGACACCTTATCTAATAATTATATGATATAAATAAAAATAAATGAAAAAGGTATAGCCTAATCTGGTCAAGTACTTTATTATGATGAATTTGCCTAATTATCATCATTACAGATTAGGCTCTGTTCATCTATTTACTTTTTAAATTTACCATATTATTGTGGTGTGTAATGTAGTCGTGACCGTAAAATATATTTAAAGTTGCTTGAGACTAAAAAATTAAATTTAACTACGAAGAAAGTATATATCATATCAAATTATAGTATTTTTATTATTATTATTATTATTTCAAAATTTTAATATTTCAAATACTCCTATCAAAATGAAACCTAAAACAAATTTGTTTGAGATTGTATTTGAATTTGATTTTTTATTAAAATTTTAATTTAAATAATATTTTTATATAAAAAAAATATTCCCTCATCAAAAATTAGTTCAGTTAAAGTTGACTTCATTATTAAAAAAAAATATATTTTATTGAAAAATAAAAAAATAATAATAATTAAAAGATATTTTTAAAATTTTAATAAGTAATTAAAAAGAATGAAGATAGTGAAAATGAATTAACAATAATAATTAAATATTGATTTTTATTTTATTTTCTAATGAGTAAATTTAACAAACATACTAAAAAGAAAAATAAGAATAAATTTAAGAGACAAATAAAATAATAAAAATTTGAAATATACAATAAAATATATATATATATAATTTTTTTAACAAAAAGATCTTTTGTAATCCGAAGATTTTGTTTGTTTTGTGTTTTAATTTTTTAAAAATATAATAATTATGTGAGTATAGAAAATTGTACAAATAATGAATATACTTAATATATTAGTATTTAAAAAAATGTGTTACTTTTGAAAAAAGGAATACACCCACAAAAAATTTATTTAATTTTAACAATATCATTCTCAATATATATTATATTATATTATTTTATATAATTATTTTTTTCTTATAAAATATAAAATATTATTTCTTTTATACTATTAAAAACAATATCTTAAACTAAAATAATAAACAAACACTCCAAATTAAAATAATACTTAAGTGTGAAATTTTTATCAACATTGTTAGGTAAATTTGTTCATTCTCTTCCAATGTCTATATAATTCACACACATAATTTTTTTTATAAGAATACGATATTTTCTTTTACAAAATATTATATTAAAATATTATTTAAATTCAAAATACAAATAAATTAAAAACACAACCTATATGTTACACAGTATAAATTCCATTTTAAGTTTGTCGAGCTGTGAAATATCATTATCACCATCATTATCATTTATCACCACCTAATATGCAGTTGAGGGATCATTTAAATAAACGTCAAACAATTAATTTTTAATTTAATTTAATAAACAACAAATAACTATTCGTGATCCATTGCACATGCCTATATATTTGAAGATGCATGGGTTACTTGACATATGCTTTTTTATTTTTTTTTACTTTTTTTTTTTTTTTGTTTCTCTTTTGAATTGTTTTTATTTTAAAACTATAAACAAAAAATTAATTGAAATAATTAGTTGGTAGTATTATATAAATATATATTAATATTGTGTTTCAAATTAAAAATATATATATTTTTTGTACCGTCTAAAAAATGAAAGTAGATATTAATTTAATCTTATATTTTTGTGTGGCTATTAAACTCAGCTGAAATTTATCAAAACACACTCCATAAAAATAACGAATACAAAAATTCTTTTCATGAGACTTGGCTGCGATAAAATTTTGATGAAGAGTAATGCTGTATGGTAGATCCTTATGATAATTGTTTGTAGAAGTGACCATAAATACTAAGGGTTTATTTGTTTTGTGAAATTATTTAAAGGGATTTTTTTTTAAGGGAGGTATAGGAAATTGTACAGATAGTATAAAAATAACGAAAATGTATAATTGTTGGAGCCTAAAATTTGGATGCTCCAAAATTATTAGTCAACTTGGTTGGTGTGAGTTCTAAAAATACTCCAAAGAGTTTGTCCGTCGTCGAATTAGGGACGGCTCCGGCAATGGAATCGCTACATAGCTGAGTCTAAATGGATGAATTTAAACTAAAATCTACTATAGATATAAATATATATTGGAATTTATAATAATAATGATAATAATAATAAAAGACAAGCTAAATTATGACATGATGGATAAAACTCCAAATATTTATGGATAAACTATTGAAATAAAATTATAAACTTTAAAGGATAAGAAGTGAGGTTTTCTTGTTGTGTGTGTTGTGTTTTAATTTGCCATATTTATTCTCACATAAAGGCAGTTATTCTTTCAAACTTCATAACTTCTCATTCACTTTTTCAAACTGTCAAACATGGACTTAATTGTGTCTTCCGTGTTTTTTAGAGTTAAGATTGAACCTTAACTGATCAACATGTAGCTTCACGGCTCCCTTATCGTTGGGTAGCTCCACAGATTGGGGCTCATTTGTGCGATTTTGTTTTCGAATTTTTTTTTTATGCTCAAATACTTTTAGACCTATGTCTAATAATATCCTCTTCGAAAAAGTTGGACGATTACTTCTAATAATATCTATGTCTTTTTGCTCCAAACTGCTTACTCGCATCAACTCTGGTCATTTTCGTAGGCAAAGATCATTCTCAGCTTTCACTTTTTTGATTTTATCTCCATAAAAAAACATCAATTTTTTATGGAGTGTTGATGACAGCATTCGTATGCATGAATCGAGTTTCGTCTCAAAATAGCTGAATAAAATGACCTACTATCGATCAACAAGATGATATTTCATTTGTTCCCGCTTGCACATGATCATACATTTCAATTTGTAAGAATTTTTCAACATGCAAATGAGTCAAATGCCGACCGTCCATTGGCCGAGGACTTCACGCTATTCTTTGGAATAGTTTAACTAAACGGGTTTGTTATTTTAACAAAAATCTACATATGTGTTCTTAAAAAAACATATTGATATTTTACATATTTTATACTAATAATTTATATTTTATTTTAAAAAATATTTATTCAAATCATATATATATATAAAAAACAGCTCAATGCATATTCACTTTTTACAATATTTTTTAAATGCTGCAATCTCAGAATTTCGAGATTTTTTTTTGTTTTTTAATTTGATTTTTTCTTTTACAGTTTTTTTACATGAGATACAGTTTGGAAGTTTATTTTTAAGTGGGTGAGTTTTTCAAGGAGTAGTTTTTATAAGTTTTTATAGTTAAGTTATATCTGAAATTTTATCTTTGTATTAGAAAAAAATTACCACAGGAGAAGAAGATCTTCAGGCAAGTTTTTACAGAATGTTATTCTTTTTCTAAAATTTAAATTATGGCTTCTTTCACTTCTTCCTAAAGTTCTTATATTTATTTTTATTAATTATAATTTTTGAATTTTTGTATATATTTTTACCTCTACTTTATTTTTAGAAAAGATTCTTAGAAGAAAATCCTTCAGGCAAGTTCTTACACGGTGTTGTTTTTTTCTAAAATTTAATTTATGGCAGAAATCGGAAACTTTTACTTCTTTCTCAAGTTCTTTTGTTTTCCTGTTATTTCATTATATTCATTTATATTAATTATATTTTTTTGAATTTTTGTATAATTTTTTAGCCCTATTTTTTTAATGGTAGACAAAATTTTATAATTTTTTAGCCCTGTTTTTTTAATAGAAGACAAAAAATTTCTACGGAGCAGAAGTCCGTCTTGAAGTAAGTTTTTAAAGTAAATTTTTTAATGAATTTGAATTTTTGAATAAATTTGTCATTGCTATTCATTTTTCTTGAAGTAAGTGAATAAATTTAAATTTTTTAATAAATTTTACATGATGTGTTCTTTTTTTTTTTAATTTATTTTTTACTTTTTTTTTCTCAAAATTCTTATATTTTCTTGTTTGATTAGACAAAATTTTTCTAATCTAAGTTTTTCAATAAATTTTACAAAGTGTTGTTCTTTTATTTATTTATTTAATTTTCACTTTTTTCTGAAGTTCTTATATTTTGCTATTATTTGATTCATATTTATTTTTATTAATTATATTTTTTTAAATTTTTGTATAATTTTTTAGCCATGTTTTTTATATGATAGAAGATAAATTTTTTATTAATTATATTTTTTTTTGAATTTTGTATAAAGTTGTTTTCTAAATGTGAATTTATTTATGGTTATTCTTTTTCATTTTATATTTAATTATGGTTATTTTTTATTTTGTATTTAGTTTTTTCACATAGTAATTTATTTTCAGGTGTTTAGCTATTTTATTATATATTTAAGTATAATTTAAATTTTTATTAGCAATTGATCATAAATTATATTAAATTATATGTTATTTTTATTATTTTTTAATCTTAGAGTTACAATATTGTAATTAAGTTATGGGAGATTGATTTTATTCTTTAAGTTGTAAAAAACAGAAATTGTTATATGTATATGAATAATAATTTTATATTCTAAACACATCCAAATATATGTATAACTTTTATATATATTTTAATTGATTTTGTTCATAATAAATTAAAATATTATTTTAACATTAAATTATTTCAATTATATTGCGTATTTTATTCTAAGTATATAATATAAATATTTGTGTTCGAACAATCGTAGCTGGGTGTCTGCGGACTGATGCTGCCGGTGGATGATGGTAGATGCCAAGTATATAATAAAATATAATTATAATTTTTTTCGTTAGATTGCACCGTGTATCTAGCTAGTTATTTTACAAAACAAAATTTTGTTTGTGGAATTTGGTTTTTTGGTTTAAATTTTTTAATAATAAAAAATAAATTTAAATAATTATTTGATATAAACAGAAATTACTATGATATTTTGAATATAAAATAAATTTGTAATACAATATAAAAAAATATATATTAAATATGACATTTTAAAAAAGAAAATAGTAAAACTTTATTATGTAAAACCCACAAAATAATACAATATAAACGTTTTCACTCAGTCGATATTGGGGGCTTTTCGCCCATTGTCCAATATTTCCCGCCGCGGGAGTCCGGCCAGACCTTAATATTTAAATCGGTTCAGCTTCCTTCCGCAAGAAGAATCCTTGAATTTTAAAATAAAATATAATAATTTTTTCAAATTAAAAAGTCTAATCGCTGTGTGATATCGTACGGTCGATATAGCACTTATTTCCCAATCGACGGCTCATATTATTCTGGAAAGGACCGGTTGTTCAGGTTCCTGTCACGCCGTACATTGACGGTCCCACCTATCATCTCAGGTCTTCTCTAGTCATCGCTAAAATCGCGTTATAAAAGCGTCTTTCTTCCTCTACCTCAAATATGCAGAGGGCGCTATTGAGGTTTGCATAAGCTGCATTAAATGTGTACGGATCAGCATCAGCATCGCTTACTCAGGCGCAAAGTTTAGCAACTGCAGTTTCAAAGTTCCCGTTCCATTTCCGCTGGAGATTTTGCAAGTGAGGTAACTTTTGCAATCACTCTCTGTGGTGGTGGAATGTATGGTTTATGTATACAACAAAGTTGAGATATCTGCTTATGTTATTCATGATCGTGTCTGCGTGCTTGTGTTTGTGTTTGTTCTCTTTTACTGCTGGCTTGAGTGGATGCAAACGTGCTTGTGTTTGTGTACATATGTGTGATGTAGCATCTGCGTTGTTTGTTTGCGTCTTTTTTCTTTAAAATAGATGCCGATGATTTTATTTGGTTTTATGCTCTGAAGTGAAGCTGTTTCCATGGATTGATCACCATTTTGTATCGTACGTGCGCTGTGTTAGCTTGCCTCAGTAAAAAATGTATTTTCCTCTGCTAATTTTTGCGATTGAGTCATTTTTTGATAATTGGAAAGTGGAAACTTGTGTGCGGGCGCGTGCGTGCTGACGCTCCAGCTATTTGAATGAGGATTTGGAAAGTTGCGGGAAATTAAACGAAGTGAGTTTGGCTGAGTGTTGTAAAGTGAATATTGTAAATTAAAATTATCAAGAGCTTCTCAGGCTTTCTGGTTTAGTTTCCTGGAATATTCTCATACAAGAGCTTCTGAGGCTTTCTAGTTCTTAGAACTATCAAGTCTCCAATTACTTCGCACTTTTAAGTTACAATGGGTATCTACTGACAGGTATCATCTTGTTAAAGTTTAAGTTACCCAGTGAGAGATGTACTCGAAGACTTCTCTGAATTCAATGAACAAGAGGCCTCGTGAAGAATCTGGATCACAGAGTCCAAGAAAGAGCCAACATGGGGCATTGAAGGTTCAAGATGTCGCACGTGGCGAGTTAAAGCATTTCATGTTCAGAATACTGATGCCAAATGGCAGTACACTTGATCTAAAAATTCATGATCAGCGCAACGAGATACCAATTGAGGAGTTCATAGGTGTCACCAAAAAACAATATTCTGTTGTAAAGCAAGGATCTTTAAAGCCAAACAGGAGAATCAATTGGGAGTACCCGGACCTTCATTTCACTGACGCAAACAAAAAGAAAATACAGACGAAACTCAACCTTCTTGATTATATTCGTAATTATTGGCACTTCCTCTGGCTCCATGTAAAGTTCTGTTGCGCATTGTCTGATTTCAGATTTTGACTTCTCGTGAGCTTATAATTAGCATATTTGTTTTGGTACAGGATGGGTCGCCTGAGCCAGATATATATGAGGTATGTTTGTTGATCTAAGAATCATCAAGGTACCCTGAATGAGTGCTTCCTGCTAATTTGTCTCACTGGCAGGGCATGTGGGATCTTACTCCAGATACAGATTTGCTGAAGGAGCTACCTGATGGCTATACATGTGAAACTGCCCTTGCTGACCTCATAGTGAGCTTTTGATACGGCCTGTCTTCTCTGTTTGATACTGTTAATTGGCTTCTAATTACTCTCTTATTATCAGGATAACTCCTTACAGGCTTTATGGTCGAACAACTGCAAGTCTGACACGAGACTCATAAGGTATGGCACTGCAATCGTAGGATTTTGAAATCTCTATTTTATCTGGCATTTATAATTTAACTGTCAATGAGATGATGCCAGTGAAATGTGCACCTTTTTGTGAGGATTTTTATTTGGAAAGGTTGGTGAGCATTTACTTTTAAGGATTATGCTAAAAAATCTTGCCATGGAACTCACACCGCATGCATCACACATCATTGTGATCTGTGAAAATTGAAAAAGCTCAATTGAGAAACACTTGTGGCTGAATGCCATTTTATTTATTTATTATTTTTATTTTTCACTTTCCTATTAACTCTTGCAATTCTCGAATTGAAGCTGTTAAAAGGTTTCATGTGCCTTCTAAGCACATAACATTATGCTTTTCTGAGGCATAGGATACTTGTAAACTTTACGAAACATTGTATTTTGTCTTAGGGAGTAATGGTATGATAGCATGCTTTCAACCATTTAGTTGCTGAGCTAAATGTATTCATGTAATAATATCCTTTCTCCTATAACCTGCAAAGAATTCTTAGAGTTGTGAGCATACAGATTTTGTTCATGTTCATTTTCTTCCCAACTTGCTTGTTTTCTTTACATCTAATGCTGATATAAAGCTTTTGTCTTATATACAGTGTGGAATTGCGTTGGAATAAAATTATAATTTTTGACTCGGGACCTGGAATGGATGGCAAGGATGGGAACCTAGTGAAGTGGTTGATACTCTTTATACAATTTTCTAAACAGCTTCAACACGTCCTTTACATTCTTAATTTTCTTGCAAAGAACATTGTTATCCGTGGAAATTTTGTCAAATATTGATTATTGAATGATTAAAAAGGACCTACTTATGGTAACAATTAAGGACATTCAGAATTTATCATTTTCATGTATTGGTAAATCTGAAGTATTTTCTAGGGATTCTTCTTCAAACCTTTCACATCTTACTTGGTTTTTCTTCTCTTATGTCATTTTATACAGGGGAAAAGTGGGAGCATCTTTGCATAGATCAGCTAGAGTTAAAGCAATTGGTGGAAATCCTCCATATTTAGTGGTAATTGTGCACAATCGAGCATTCTATTGTTTTTGTCTTGTGTTGATATGGTTACATTCTGTGTTTTGAATTTTTAGTTTACATAAAAGTTAAAGATTTTAGTGCCAATCTCCCGGGTGCTGTCCGTGAATTATATTAATTGCCCTAAGATTTTTTAAAGTTGTGCTTTTATCTATATTGTTTACTTAAGCTTGAAAATATAATGCTCGAATGACTATAATCTCATGAAAGTTATTCATATTTCTTTGCAAGGGAAGTCCTTTATGGTTTCAAAATGATTAAGAAACATGCACTTCTTCATCCAACCTTTCCCAACCCACTGTTTCTCTATGAAAACATTGGATTATGCTAAATAGTTTGACTTACTCATTTTACATACTGATATATGTTATAAAACCTGAGCAAGCTAACTTGAAATTTCTGTTAAATTGTTCCATGATATAAGTTGTGGCAGCCTGTCCTATTTATTGAAAGACCATCTTTGTGGATGCCTCTTGTTAATCATAATTTTCTTTGGCATCACAGCCTTTTTTTGGCATGTTTGGATATGGTGGCCCTTTCGCAGCCATGTGTTTAGGAAGGTATAAATGACATAAAATTGTCTTTATTATTTGTAGTGAACAAATACATAACTTTATTAATGGCACAATTTATTCTCCCTGTAATGTTGCAGGCGAGCTGTTGTTTCGTCAAAGACAAAAAATTGTGGAAAAGTATACTCATTACACCTCGAAAGAGAAGCATTAATTGATTCTTCAAGCTTGGAGAATGAGTGGAGGGTGATTGTTTGATTGCACTTATTGTTCATTGGTCACTTTTTCTTTGTTATCTCATGGCTTGAAAAACTTCTGCTGACTTCTGAAGGCAAAAGGGGGAAGGAGAGACCCTTCCAAAGATGAAATGCAGAAGGTACCCCATGGAAGTTTCACAAAGGTAGTTCATTGTAATTCTTTCTAAGTAATTTTTAAATATTTAGTTCATTTGTCTATTCTAGTCTCCTTTTAATAGAAACTATTATCTTCACCTTCTTTTGGTATGAATCATTAAGTTTAGAACCATAGTTATTGTCGTTGACCCTATTTTTCATTCTTACATGTGTTATTAGTGTTATTACTGAAATTTCACTCATGCCTTGACTTTCTCATGCACTTCCTTATTCAATTAAAAACGTTACTCAGTTGATTTAGGTGTTAACTCATGATGATTACATCCATAGTCTTTATGAGAAGAGGTTAGTTATATGCCTTCTGAGCATCCGTCAACAAAAAGATCACTCTAAGATGATCATTTCATGGCTATAAAGAAGGAATTAAATCATATGGTGCTATTAATCAAATAGGTTCTGTAACATTATTATGAATGTTGTACTATACCTATTGATTATACTGGTTCTAGGAAGTCACATAGATACAAATTAGTGAACTTAAAAGAAAAAACACAAAGAATTTGTTTGTTGACAAAAGTGGATTTGGAATCGCCTTTTTTTGTTACCTTTTTTATTTATTTCTAAATCTATTATTATTCACTACAACATGAAGTTACTACTTTCCTTTTTTTGTTAACTTTCATGAAGTTACAACATATGAAATTCTTAACATTATGATGCTCTGTTTTGGAAATTCATTGATGTTGTACTTGCGTCTAGGTTGAAATTTTTGAGCCTAAAATGAAGATCGACAACATAAAACATTTCCAATGCAAGTTGAAGGACATCTACTTTCCCTATATACAGGTTTTTTGCCCGTTATAATGTTCTTGCTCTTATTGTTTGGCTTCACCAGGTAGTTTTTTAGTTTGATGCACTTTTCATTTTGGATTGCTGAATGCAATTCATCTAGGAGAGCTTTCTGGTTGTGCTTGGTAGGTTTCCCCATATATTAACGTTATTCCTCTATCCTAAACTATTTTTTTTCCCTAAAAAAGCATTGCATTATACACCTAGGTTGTATTCCTTTGGTGTTTATTGTTTGTTAAGATTTTTATTAATAGTAATTGAGACTTGTGAAAGTTATTAAAATATTTGTCTTGTTGTTTGATGTTTTGTGAAAGAAAATATAAGTAATTATTGGGAATCGGGTAAAGTGTAAAAGAACAAACCCCTTTTTTTATTAAAAAAATTGTATCTAGATTAAATTTTCTATTCAAAATATTATATTGAACACCTATATATATCACATTAAAAGCCTATTCCAAACCAATTTTTAACTATTTCAAACCACCAAAACGCAACCCAACATCCCTTCAAAAACTCAAGTATTTTATTTGCACTAACCTTAACCCTACACCTATTCAAAGATTTTTGAGTGGAGACTTTTCATGAAGAATAATGATGCTTGCTTAATTAGGACAAAACTGTGGAAATGCAACTTGAAAGGCCTTCCCTCACGAAAATTGATGAAATTTATTTTCTCTTTTTAATCCTACAAATTGGCAAGAAATATTGTATTGTTGTCCTTCTTTTTTCCTTACAAGACTTGATCAATGAAAACATAGCTTTCTTTGATTTTTGTTTATTTTTCTAAATATTCTCTTTGCAATACTTGTATCCTCATGTTCGATATTATGCATTGTTCTTTGAAGTTCCTTCCAATAACTGAGTTGCACAATGAAAGTTATTGTGTTGATTTCTATTTGTTTGAACGAACAGTGTGATGAGATGTCGGGAAAAACAAGCAGGCCTGTCAAATTTCAGGTGATATACATCCATATTCATTTATGGATTTTAAGATACTTTTCTCATTGTTTCACATGTGTACCTAAATTTGCATGTAGGTGTATTTGTCTGTATAGTCTCTTTCATTGTGATTATGTTGTATATTTTTATTTAGTTTTGAATTTTTCTTTCATGGTGAGATGAACTTGTTCCTTATGCACCTAGTCAGACCATACCTACATGTTTCACTGCCAGACTTTTTGAAGAAAAAAAGAACCACGAAAAATGTCTTTCCACTTTAAAAGCAAACTTGAGAACCCAACGTTAATGTTTCTTGTCAACCAGGATTTAGGTTCTGTTTGGTTGTCAGCTGGGTTAGTGATTGGCACTATGCTCTTATCATTTTCATCATAAATACTATTAAAAATGATTTCAAGGTCAGACCCACTTATGATTACTATTTCCATCTGTTTTTGAAATAAAAAATATTTATATAGATTTTAAACTTTCATTCTTTTTTTTTTTAATTTAAATCAATTTATGCTAAATATGTATAGATATATATATTTTTATTTATTTTTTTTACATATGATTTTATTCTCTCCAAAAATAATATCTATAATCAATATATTTATTGAAGTATAATTTTTTATGCATTTCAATATAAATTTTAGAGTTATTTCAAAAAATATATATCATATCATAATTCAACTGTCAACCAAACAACATCATTTAACCAAACTTCTAATCACGAACCGAACCGATAACCAAATTACTTTCGTGGACAATCATCATTTTATTTTTCACATTGCTTAATCGACAAAGAATGTTTGATAAGAAGAAAATGTGAAGGCTTGGCTGGGAGAAGTTCCATATAATCTTTTCTTTTCGAGGTGTATTTTTCTTGGATTAAAATACTGCTTGCAATATTGCTTACTTTTAATAATTATTATTATTAGACTTAGTTGTAAATCTCTTTACTCTTTACATTGACTCTGGTTGTGGTTGCTCATTGGGATGCCCTTCAGGTCAATGGAAAAGATTTGGCAGGAATAAATGGAGGAGAAGTAGCTGTGACAAACTTGCATTCATGCAATGGTCCTGAATTTGTTATTCAACTTCACTTTAGCACCAGTGAGGATACTTCTTCAAGACCCAGTCAAAGTGAGCATATGCTAGTTATTTTGGTGTAAATGCACAGCTGACAATATGCTTCCATTTTCTCAAATCTCCAGGAGAAACAGTGTTTTCTGAGGCCAATGCAAGGCTGAAGTTTGTTTACTTTCCCATAATTGAGGTATCCTCATGAATATTCATATTAGTCTGTAATTCAAATGGTATTTTTAGACTATCTACTTTTGATTGATTTCAGGGGGAAGAGAACATACAGCGGATAATAAATATCCTTGATTCTGAAGATTATGGTATTGGAGAGAGCTATGAAAAATTTTGTCGGGTGTCTATTAGGCGGTTAGGACGTCTGCTGCCTGATGCACGATGGGTCGGTAAAACAAGTCTTTCTGTGTGTGTGTGTGTTTTATTTATTTTGTATTTATGTATTTATTTCTTATATAGTTGGGTTATGGTATTTACAAGGATCCCCCAACTTTGTAGTGTACAACTCTTGATGAGTTTTGTCACTAAAGTTTATTAGGTTGCTTGTCTTAACATCACTCTGTTGCTGGACTTCATTTTTTTTTCTGCACAGTCTCCTCTTCCAATTATGGAGCCAAAAACGCAAAAGGGTGAAAGGGCCAAACTTGTGAAAAGATGTTGCTCCAGAGTTAAATGCTTTATTGGTAAGTATCTGCAACACAAGTGGCTTCTATCACCTAGTTACCATTCTGACTTCATGTCATGGTTGTGAATTCAGACACTGATGCTGGTTTCAATCCAACAGCACAAAAGGTATGATGTCAGTTACATCTTAAGACTCTTTTGAGCATTCAAAACGCTGTAAAAAACCCATGGGTTCTTAACACGTCTTCATTGTTTTCAGTCATATAAATGCAAATACTCTTATTTCAGTATTGATTGTAATTGGATTTTTTATGTCTATTGAAATGTGCCTTAACTTTCTGCATTCCTTGTATGATTACCTATTATATTTATTTCTAATGCAGGTACTTTCCAAGTAAATGCTGGCTCTTTTGTTATTGGTGTTGTTCTTTTTTGAAAACTTACACTATAATAATAATTATTATTATTAGTATTTATTACTTCCTTCCACTCAGTAAGAAAAGTAGTGTTTTCCAGACAGATTTAGCACAACATCACCTCTACACTAAGGCATTAAAGAATTTTGGCAACCCAGCATTTGAAGTTGGAAAAGGTAAATTATTATAGATATGCAGCAAAATTAAGATTGTTTTTTTTTTTTTTTTTTTTTTTTTCCTGTTATCCAATGTGCATTTTATGGATGATTCAATGCATATTGAGCTTGAGTATTATATTGCCTTGTAGAGATGCAAATTAAAATCTTAAAGGATGGCAAACAAGTGACAGTTCCTCAATTGGAGAAGCTGTACCATGATTGGATTATAAAAATGCATGCAAATTATGATGAAGAAACTGATTCTGGACTAGATCAACCAACTATTGTCAATTGTTCTCCTGATATTAAAAAGTACTTAGTTGAAGATGGTAAGTACAAGTCCAACTGAGAGCAACGATGTTGCCTCACTTTTCTCTTTATTCTCTTTAAATTTAGATTATTGTGATGAGCTTTTTTTTTGAATCATCGCTTATGGTTCTTCATTTGTCCAATTTGTTTTGATTATTTCTGTTTAGTTCCTGTTTTGCGGGTTCATAAAAAGATCCAAAGGAAAGGAATGTGCTGGGCTGCTGGGCAGAGGCTAAAAGTTTTGAAGGGAGCCTGTAGTGGGTTCCATAGAAACAATGTGTATGCTACACTGGAATGCATAGTTCTTGCGGGGCTTGCAGCTGATGCTTGTGGTGAGTGTGAACATGTGATTTTACCTTGAAATCAACCATGTCATTTGAACTTTGAACATGTGCATGATAGGGTGCGCTGTGATTGACGAGCTGCTAATCTTCCAAGACTAGATTAAGTTGATTGGATAAGATGTTATACTTTTCGCTCTAGTTCTTTGAAGATGGTTATGAATGTTTATTGTGACACCGAACTATGATCCCTTTTTATTATGGATGTTATCTTCAACTCTGACTGAAATTCTTTCATTTCTTCATGATCTAATTATTATCGTTTTGTTTGTGTAATGAATTAACCAGGTGAGGCTGTGTTGATTTGTAGGTATGTTGTTTTATTTATTTTTTCGTAATACATAGCTCTTGACGGTAAGCAGTGTTCAAACTATAGATTTTGTGCAAATCCTTGTTTGATACCTTTTTCTCTGGATAGGCCTCTTGGGATACCTGAAGGCAGCGGTTGCAAGATTTCCTTTGATTCGAAGAATGGGATTGGAACTATCTGTATTAATGAATCTAAAGTGCTTCCAATTGAAGTTATTGACTCTAATAAGGTTAACTTTGCCATTTATTTTAAAATTTTAAATATAACTTCTTTCTTCTTCTTCCTATGATTATGATAGTGCTGAAGTTTTTAAATAACATGACAGTGCATAGCAGTTGATGACACTGAGTGGGAGAATAAGTCCCAGCAGCATTGTCAGAAATTGCCTTCTGCCATTGAAATCTTAGAAAACATAGATTGCCAAGATCTGGGAATTGAAGGGGTTAGGCAACCTTATATTTCTGCTAACTTTTCTAGGATTTCAAGATTTTGCAAGGTTATGATTTTCCCTTACACGTTTCACTTTTAAAGGGAATGCCTGCTGATGTAAAAGCTGGAGATGCTCCTCCAGAGAACGTTGTTGCAGTTATCCGTCCGAAGGCTTTCAATTTTGAAAACAGTTCTGAGAGATTGGACCAGAAATTTGTAGTTAAGGATAATATAAGAATGACACTGAACGTACAATTCAACCCTGAAGATAAGAGTGAAGATATGTTAATATTTTCTTCTGTGGGAACACCTTCATCTCACAAGGGGCTTCAAGGATTATTTATTTTTCCGGTTAAATCAAAATTTCCCAACCTCTTCCAGAAAGCTGGCAGCTTAACATTTTTATTGACCCTGGTAAGCTTTCTAGAACATTTGATTTTAATGGAAAAATAAAAGTGACCCAATTTTAATTGATATCATTTTTGGAACTTAATTCATTAGACAAATTTTCCGGATGTAAGGCGAAAACATGTATTGCAAGTTCGTGCATGTGCTGATACTGGCCGTTGGAAAGTTGTAAGGCATGATGATGATCTATACACAATCAGGTGAGGGACCTTGAGTGTTTATCTTTTGTCCTTTTTTGGCTTGTCATTGATTAATCATCTTTGTTTTCTTGGCAATAGAGTAATTATTTTGATCATAGGGCATCACTTTTATTTATAGAGGACTTTATTTTCTATTTCTCTAGGCATGCTGATTACTTACTAACTTTATTTTCTTGTAAATTGTAACCATTTGTTGCATATTTTGATGGATCACAACTCTATTCCACTATATGTATATTTTTGAAAAGGAGGCGCTAAAGATAAAAAGAAAAAAGAAAAAAAAAAGGGAGTATTAGCAGAGTTGCATTCTAGTCATGTATTATGGTCACGTAACTTAATATGATGGTAAAATAGGTATGTTTACATTTGCCAGTAACAGATGAACATTAATTTTACGACTGCATTGCGACATGGAATTCAGCAAATGCTGACACATGACCCATCACAATTTACAAAACCATCTACTGAACTATAAGGTTCACCATTTTTCATATAGATTAGGCATGCTGATTACCGACTGACTTTATTTATTGTATATTTGTAACCCTTTGTTACATATTTTGATGGGTGACAACTCTATTTGTTAAGGAGCATTTATGATAGAAAATAGGAGTATCAGCAACTGACATTTGCATTCCGGTCATGTATTGTGATCCCCGAACTTAATGTGATGGTAAAATAGGTATGTTTACTTTTGTCAGTAGCAAATGATGAATTATGTTAAGACTGCATTTGAACATGGAATTTAGTGGATTTTACACATAACCCATCATAATTTACCAAACTGTGTATAGAATTTGTTGAAGAATTATATAGATTAGGAGATCATCATCTGGTCAATTTTGAAATATAGCTAACTTGTTAAGTGGGCCTGGATTCTATATTAATGGTCAACTTCAGTATCCTCTTATAATTTTACCACCCACCTAATTATGACCAGCTTGTTTAGTGGCCCGGAGTCTAACTATGGTTGATTTGTTGAGAAGAAATACTATAAAACCCTAATCTGCCCCGCTATGTTCATTTATAGTTCACCGTGTATGTGAATTTTGTCTTACTTTTAGTAGGAATGATTTAAATATTACATGATTTTCCGTAATTGATTGGACAGGGTTGGTTCCTCATCTGCTGATTGTCTACATATAGCATGCTTTGATAAGTACGGCAATAGTGTAAATTTCACTAGTGTTCCAAAGTTGGCCATCAGTTTCTGCTCCACTGGCAATGAGGACCTTAATCATTCATGCAGTATAAAGAAAAATCTATCACTTCGCAAATCAAGGATAATATTTGAGGTAGTGTTTGATGGTCTTCTATATACTATGCTTATTCAAAAATGCCTACGCTTGTGAATTTTCATTGTTGCAGGTGGTTGGTTTTAAAAGCAGTAAGTTGGATATTATTCGACCAACTTACAAAGCTATTATCAACATAAAAACACTTGATGGGTCTTTCTCTGTGGTCCATCCTTGCTGTGGTACTTAGTGACGCTCCTTGTTTCTATAACATTTTCAATTATATGGAATAGAAGTTCTGCACTCATTTTCATTGAAGCAACTAGGTACTCATCGGGAACCTTCATATTGACAGTTTTACCTGGAACTCCCCAAAGAGTCACAGTCCATTCACCAAATCTGCGAAAGAAACTATTTCCTTATCAGATTATTGAGGAGCTTTGGTTCGAGGTATGCCTTTTGGATTGTTCTTTATTTCTAGATGGATATGATTTTGTTATTTTGGAACAAGTTAAGATTATGTGGGAAATGTTGAAATGGATAGCTCATTGGTTTCTGGTTCACTAATAATGTGAACTTTCATTTATGCAGATTTTTGATGAGTGTGGTAACCATGTAAAAGAAGGTGAACGTATTTTATTGAGTTTAGATGGGTTCTCCTATGAAGCTAAAAGTTGTCTTCTTGAGGATGGGAGCACATATTTAAAGGTGTCTTTAGTTTTCTTAAGTGCTATTATAGATACTTCTTGGGAACTTTTTGTCAATGATTTTTTTATAAAGTTGTATTTGATTCCATCAAAGGAAATGATTTTGAAGGTGAGGCAGTGAGATTATTTATTGCACCCGTCTTGAACAAATAGCTGTCTTATGGATGCATGACTAGTGTTTAGACAGACCTTATCGAACTGCTTTCATGTTTTATAACAGCCATAGGTTGAACTGTAAATCACTGCAGCAGTTGCAGAATGCTTAGTGATGCTTAGCTACTTAACCAAAAGTTGTAAAGCTTTGTGTTCAACAGGATTCTAGACGTGGAAAGGTGGAATTCTTAAAAACGTTTGTATATGGCATTTCATATAAAGCTTGTTTGAGATAGGCTGTCCACTGTTGGAAATCCAATCAGAGCTTTAGTAACCAGCCTCACTGTGATGTTCTTGCTATGTTTGACTGAACCGATTACTTATTATATGGTTCCTTACTGCATGGTCTGTATGCATGTTTATCCAAGTTGAACCTGCAAGATTAAGTTATAGCAATAGGATATTTATGAGAACAACCATTATCTTCTCTTTTTGCTGCACAAGTAATTTTAACACTCCTTGACAAGCCAGTATTTAACCATTCATTCCATTTTTGCTATCCTCAATTCCTCATATTAGTTTTTGACATTGATAGGTTGACTGCAACGGCTTTGTTGATGTCAGCAATGTTCTAAAAGTGTCCAAGGGATATGGCAAAGAGGGTGCGTAATTTCATTATTTACTTCTTTCTGTCAGTAACTTAACTCGCTTTACGTGGCTTATTCTGAGCCTTCATTAGTAAAGGCATTACTCTCACTAGATGGAATGAGTTCCACTTCTTTGGTTAAAGATGACTCCTACCTTCAACCGACTCCAATATATTTTTAGTATGGACTTATTACTGTTGTAGTTCTATAGTTGTTCAGTTTCTTACATCTTGTCTTTCCGTGCATGAAATGTAGATTGTTGGAAGGCCATAACTTGGGTTCATTAAACTGTTTTGGGTCTGCATTATGTTTTTATATGTTTCCTCTTTTTTTGGCTAGTTTTATTATGATAGAGCTGAGTGGCATTTATTCGTGTACAGCTTATCTTTCTCTGTCTTTTGAAGACAAAGTTCTCTTCAAGAAGAACTTTCATATTGAAATGAGAGAGCTGCGCACAGTATCAAAGGTTTGTGTTTTTTAAACATTATCCTGTCAACATGGGAAAAGAAATGGAAATATCTAACTCAATGCAGTTCTTATTATGATTTGCTTCACTGTATCCTCCGTCTTTTGTTTTTTTGTTTTGTTTTTTTTTTTTTTTCCACCCTATTACAATGATATCTCTTGGCCTTTACCTGTGTCAGGAATTTACAAACTTTCATGCTGGTTCTCAATTGGAGAATGTTATCTTTGAGATAGTCAATTCTGAAGGTCTTGTTGATGAAAGGGTCCATCATAATGAGAAACTCGGCCTGTACCATACTCTTAAAATCAAGTCCGATACACTTGACATTGATGATTCTGTGCAGTACTCCTTTCGTCATGGCCGTTGTACCATTCGTTCTATTCCACTCCCCAACAAAGAAGGGATTTTCTCATTTTCCGCATTCCATTCCTGTTATCCTGAGCTTGTGCTAGATATACAGGTTGAGATACAATTTCACAATAAATTGCTTCCTTCTTCAATTCATTTTCATGCTTACGAGTTCATACATGTAGGTTCATGTTAAGAGTGCCAGACATGAGAGTCAAGGCAGTATTAACTCTCATGGAGATTTAATGCCTCCTGTGTCTTCACCCCATGGTTTTTGTGAAGAGTTGGCCATTGTTCATCAAAAACACTCATCTGTCCATCAGTCACCAAATACTCCAAATTTTGGTAGCACTTGCCAAAAGGTAATCTGGTAGTTTATATAAATTAAAATTTTGCCATCAAACATCATTTAAAAGCTGGAAGTTTGATAATCTGCTTATTGATACTTGCTTTATATGAGCCTCCACCCCCATCTAGTTCATAGCTGGGAATTCCTCACGTGAATTAGTTCATATATTTAGGTTCACGTTAAGAGCGAGGATCAGCGCAGTATAGGCCATTGTGGAGAAGAAATATCAACCCGTGATATTTGTTGTGAAGATTTGCCATTTTTTCCTCAACCACTCGCAACTGTCCATCCGTCACCCAGTACTCCAAATCTTGATAACACGAGCAAAAAGGTAAACTGGTTATTTATACGAATTGATAATCCGTACATGCTACCTCTGTATGATTGTCCTCACATTTGATATATAACCTGAAAGGCCTCTTATTTAGTATTTACAGTAGTTTCCATCAAGCATTACTGTTTCTTATATGGTCACTCATTGGGATTATTTTTCCCCCTTGAACCAGGATGTAGAGGATGAAATGATCGAGTCTGCCATGAATATGAATAAGTTTCAATCAAAATTGAAGAATGTCGATCAAGCGTTGCAAAATGTGTTTGAGTTACAAGGTCTTTTTCTTTTGGTTATTTTATTTTCTCATATGTTATATAACTTCATTAATATCTTGCAGGTGACAAGCACAAATTTTGATCGACCAATTCTCGATAGTATTTAACTCTCTTCTAATAATTGCACAGGCTTAAATGTATAACTTGTGCAAATAGCTCCTATGATGATACACATTTGTAATTACTCTGATCATTGATATCTTTCTTGCATATATAGTTCATGATTGTCATATTGGTTCAAGCCTTTGTGGGAAAGAGATCGTTTTAGAAAAGATTGAAAGCAAAAGTCAACCTGCAGCTGCCCTTAGCCAGAAAATACCTGGACAAATGCCGCCAGAACTGAGTCCTCAAGACATACTTGGCATAGTCGGGCTTCTTGGAAATGTTAATAACATTCAGCTTAGCAGGTTAACACACGCACCTTCCCATCTATTATCCCTATAGAAGGCAATTCCCATTAATTTAAACTGTATTTCCTTTTACGGCGCAGGATGTTGGCACTGTATCTCGGCGACCATCTAATGTGTGCTGTAGTGTGCAAAAACTATTCGACTGCTGAAATTCTCGAGGCTGGTCAAATGAACCGTGGAAAATCTCTGAGCGGAGGTCTCTATACAGTGTGCCTTGATCACTTTCGGTAAGCAACACAATTAGTTCACTTTTATTGGTCGTTAAAGATATTATGATCCATTTATTGACATACGAAGAGCGTTGTGTGTCAAAAAGTAGTTTCATTTTAATATTTTTATAATGGCTATGTATTTGCAGTCCGTTCAACTTAGAACCCAAAGTTGATCCTCAAGAACCGCTAGCCCTGCCGTTGCCAAGAATGCAAAACGGCGAGACACCACCAGGCTTTCTCGGGTTTGCAGTCAATATGATCAACATCGATGCAGCATTTTCACATTGGAAGACGACAAGCGGACATGGTCTCAGAGAGACCTTATTTTATGGCATCTTTGGCGAGCTTCAAGTTTATTCTCACAAGTCACTTATGATGGGAGCTCAAGTGTTTATTAAAAATGGAGCCGTGTCTTTGGACGGAGGACTAATGAAAGGAAATGGCCTTCTCGGTTTCGGGGACTGGTACATGCTTCTCAAACTAAGCAACTCTTTGCACTTAAGTTATTAACATATTGCTTACCGGATAGTTTTAAATTCAGGGAACCCGACGTAATATTCCCCGTTCTAAGGAATGCAGACATCAAGCAACATCTAGAGATCGCTAAGTTAAGGGAGGAGAGGGAGGCGATCAAAGGATCATTAGACATGGCAGTGACGATGTTCTCCCAAGCACGGGAAGAATACTTAAAAATTCGAGATCGTATTGGGAGTGATGATTAAAGGTAATAAAAGTTTTGCTGTTGCACTGCAAGAACACATGTATACAAGTGTTGTGCTCATATCATGTTATGGTTTTGAATCTTGCAAGATGAATTGTTTTGATGATATGTATATGCTATTATTGGGTGTTTTGACAATGTTTCTTTGAGTAATAGTGGTGAATGTACAACTCTTTTGTAAGTAAATGTGCTACCTTTCACACTATATTGCCAATTGAGTTGGTAGTAGTAAAGTTTGAGGTTTTTGCAAGGTTGCTAGATTCTGTCTTATTTTTTTCTTTTTTCAATGAAACTTTCAATAAAATAATATCTTGTTAAGATTTTATTTATTTATTCTTTTATTTTGATTATAATTTTTTTTTTTTTTAAATATAGAACCCATGACTTTAAAGTCATTAGTTTATTTTTACATTACCGGGTCATCGTTGCATTGTATCAATTTGATGATTGCTACAGTATTTTTATTCCGCTATAACTCTATTTTTTCATAATATTTTTTAAATATTTTATTTTTTCTATTATTTTAAATAATTTTTTATATTTATAATTTACAATAATTTTTTTAAAAAATCTATAAAAATAAAAAAATAATTTGAAAAATTAAAATAAAAAATTCAGAAAAAATAAAAAATAGAAAAGAATGCCACCAAATCCAATGAACGGTCGCTGGTTGAAGATACTCTTAGGGTGTGTTTGTTTGGAGGATTGAATTATATTTTCACTATTCATCTAATTTTTTTCTTCCAAAAATATCAAATCAAACACCTATTTTTCATTTTTTATATTATACTAAAAATCAATTTTACATTCAAAACATCACATCAACACCTATTTATATCACATCATATAACTATTCAAATTCAAAATTTTTACTATTCAAATCCCAACTCAAAATCCAAACCTCCAAACAAACACACCCTAAAGAAACAGTTATACTTCAATATGGATTTTAGAAAAGTAATAGCGGTGGATTGGAATGTCCTAAAGAAACACCCATACTTCAATATGGATGTTAGAAAGATTTTCATTTGTTGAACTTACTTTTGGATTAAAGTTGTCTATACAATTTCATTTTTTATTTTGTTAAAACCAAAATTATCATAATAACGAAAATATTAATAATATTTTCTCAATCCGCTTTATTTTTTTACTTTATTAATAAATGCAAGATTAAACTATACTAACAAAAATAATTGCTTATTAACAATTCTTGCTCAATTTTTCTTTTAACCGTGGTACCATTAATGAAAAAAATTATTCCATATCATTTATTTTTAAATTTTTTTAATAAGTTTAAGAATCATAATATTTTATAATAAAATAGTAATAATAAAATAAATAACAATGAATTAATTTTTATTAAAAAAAATAATATTATTTAAAATAAATTTTAAAAATTCAAATGAATATCTAATAATAAACTAAACAAATATTATATTTTTTTTATTATAACGTGAGAACTGTATTTTTTTTCTTGTGATGATATTAGTGTTTTTAAAATAAAAATTAATATACTATATAATTTAAAAAATAAAATATGTATTTAAATAGTTTAAATACTACTATTTTTTTTCAATAAAATATATAATATGAATTAAATTTGGTAGAAAATAAAATTTTATATTTTAATACAATGAAAATGAAAGAAATATTTAAACTATCAATTTATAATTTGCAAAAAAGTTGTATAATCTATTGTAATATAAAATATATATATAATTATTCATATACATAATAACAATTTTTTCTTTTACAATTTAATAGTAAAATCAATCTCCCAATAATATAAAAATTTAATTACAATATCACTGCAGCAAATCTGTACTGTTAACATAGAAAAAAAAAGAAAAATAATAAAAATAAGAATACAACTTAATTTATAATTATAATCAATTTGACAATTTTGACGACGAGGATAATGGAATATTATTGTTTAATAATTTTTAGCATCCAAACAGAATCTTGACTACAACGAGTACAACATAGTGAAAATAAAAAAAGAAAAGATAGGAAATAAATAAAAAAATCTAAACAAAATTTAGAAAAATAATCAAACAAACAAAATTTAGAAAAAGAAGTAGCAACAAATCATTCAGCAAACAGCTTCGATACTTAGACAATCTCTTCGGATCCCAACTTTTTATCTGCTAAAAATATATATATATATAATATTATCAAAAATGCAAAACAACTCAATATTATCAATCAATAAAAAAAATATTATAAAAAATATTTGGAATTTCAAATTTATGGTTGTGCAGAAAAAAAAACAACAAAATAAACAATTTAGAAAAAATCAAAAAAATTTTAAAACTATAAAAAAAAATATATAAAAAATATTATCAATAAAGAATAATAGAAAATAATTCAATATTATCAATAAAAAAAATTATCAAACAAATAACAACATTAATGATAATAAAATCGCATTACCTTTCCCTCGCATATCTTCTTTTCTTTTTTTTGGCAACAACAGATGAATGGTGCGGATTGTATATCTATATATATATATAAAAAGAAAATTATTTTCCTCCACTAACATTGAAACTATCGTCCCAAAACTGGCATTTACACTCTCTATCATTTATTTTAATAATTAAAAAAATTAAGCTAATTATTATCTTATTATTAATCTATAATAATTTATACTTGGATTGTAGTAACAAACAAAAATACCGATGTAATATAAAAATAATGACATTTGTGTAATATATTGTAAATTAAAAAGGTATTATTACGTTAAGTATGTAGTAAAATTACTAAATTAGAAAAGTAACCTTTGTTTTGGGAAGAGAGTATTATAAATTAATTATTTTTACTAAAATTCAGACTTAGACGGATGGAGTAGTAACTAATACTCCCTTCGTCCCGCAGTCAATTTTTTTTTTTTAAAATATAATTATACACTTTAATTTCATTTTAAATTTTAAAATTTAATATTTAGTTATCTTAATCTTAATCCACAATTATTTTTATTATACGATATAATTATTTTTACTAATATATTTTTTAATTATTTACTAATCACGTCTTACCAAAATTGTCGTATCTGCGTGCCAATGTATTGGAATGGAGGAAGTAAAAAACATAAAAAAAAAAAAAAGGAATACTTTTTGAATTACAGGGTATATAATAAATAAATCATTTAGACCGTTGCCAGAAATGGCAGGAAAAAGCCAGCTTCCGAGCACTACAACACCCAGAAGGACTCCCGGCGGCGCCCTTTTTAGGTATCCCTACTAGCTTCTGCAACCTCCTCTTCTCCCCATTCCCATGTCTCTGCTCCACTCCAAAGTGCATCTCCACAATCCACCGCCGCTAAGTTGCGCGCACCTCAACCCCTCATTGCCGCTGGCGTGGAAGAAAAAATGCTGAAGCCGAATCCCTAGCCCTAACCCTAACCATAGCCGAATTATGCCAATTTAATGCTACACAATTTTGAAAAAAACAAAAAAAACAGAGGCGATTAATTCAATTCAGAGATCGAGGTACAGCACCAATAGCATTGCCATAATATAGTTGGTGTAGAATTAATTGCATTGCACTTACTACATTCCAGCTGCGGTTACTGCCATTCTAGCGCTCCGTGGTCTGTACACGTCTTCCGAGACGCTGAAAAGGCAGATCACGTGTATCGCCTCTCGTCGTCGTGTGTCGTCAAGCGCAAAGCCGAGCAAGCTTGTCCATTCTTGACTCGACTCTTGAAGAGCTTTTGAGTTGCTGTGGGTTGTCTGCAGCTCTCTACAGTGGACTGGGTTTTCGTTAAACCGCGAGTTTTAATGTAACTGCACGAAACTGCAGAAATCGACACCGGAGAGGGCGATGAGACAGGGAGTGGAGTTTCCTGTGTACGAGGAGGTTGAATCCAGCTTAGGCTCAGTCACTCGGAAGAGGAAGCGAGATGGTGGCATTGGCAGTCCAGCAAAAATTGAAGGAGTCTCTGAGGCCAAAAGGAATGATGGGATTGGTGGTGATGGTGTTTTCCATAGGGTTAAAACTGCTGGTCGTCGTGGACGGCCAAAGGGTTCAAAGAATAAGAAGAAAACAGTCGTGTTGGCAGAAAAGACTGATGGCACCATTGGCGGTGATGTTTGTCGTGATACTGATACAGCTGTCAAAAGTACTGGTCACCGTGGACGACCAAAGGGCTCCAAGAACAAGACATGGAAGATAGATGAGATTATCAAAAGGCTTACTGAGGGGATTGCTGGTGCTCTTTCTGCTTCTTGTTCCATTCCTGTCGAAAGTTCTGGTGGCTGTGGACCGTCAAAGGGTTCAAAGAACAAGAAGAAAGTGACTGATGGTGCCACCTATGATGGTTCTTGTTCCATTCCTGTCAAAAGTTCTGGTTGTCGTGGACGGCCAAAGGGTTCAAAGAATAAGAAGAAAGCAATCTCGTCGGCGGCGGAGACGACTGATGGCATCATTGGCGGTGATGTTTCTTGTGATTCCCCTGTCAGAAGCACTGGTCACCGTGGACGGCCAAAGGGTTCGAAGAATAAGAAGAAAGCAATCTTGTTGGCGGAGACTGATGGCATAATTGGCGGTGACATTTCTTGTGATTCCCCTGTCAGAAGCACTGGTCACCGCGGACGACCAAAGGGCTCCAAGAACAAGAAAAGGAAGATAGATGAGATGATCAAAAGGCCCACTGAGGGGATTGCTGGTGCTCCTTCTGTCATCACGAGGAATGGCTATGAGGCTGCAGTTCAGATGGTGTATCAAGAGGATTCCTGGATTGGTAGTTCAGCACGGGTTGACGGAGTCACTGAGGCCAGAAGGAATGATGGAATTCGTGGTGATGATGTTTTCCCTACTCCTGTTACAACTGCCAGTCGTCGTGGACGGCCAAAGGGTTCGAAGAACAAGAAGAACCTTGGATGGTCAAAGGGTTCAAAGAATAAGAAGAAAGCAGTTGTGTTGGGAGAAATGACTGGTGGCATCATTGGCGGTGATGTTTCTTGTGGTTTCCTTGTCAGAAGAACTGGTCACAGCGGACGAGCGAAGGGCTCCAAGAACAAGAAATGGAAGTTAGATGAGTTGATCAAAAGGTCGGTCAGGATTTCTCGTGCTCTTTCTGTCACTAATAGGAATGGTAATGAGGCTGCAGCTGAGATGGTTGATCCAGAGGATTCCTGGATTAAGGGGACTACTCAGGGGGTTGCTAGTACTACTGATTTGGATGATAGTAATCGAGATGGGTCTGCGATGTTAGCGTCACAAGAAATGGGAAGGAATGCTGGCAGCCTT